ATTTCGATGAAAGTAAGTGAACCGTGCAGGGCCCTCTCAGACCAAAATTATCTCCCTTAATTAAATATTATGTTAGTCTCAAAATGACAAAGTGCAGAAACTTTCAATTATCCTGTCACGGCGCCCTGTAATATAGATTTGTCTTTAACATCTTGACAGGGAGTATAAATATTGATGAAAATGTAGGTCTAATAATTAGCTTGTTATATTGACTGATAATTATATCGCTGTATGGTGTCTTTAGTGTCGTTTTACAGAGATGTTACGTGTAATAAAATAACCTTAAATAAAAAAGCATTAGTGCTATTGAGGTCTTCGGCAATTTGACATGATATGGTTCGGAGATGTCCATATTAAAGCTAAATCTGCCATGCCATCTATTACCCATTTATGAGTAGAATAAGATAACACCGCACGTTAGATCAGTGCCTGGATTTTTAATAGGTGATACAACTATTTGGAATATGTTTTTCAAGGTTAATCGCGTGTATTTTCTTGGTCAGGGAAAGGGTGTTCACTTATAAAGACTCGTTAGCATGCAGAGTTAACGGATCGTTATCAAATGACACACTATTTATAGATAACAATTACAAGTCGTTATCAAGCATTTACACAAATAAATAAAATGAAAAGAATATGGTTATTAAAATACAACCATAGTAATTGTTATCCATAAATAGTGTGTTATTTAGGTATGTTCCAATTACTAAATGCCATTCAAAGAATATAACGGATCGTTATCTTTAACGGAGAGATAGTCTGTAGCTGGAAGCCTCCTTAACTTTAACATGTCGTTAACTTCCGTTATATTTAACGAAGATGTTGGGCTCCGTTATCTGTTTAACGATGGCATTAGTCGGCTGTCTATGGAAATTCTACAGTTATCATTTTGTCTTTAATCAATTTGTGAACAGACTGCGCAGTTGTCCCACTTTCTTCCGTTAGTTTCTTGTTAATATTAACTTCTATGAAGTTGTTTTGCATGTACATTGAATTTAAAAATTTAAAATTCAGCCAATAACCAAAGATTTTTCTCTTGGATTAACTTAACTTTAATCAGTCCGTTAGAACGGATAATGAAATTGACTTTCCAGCAACAGAAATTTAACGGACCATTAACATACGATAAGTTAGCAAGATAACGATCCGTTAGAGTTTAACGGGTCATTATGGGTGAGTGGATAGAATGTCCCTTTAATGACAAAGTTGTCTTACTCGTAACTATTAACAGGCGTAGGAGCCCGGAGAGGGGGAGGAACTGGGATTCGATGAACTGTCCATTTTTCGGACAATGTATTTTCCGTTTTTCTGGCACAAACATCAGAGAATGAGACCATATATCATGGAAATACAATTGTATAATTATAAAATGGAATCGCTCTCAGTTTATGTTTTGAATACTATATAATTATACTTAGGCAAAGAAAATTTTCAGGCAAATAGCCCCCCAAATGAGATTGGCCTCCCTGTGATTAATAGTAACATTTATCCCGCCGGGGAAGCGATGGCGCGTGAGAGAGAGAGAGAGAGAGAGAGAGAGAGAGGGGGGGGGTGTGTCAGTTGAGTTGATTAGGGCCGCAAGCAGCATCGCTGTTTCGCTGAAAAGTGTTACCTGTATAGGTTGGCGGAATGAAGTCTCTTCAACAAAGAATAAACGATTTCAGTTATTATTTTCGTGGTATTGTCTTTTGGCACGGTCACAATAAACATAACTGAGTTTTGAGCTACTGGCCCCAGAGTGATAATTCTCTTTATGGATCCCAAAATTTGGCTGGGCTCACACTAGTCGAATTACAGCTAGGACAGTGATACCTGAATAACGGCAGATTTTAATATCGCTTCTAAAATTATCATACCCTAATTTGTCTAACTTCGCCAAATGGAGAAGGGGGGACAACTTTGTTTTTGTGATAGAAAATCTCTGAATTTTGACGTGCTTCAACTCTAAAAAGCTTCCAATATCCAACAATGTAACTTTTGTAACACAAAAATGAACTTAAATCTGCATGTTTCGTGCACGAATGGTTAGAAGTGATTAAGTGAAATGAAATGGTGTTTAATGTCCTACTTTTCTGCACCAACCGGGAGAATGAAGACTGACATCATCCATGCAGTCTGCTAGGGGCAAATTTGTCCGGACAGTGGTGTTTCCGGCTTTATATTTTTTTTACTAAATCCCAAATGCCTTGGGCGTAACGCGGCCATTGAAAACTGTACTCATCGAGGCATGTATCCTCACCCCCCATGATTTTTGTAAAGTCAGTACTACTAGTACAACGATCCCCCAACGACACCATCCCCAATGGATAGACTGTAATTTGCCTTAAGATACATAATAAACGCACGTCTTGTGTACATTTTGGAGAGTTTTGCATCAAAACTGTACGTTAAAAAATTTAGGCAGGTTGAATGGACTGCCAAGGGTTCATTTACTTGCACACCAACGAGTAGCCTACCCCGGGTGGACCTCGTTTTTGTTATATCCCGCACCGGAGGTATATTGAAATGGGCTCCACCGTCCTTCCAATATGATTTCGTTACCGGAGAAAATCTCGTGATGCGGTCAAGATATCTTTATGAAACTTCGTACACACACCAGCCTATATAGTAGTTGTACCTTTTGCTAAGAAGAAATTTCTCGAATTTAGTATTTGTTGTGGGTTTTTTTGTGTCTTTTTTTGGTATACAATTTGAATTCAAAAGCATTTCTCATAAACCATTCTATATATCTTTTTGAAACTTTGTACACAATTAAAAATAATTGTTGTGTTGGCAACACATTTGACTTAGTTCTTGGTATTCAATAATATTGTTCCACGGCACATCTCAGAAACCATTCACGATGTATCCATGTTGCAAGCTTGCATCATTAGAACTGTTTTCATTTTTTTTTTGATAGTTTGGGTGTGTAATTCTTTTTTTATCTTTAAAAACGGTGATAAATTAAACACAATGTATGTCCTATAAACAGATATATAATATTATAATTGGAATGTCTGATCTATAACATGTACACTATCTGTATTTGGTTGTTAATCACCAGTAATACGAGAGATTGTCTGTCCCTTGCTCTGATGCGCGGCATGTTTATAGCCGAATATTCTTAGGGTTTTTTTGGGGACCACCCGAACAAGGAAAAACCAGACTGAAAAATCCCGAGGAACTTACAGGAATGATTAAATGACTAAAATGTCAAAGAGCGAATTTTGCATGTCCCGGATTTCGAAATGAACAAGCATATATTTTTTGTCCATTTGTAAAACACACAGCCAATACCAAGCGAATAATCAACCTTGTATGTGACATTTATTTGCAAAGTGCACCACACAGCATTCTCTTATCTCTCACTTATTTATCAAAGCAAAGTTTAACTACATAAAACTAATGACTACAGCTTGCAGCTAGGGAATTAAATAAACAATGCACGAAAACAACTGATAACGACTCTTATATAAAAGGTCACATTCGATATTTCAGTGGCTTGCTTGCAAATGTGATGTGACGAAAAATAAAAGTAGGCTAATAAAATAGCAAAATAAGGGAACTCAAAAATGGCTGACAAATATGCTACAAGGCCCCTGGGCCCTGTTTCACGAAATTTTAACTAAAGATAAAATCCAAATTTTAGTAGATACTTCAATTTTGATTGGCTAAGCACTAAAATCAATCTAATAGTATCCAATCAAATTACTAAAATTTGGATTTTATCTTAGTTAAAATTTCGTGAAACAGGCCCCTGGTCTGATAGTCATACACACAACGGGTTGGTATTGCAATTTGCAGGTTATGTTAAATGTCGTTTCCCGGGCCAAAAATTGTCGCGCTTAAAGGTTTAAAGAGAAATCCACGTCTATGTGGTGCAATTAAATTTAAAAGCGCAACAAACCAAATAGTTCAGAAATAATATGTACTATTTGAAATGTAAAAGAATAAAGACTGTTAATGTTAATATTTAATAAGCACCCCAGGTATTTTAAAAATATAAATAGCCGGATTATTGTTACTATATTTTCTATAACACATAATGATGTCTTTGTGAAATCCATAGAAACCAACGTATAGGCTACTTTAATGACCACAACTTAATTAATAAAAATTGACTGATTTGTATAACTTTTGGGCAAACATTTCTTAATGTGGGCTACTCTTGATTGGTATGGACTATATTAACTCTGTAATTAAAATTTAAAGTCTGGTATTTTGGGGCGTCAAATTTCGTATAGCCTAGCTAACATTTTTCTTCTTTTTTTGGTACCACGCAGCTTTGTATTTATGTTGGTTAGTTATGCAAAGCTTGAAAAATATATATCTACTGACTGGATTATATATATATATATATATATATATATATATATATATATATATATATATGTTTATTGGTCTATTTTTCGTACGGCATCGCTGCTAAATTATAAGTCTGTGGCCTTTGGTAGGCTAATTATAGGCCTAATCTGGAATATTAATCGTCTAAAAGTAAAAGAGTAATAAATAATTTGCTCGTGGGTTTTTCCAATGCAGTTTTATTTGTGTGGTATTGCTGTAATTTATTTATAGTTGAGCCAATAGCTATCAGCATTATTTGTTGAATTATTTCAAAGATCCAGCTTTTTGTTTTATACCTTGCTCCAGATATAGCTTGCATAGACGATCTTTAACTTGTTAGCATGTTAGGCTATGTAGTTCACAGTCTCACAATACTCTCCCAGCATGCATTTAGCATGACGTCATCATTGAAGATCTCCCAGCCGTTCAGCGCCATTTTTACTTAGCATCGGAAGTAACGATGCTTCGTTTTAAATCTGTTGACATCAGTGTGTTATATTAATGCAAGCTATATTTTACTCTACCAGACAGTTGTACGATATATAGAGAAGTCGTAAGCGGTGTTATTTAAAGTTATTATGGCGGGTAAGAATTTATATCGAATATTATTTAGAGGCGGTGTCCATTCACGAGTGATGTAAAAAAAAATGTCAATCCCTAACATTTATTTATTTTAGGAAATGGCGGGGAGATTAATTGGTGCTTTTCTCAGGTTAAAGGTACGATAGAAGACGAGGTCACAGAAGGTGAGTTTCAATTTTAATGTAATGCTTTGACAATTCTATAGTCAAAATCAGAGACGAGCCGGGAAAATTTGTCTCGGTGACCCAATCGTGATTTCTCAGCACTCATCAAGGAGGACTTGTTATGTAGGCGTTTGTCGTCATTTAATCACATTACTTTTGACCTAGCCGAATACATTATAGTGAATGACAGTTCATAAGATATAGTTTAATATACACCATTACAACAATGATAGTTTTATTAAACAGTGACACGGAATGTGAAGGGGTTACGGGGACCATTGTTTTTAAAATCGGTTGATCTAGCCTAGATAAAAAAAACAAACCTTATCTTACAACCCTGTTTCGAGATAAGAGATGGTACTATAGATCCACTAGGCAAATCCCAATGCTGATCACATCGGTCTTCATAAGCAAAACTGACAATTTTTTCTTCAAAACCACAATTCCAATATTGTAGTGCAGCCTACAACAGCCAATCAAAGTACTGGTACTAACCTAAAAAGAGTTACACAGGAATAATACACTGTAATTATGAATGTTTAAAGGACAATATTGGTGTCAGTCATTATCACATATGTGATAGAACTAATTAAACACGTTCCAAATATAATTTTAACACAGATCATTGCTACAATAGCTGAGTAATGCAGGTTTCCTGAATCGGAAGTGACGAACGCCAAAGGAAAACATGAGTCATACCTTTATACAACTGACTGAAGTGACGATTGATAACAGGTACATAGGCGAATTTCTGCTCACTAATAATTCCTTCCAAGACCAAAAGTTGTTGTGTGAGACTGAGAGGATATCTTGACAATTCATAAAAAGAATTGACTGCCACTAGATAAGAGAACACGAAAGAAAAACAGAAAAAGTCTGTGCATTAGGCTGACCTTAAAAATATCTTTGTTTCACCAAACCCGACCCACAATCGAGGAGAAGGGTCGGTAGGTCGGTTTTTTTTCCAGATTTTTTTTTTAAGAGCTAATTTGACAGCTTGATGATTTTCCGTGTGCAAACATTTGTCTTCTTTTATTGGCAAACAACAATAACATCGGGATTTTTCGTGATGAACGACTCGCACACGAATTGCCACAAACTGGCGTTTGAAACTCCCTCAACACGTTTTTTAACGATCGTGCGGGTTGTGCCTTCATTTTTCTCAAAAACGGATATTGAAAATAACGTCGTCATGTTTAAAACGACGCCCCGCAGACATAGAGGCAGAATCATTTTGTGGGAATGGACGTGCTTTCATCTGCAACCATTTTGTTGAGAAGCGACACCTATGACGCTTTTGTCTTGATCAACCAGTTTCAATAATGAATCAAACCATAGCCATAGTAAAGGGAAAAAACTCTGATATATTTCAGGTTGACACACAAAATAAAATAAAAAGATCGCGGAAAAGTGCAATAAAATAATTTAAGTCGGGGGTGGTTTTAGTTAGTCTGTCGCGTTAGGCGAAACAAAGATATTTTTAAGGTCAGCCTTACCATGTTTTTATAAGGTTTAGAATAAATATAAACAAGGGAATGTACAGACTATTTCTATTTTTCTCGTGTTGAGTTCTCTTATCTAATGACATTCAATTACTTTATTGAATTGTCAGGTATCCTCTTACAGTCCCATATAACAACTTTTGGTCTTCGAAGGAATTATTAGTGAGCAGAAATTCGGCCTTGTATCTGTTATCACTCGTCACATCAGCCAGTTATATTGAGGTATGACTCGTGTTTTCCTTTGGCGTTCGTCACTTCCGATTCAGGATCCAACCTCGTGGGTTTTCTCCGGGTCCCCCGGTTTCCTCCCACTGCTAAAGACCCCTACGCGCAAGCGAATTATTGAAATAAAATTAAACCATATGTTAATCCCGAAATGACCTAGTTTGTGTCGAGTGGACGTTAAACCCCATTTCTCTCTCTCTCTCTCTCCGATTCAGGAAACCTGTATTACTCAGCTGTCGTAGCAATGATCTGTGTTAAAATTATATTTGGAATGTGTTTAACCAGCTCTATCACATATGTGATAATGACTGGCACCAATATTGTCCTTTAAAAGACAATGGTGTTGACACGTTGACCCAAATGATAAATGTAATCTTGATTTTTAACAGGATGACCACTAAACCTTTTAGAAGTAATATTATTAGCAATAGGTTTTGTAAATTTCACAGCACATGTAATTTTGAACAATTTAAAGCAGAATTACAAAAACCTGCTAGAAATGTTTATCAATACGAGAAACCACAAGTCTCGCTATCTAGCATTCGACTCTTTGACCCATAGGTCATTGGTCATGTGATTAACTGTGATGAAAATAGCATGTATTAGGCCTTACGAGCTTGTTATAAAGGTAAACACATCCATATGTATATATTCTAAATTTTGCATGATGACCCTTCTACCCTGTAATCTTTCGTGAAAGAGTTCCCTGAATACCGGGTATCTTATAGTCATAGAAATATTATCATTTATTTGGTTTCCATTGTATTGCTTATTGTCTATCGATACCAAGAATTTTTGTGAGGTAGTCAAATGAGCCGTTAGCAGAGGTTAGTGTGGACTGCAAGGGAAGACAACTCTGTTTAGGAGATTGGCAAGAAATATGGTTGTTTTTAACTATATGTGGGAGCGTTTCATTCACCCTGTCAGTGGAACTGCATCCTGTGCACTGTTATTAAATCTAGTGCTGAAGAATGTTAAAGCGATAATTTCATATTTTCTAAGATAATCAAAACAATTATTTCTATGTCTTTTTCTCAATAGGTTGTCAACTCACTATTATACGATCATAGGTATTATTCTCCCTCTTAAAAATCCTTTGACCCCGGAAATAATAACACAATTACCTCCCTTGTTTTTCTATTCCCCCTATGGAATAGCTATCTTCAAACGTTTGAATTTAAAGTTGTAAATGATATTTTTGCCAATTTCTCAACGGGCAATAGTGAATTATAGGATTATTCTTTAACATGGCCGGATTATTTATAGATACCATCTATTTTAAGGCTTTATTTAATAAATTTTAAAAAATATAGCTTAAAAATATGAAATTGCAACTTTAAATAAAAAAAAGTAATTTTGTATATTTCAGCTGATATTATTTCATGTGTAGAATTTAACACAGACGGTGATCTACTAGCTACTGGTGATAAAGGGGGTAGAGTTGTTATATTCCAGCGCGACTTGCAGGTTAGTGTCATTATTAATCAAATGTAAAAGTAAAGTACCGGTACAAAAAAAGTTACGACGCACAGGATAAGTGTATGAATATTGTAATATAAAACAGTTTTATTATACGCCCACATTTTCATGTGGATGTATATTGTCGCTCCTAGCTTTGATAGTGGACCCTCTGCTGGAGGTCACAATATTTATCCGATTTTGACGAAACTTCAAATATAGGTTGATCTCCAAAGTATAGCTTGTTAGCTTGTTCTCGTTCCATCTCTTGCAAAATATTCTTTTGAACAAGTTGTTTTCTTTTGTCAAATTTCTATTTAAGCCATATTACCATGGTGCCGTTACAGCATTTGTAGAATTAGGTCACCTACATAGGATAAGTGTCTAATTTGTTAGACTAGTGTCAAACAAATGAAAACAAGCGTACATGTGTGGAATAAATGAAATGGGGTTAAAACATCCTACTTTTCTGCATCATCCGAGCCAATGAATACAGGATGTGTGAAATACTTTGGTATAAAATTGGTTGTGAATTGACTTATAACTTTGTGAGTAACTGTACAACAGTCCTGCGTAAACAATGCAAATGGCACCTTTCAAAGTATTCACTGTTAATTCTTACATTACATTAAAGTTTTGTTATGGAAGATTTCCCGCTATAATAGTTCAAAAATAGATAATGAAAACAGAATATGCTGAAAATTTTAGTCAGATTGCTTCACTCTAAACTAAGATATTAGCGATTCAATTTTAGGCTAGCTGAAGTACGTCATGACTACGATAATAAACAAAGTCTGGTTAAACATAATGTGCATGTTTAATAACTTACCCTAATTTTAAATAGGATCACATTTGTTTCTATTTTAGAAATGTTCTTACCTACACCTTTTTTTTTGTCCAGGAATGAAGTCCGCACTAAAATTGATATTCAGAATATGTTGTAAAATTGGTGTTGACTAATTTAAAATTTGTCTTTAATTCAGAATTCCTGTCTCTCTTTTATGCCATGGTATTATATCATTGTGTATTGCAGACAGGTACACTATATAGCAGGAAAGTACATGTGGGTTTGTTATAAATCTGTATGAACATATATACTGCTTACAAATGTCTTGATTGTCTCGTAATACAATTTAGTATTGTATTCTATTACTTAACACATGAATTCTATAATTTCAGGCTAAAGCTGCAGTACCAAGTCGTGGGGAATACAATGTCTACAGTACTTTTCAAAGTCATGAACCAGAGTTTGATTATCTGAAAAGTTTAGAAATTGAGGAAAAGATCAATAAGATAAGATGGTTAAAACGAACAAATAGGAACCATTTTTTGTTGTCTACTAATGGTAGGTATATTATATAACATTAGTTGCACAAATTCCTGGACAATTTCCGAAAATCCTTTCTCCAGTTCTTCAAAAAATAATCTATAGCCAAAGTGTTTTCAAAATCATATAAAATGTATAGGTAAAAGCGCCAAATACAGAAAACTTGCAACCTGTCTAAGACACTTTTATATTTTGATAGTACGTCACTGTATAATGGAAATGACAGGGAAAGTAAAATGAAGTAGTTTACCGTGCTTATTAGTTACTTATTGACTTGATAGGCCCCGTACTCTTCACACATTTTATCACTTGTTAAAGGATTTTATGTTTAATTTTATGCATAATGTCACATACCGATCATTTCACGAGAATTAATACCATATCTATTATTTTAACAAATTATTATTTTCATCATTTCCAGATAAAACAATTAAGTTATGGAAGGTAGCTGAACGAGATAAGAAACCAGAAGGCTATAATTTAAAAGATGATGGGGGTATAATGAGAGACCCTAATACAATTACCACTCTTCGAGTTCCCACATTTAGTCCAATGGAGCTGATGGTAGAAGCTAGTCCAAAACGTGTATTTTCTAATGCACATACGTATCATATTAACTCTATATCTGTTAATAGTGATCTAGAAACGTATCTGTCAGCCGATGATCTTAGAATTAATTTATGGAATTTAGAAATTACAGACCAAAGTTTCAGTATCCTTTTTATGAAAGACTATTTTTCTTGCTTTTTGCCAACTCTTAGAGATTTGAGATTTATTTTCGAATCTGGTCACCAATATCTCTACTTTTAAATCAAGCGTGTACATAGGCTCCTATCAGACTGTTTTGACACTAATAATCATACAATGTTTGTATTATAATACATTTTGTGATAATTTGTGTCTAGAAGTATATAGTTGCCTTGTATTCAGGCTTGTATTTATACATTGATAATTTACTTGTACAAAGTATGTGACCAGTGCCTTTTACTTGTACAAAGTATGTGACCAGTGCCTTATCTCCAAACTTGCTTTAAATGGTCTGAAGTCAGAATTTATATAAGGTTTTAGAAAAGAAACAAAATGGGGGTTTACATCCAACTGGGCTAATCTAGATGGGCTTACGCCATACAGTGTACTATGAGGGAAATTTTGCCTGCACAGCGGTGCTACTTTCTACTCTTATATCAAATTCCAACTGGCAAGGGATCTTTTATGTGCACACCAAGGTGTTCACAGGACCTTGGCTTTACGCACCATCTGTATGACTAGGCATCTGTCATTGTAAGGCCCTCCGTACCACTGACGAGGGTAAAGCTCGCCGGAAAATCCTGATGAACTTTCTTGACCAACACCAGGAAAGCACCTGCAATCTCCAGACTAGCGTGCAAGCGCCTTACTGACTTAGCCACTGTGGGTCCCTATAAGGTTTTAGAAACTGGCAAGGGTTTTTCAGCTAGTAAATGTATAAATAAACACTACCAAAGTATATGCTGGACTAGGATTGTTAATGTCTGCTGAATTCTGTGAACATCTTACTGATAAGAACATTATTTGTTAACTTTCAACACAATTTTTGATTTTTCCTACTCCAAAATAACTTTCCAAAGTGTGACTAAATAAGTACCCATCCTTTTTCACTTGAAAGATATATGGCAAATGGCAATGTAACCTGTCTAAGACACTTTTATATTTTGATAGTACGTCACTGTATAATGGAAATGACAGGGAAAGTAAAATGAAGTAGTTTACCGTGCTTGTTAGTTATTTATTGACTTGATAGGCCCCGTACTCTTCACACAAACTTAAGATTATATGAAAAATATTTAACAATGATGTCCTCTAAAGATATTTCTTGATTTAATTTTGTAATCTTAAAAATTATATTGCTGTGAAAAGTTTATCGTGATGAATATTCAGATGTTTTGAGAAATGAAAAAACTTGAATTTATATCCTTACATATTGTATAGATATTGTAGATATAAAGCCTGCTAATATGGAAGATTTAACAGAAGTTATAACAGCATCTGAATTTCATCCTAAAGAATGTAGTATGTTTGTTTATAGTAGTAGTAAGGGAACAATACGTCTATGTGATATGAGACAACAGGCATTGTGTGATTCTCATGCTAAAAGTAAGTACATAATACATTATTACACATCTTGGTACCAGCATGGTCTGTTAATGTGTGGCGGCACAGTAAAACCCGTTGGTTGTCGCGCTGGCTCAATCCGAGATATATGCCAAAATACAATGGCAAACAATATATAGGCCATTTTTCGTTCCTGACATATTTACATTTATTAAACATTTATCTATGAAACTACAAAGTTGTGAAACAGAAAAATGATTTTAAATACATTTATTTTGAAACAATTCTGAACCGTTTGAGACTTGCAGAATGGTGCCGGTGCCATAACAATGTCGACCTATTTCGTCGGTGTCTTTATAAAGTTGCCTTTTTGCACACACACATATCACACATCATTATAAAGCCTGCAATGAGCAGTACAATACTAGCTATAGTGCGCATAAATACAAAAGTAATAGTTCCCACACGCATCAAACAAACAAGTCCATTCCCTTGTCTCAATTATTCGACTTTTACATCCTGTTTTGAGTAGATTTCTCACTATAAGGTGCAATCAAGACTAAATTCTACAAGGGGTGTTGGATGGCTGAATGGTTAGTGTGCGCGCGCTGTATCATAAAGTCTGTCATTGAGTCGACTGGCGTGGTTTCGAATCCCCCGTTGTATGTGACAAGGAGTAGGGTCGCCTGTCCAACCTCGTGGGTGTTCTCCGTGTCCTCCGGTTTCCTCCCACTTCTAAAGACCCCTACGCGCAAGCGAATTATTGAAATAAAATTAAACCATATGTTAGTCCCGAAATGACCAAGTTTGTGTCGAGTGGACGTTAAACCCCATTTCTCTATCTCCAATTCTACAAAAACAACATCTATTTAATTGATATTGATCGAGTTTTATAACCATTTCAATAAAAAGAAGTCAGTTATTTACCGAAATACGTTAACACTAGTCGTATTCCATTGTTTACAAATTGTTCAAGATGGCGGCGCCCACGAGGAAATCGGATTTCTCTACATTTAAACCCCCTTCAAGTTTCGAAGACACAGTAACTAAAACACCAAAATATTGTAAATATTTCTTAGCACAAAGATAAATACTGTCTTAATGTAAATAATGTGACATTGCGTTAAAATGAGTGCTATAAACTGTCCCGAAACTGTGAAATATCAACATTTATGTTTAAACTGCATTTTCTCCCCTTTCATTTTTCTTCCGAAAGTGTCATTTTCTTGTATTAAATTATGAATATCTCCACAAGTTATCAACCGATTTTGATCATTTATAGACCATTTTGATCCCCAATTTGTGCTTGATATACACATACCCAAAACAATTTTTTTTAAATTTTCACCATGTGAAGGGTTTTCCTATGCCGCCACACATATCATTTTTACACCTTAGCCATAACTGCTATGATCATCCAGTATCCAGATCATGTTAACAATAGGGTATTGTCAATATAAATAGCTGTTCAAAGGTGCTATACAAAACACTTTTGAGGTGTTTATGGATCACGATTATTCTAGGATGATTATCGTCAATTAAAACCACTTTACTAGTCCTGTTTCCATGAGTGGTAGATAAAAGTAGGTGATAATATTTTTCTAAAGAAAGATGTCCAGAAAGTTTTCATTTTCCTTTAGTAAATAATGAGGCTCATTCAGATATTTCTGTGTTTATAATATATCCACCTACATCAACTGTTCATACGACTGTTTAACCTGTCTAAGACACTTTTATATTTTGATAGTACGTCACTGTATAATGGAAATGACAGGGAAAGTAAAATGAAGTAGTTTACCGTGCTTATTAGTTATTTATTGACTTGATAGGCCCCGTACTCTTCACACAAATTTCAGAACGCATTATATTTAACAAAAGCAAGACAGAGTAAGTTTCCTGTACTTGTTAGTTATTTTATTAACCTGACAGGCCCTTTTCTCTTCAAATACATCCTTGTTAGGCCAAAAAAAGGATTGTTTCCTTCCTGTAACTGAGGAAATTTAGGGTAGGGTTGGTAGGTATGTATCCGAGGCCAGTTTATGGGTTAAAGATTCTCTTTGGAGCAAATGAACTCATATTAATGGTTATAGGCTAAAAAAAAGCTAGGGTAGGGAGGCCATTTTGTTACCATAGATATGTACACTGTTCAAGGGAATTAATTTAAAAAAATATCGTGCAGTCATATCAAATATAGATTTAATTTGTTTGGTTTTAAATACCAATCGAGCAGATCCTATTCATCTGTTTCAAACATACCTTCACTATTGGCCTGGAGGATTTAAATCAAGGCTGCATTGGACATTAAATAAGGTCCAGTTAGATATGGAAGCAGTTGATGTTTTACTAAGTGTGATATAATCTACGCTCCAGCATACATGTATCTAACCTATACTCTATACTTTTATTTCAGTTTTTGAAGAACCCGAAGATCCAACAAATAGAAGTTTTTTCTCTGAAATAATTGCTAGTATATCAGATGTTAAATTTAGTCACAATGGTCGTTATATGATAACTCGTGACTATTTATCTGTTAAAGTTTGGGACTTGTTAATGGAAAGTAAGCCTGTAGAGACCTATCAAGTTCATGAGTTTCTACGTAGTAAATTGTGTTCTTTATATGAAAATGATTGCATATTTGATAAATTTGAATGCTCATGGAGTGGAAATGATAGGTATGTATATGTTACATTAGAACTTGAACTGCATGTCGTATTGCTCCAATCAGAATTCTTATTTAATACATAAACCCAGCAGAAGCTTTCTGGAGAGAGGTATTGTCACATTATTGTGGTGCAAGTCTTATGTACATGTAGCATTTTAAAGTTGAAAGGGGCAAGAAGTCCACAAGGATGTTGCACAACTCATAATATCTGTAAGGGTCCTCCTTATATATTTATCAAGGGTCAAAGGAAGTTTTGAAAAACAATTTCCCTAGAGCTATGATCTAAATCAATTGCAATGTTTGTGTAAAATAGATGAGCAACTAATGATTTCAATAAAGTCCTTCATTATAATGTATAGATTTATATGTGGTGGTTTAAAAATTGTATCTTATGAAAACCATGCACAATTTTAGCCTAAATGCATGTACATTTCACATAATGCAAGATGTCAATGTTTGAGACTTAAGTTGCAAAATACGGCAATATAAACACAGTTTATAATATATCCACCTACATCAACTGTTGTTCATACGACTGTTTAACCTGTCTAAGACACTTTTATATTTTGATAGTACGTCACTGTATAATGGAAATGACAGGGAAAGTAAAATGAAGTAGTTTACCGTGCTTATTAGTTATTTATTAACTTGATAGGCCCCGTACTCTTCACACAATTTGAACAAAAAATACCTAAGAATAAAGGTGTAATATGTTTTTTATAATTTACCTTCTTTTTTTTTTTAATTCTGTTACAGGAATATTATGACAGGGTCGTATAATAATTTCTTCCGAATGTTCGATCGTGAAGGTAAACGAGACAACACTCTGGAAGCCTCGCGAGATAATATGAAGCCAAGAACTGTTCTGAAACCACGTAAAGTGTGCACAGGTGGTAGGCGGAAAAAGGACGAAATTAGTGTAGATTGTTTGGACTTCAACAAAAAAATACTTCATACAGCTTGGCATCCACAGGAAAATATAATTGCCATAGCTGCTACAAATAATTTATATATATTTCAAAGTAAGGACTAGCTAATGAATATTTTATAGGTGAAGATAAATGAAATTTGTATGAAGTTCAAAGATGACAAATACCAGAATGTTGGTATTGTTTGGTGTAGGAAAATTGGTCAATTTTGTCACAAGACATAGAAATGCTCCATGTTCCAAGTTGTGCGTAGCATACAAATTTCCCTGTTCCATTCCGTTTACTGTTAGTTGTACAAGATGCAGCTCGAATACTTCCCGATGAGATTTGTAAACAGTATTTTGTGATGTACAACGTGTAGTGGTGTACTTAATAAATGTGAATGATTCAAGATTCATAGGAACAAAGCAGATGTGATAAAATAGATTCTTTGCTCGGAAATATTCTCATATTTGTAGACCATATGTGCTAATGGGTTCTTAAAAGGAATGGTCTACAGATAGCTACACAGAGAGGACTTGCTCAGACGAACTATATTGAAATAATCAAATTAAAGTGCTATTTGATAGAAGTTAATACATAAACAAGGCATAAATTTTTTTCATTTTAGATCAAATTTGTTGATAAAAAGGATAATCTGAATAGCAAACTGCAATATTATATGTATATTGTTTGTATGAATCAGAAGTCTGTTATATCATTGTGTTGTTAACTATTTTGATTGTAGTAATATAAATGGTCCCTTGTACTGCAGTTTAGTTACATATATTATGTTATAAAATCAGAGCTGGTACTGATTACTATATTAAGACAGAAAGTGCTAGAACTGAATATCTAGAAATTCAGTTCCATTCATGTATCTCATGTTGACAGTTTTGTAAAACTATGAAAAAATAAATGTTAAATTGTTGGTTTTTGTTTTTACTTGTCTCCAAGATATTAGATTCAGTTTTTAGTCCATTTAGCCATTAAAAGATTGAGATGTTTCTTATTGAAAAAAAAATGACTGTCACACAGATCAACTAAAGGGATGTAGAATTATATCAAATTTCAAAGGCTTTCTCCATATTGCGAGAAAGAAATGGAAGTTTTTGCATATAAGATGAGTGTACAGTCCTATTCACACTTCTCTGCAGTTAATAACTAATTACATTCACTGTCACACGAATTACAAAATTGCTTACATTCTGATTTTACAACTCTGGTGTGCAATATGACCTTTGATAATTTAGAAAGGTCCATTTGATAATTGAGACCGCAATTAATGTTTCAAAATTTTTTAAAATCTAAATGATCTTTATTCACCAACCATGGATGCTCAATTTCCAGTGATTTCCAATAAGTACTTCCAGAGTTATGGACCTTGATCACTTTGGAAAATCTTGTGAATGCTTTAGGGACTAAAATCATAGGTCATGAGACAAGAATCCATAATTACTGACAGTTATGACCTTTTGACCTCTTAAAATCCTCTGGACTTATTTTTACACACCACGGTTATGTTCATGTAATAAAGCAGTCTAAAATTAATTTCCTAGTTATTATCATTGATCATTTTTAAAATCTAGTGGTTAAAAGTTATATTTTGATTGACTTCAAATTGTTATATACATGTAAACTATTCAAATGGATTTGAAACCTGCGAGCAAAAATATTCAAATTTGAACAATAAAAAGGATAATCAAAAACATACTGGATGTGTCAAACCTTCACCCTGAGCTGAAAATGCTCATTATCCCAAAGTATCAACCAATCAAATTTCAGAAAATGCTTATCTTCAAACTCCATTAAGGCATTTGCCTAATAAACACCTACACCAAGTTTGAACATTCTACTTCAGTTAGGAGAGTTATCTGTTCCAAAGTTTCGACCAATCAAAGTGCTTATCTCAATCACTAGAGAAATTGATTTAAGGGTGAACATTCACAGAAGTTCAACTTTCATTGGAGCAAATTGTTGGCTGTGAGGGGCACCCTGGCAAACTTTACATTAATAGTCAATAGGGGAAATTGGAAATTTATGGCGTCTACCTCCACTTTAAATTGTGTCGCCCTAGTCCTAAACAAGTGCATCTATTTATGGCAATCCTTTTTCCCCCAATCCGATGATTGTGTCATGTTGGGCTCTTAATGGTTATAAAGATTAAGATAATCGGAATGTTAAAAATTTGTTTTACAGTACTTATAGGCAAGGAAATGAGTAGATTTGGACTAGCAATTATTTGCCAATTGACTTCAATGTTAAATGGCTGTAACATCACAGGATGTAGCTTTTTGCATTTGGCACGCTCCTCCTAATTTTGTAGGGGGTTGACTGGGGTCAGAATGTCACATACAATGTAATGATTGCTCTACATAGAGACACATTACAGTACACCCCCGCTATAATATAATCAGTATTACACAAAACTGCTATTTTATATCCATTTTCTCCAATTCTAGACCAAAAAATGCAGGAAAAGGGGAGAAAAAAATTAAGGGAAAAGTTGTCTCTAACTTGCACTACATTCCTAACAATATGAAGTTACCTCCCTTTAGTCTTCAAAAACATCTTCATTTGTGTCCCTTATATTCAAAGATTATAACCAATTTCAATAGAACTAATCATTTACACTTTTATTGTATTTATACATAGAAGACATTGATGAAATAAACTACTGTATACAATTCAATGGTACATTTAAATGAGAAAAGGACAATACAAACATACAAAACCTGTTTTCAGGGTTAATAATATTACTTTACATTTTAAAGATACCTTCCCCGCATACAAAATGGATGATTTGATAATATATTTGGACTAAAAACATATTCAAACTAATTAATCCATCAAAATTTTGCTTCAAATCCTTCAACTTCGGGGAATTAGATAGACGAATGGTTAGCGCATACACACTGTATCATTCATTGAGTCAACTGTCGTGGTTTTGATTCCCTGGTTGTACGTGACAAGGAGTAGGATCGTCTGTCCAACCTCGTGGGTTTTCTCCCACTGCTAAAGACCCCTACGCGCAACCAAATTATTGAAATAAAATTTAACCATATGTTGGTCCCGAAATTACCTAGTTTGTGTCGAGTGGAGGTTAAACCCCATTTCTCTCTCTCCTTCTATTGTATTCATGAGGGAATACCCCTGCTATAAAAATCTATTAAAAGAAGTCCAGTTTGTGTCCTGTGACTTGGCTGACGCGGCACCTAGGAACGAGTGCAAAGACGGAGGAGAATTCATTGCATATACCAGACGATGTCTATGAAACATTACAGAAAGCTTGATCAAGAAATCTAATTTAGTAACTTGCAAGTTAGGCAACTCAACAATTGTTTTCAGAAACTTATAAAAGTAAATTACTACTTGTTGTCTATTGTTGTGTATTATTTGTACTAAACCAAAAGATACCGCTCCTGACATACAGTTAATAATAAAGCAAACTAATAACAAAATGAACTCAATTTTCTAAAGCTGCAGTAATAACCAAAAATCCAAATATTACTGTTTTTCTGAATCGTTAACAATAGAATTTTTACAGCTTTAATAGTTGATAGATGTGTAGAAAATTTCACATGCGATGCCTATTTATAGTCTAACAGTACATACTCTGGATTATGCACCTGCTGCATGTCTACCCTGTAATCACTTGAGCGTGAACATTCAACTTTTAATAGAGCAAATTTTGACCGCATAGGGCACCCTACCAATATCTAGATCAAACCTGTGACCTCCTGTTTATGTATATTTAGACATTAACACATGTTGGTTAAGATGCTGGCTCGCTAGCCTGGAGGTCGGGTGTTCGATCGAACTTGAAGCATTGCCCGAGAATTGCATCTTGATTTTCTGACGTGGTTTCCCCTTGTCAGTGGTGTAGAACAGATGGCCTGACAAGGACAGCTGTCTAGTCCTTCGGATGATACGAAAAACCGTGGTCCCGTGTATATATTGGAATGCATGTAAAAGATCCTCTGGCAGTTGGAATTCGATATAAGAGTAGGCGTTAGTGCCGCTGCCCGGGCAAAATTTCCCTCATAGCACACTGTATGGCTTATGCCCATCTTCATTCGCCCAGTATAGGAGCAGAACAGTAGGAGGTTAAACCCCATTTCATTTCATTTAAAGTAAGTACTTGAATGTCAATAATTTTTATCACATGTGAATTCTACCAATCTGCACTACTATTGGCCAAATAATCTCTTCTGCCAATATTTTGGGCTTGTTTGTTCTGCATGGCCTCTAATTTTGGGCAATCTGCAATACGATGACCTAAACCACCACAATAAGAACAGCCAACTTCACCTGAAGATAGATTCAAATATCATAATGTTAGTAAATTGAAACAAAAAACTGTTTGAAACATTTCATATAGTTACAAGTTACTTTACTGATAAAGCCACACTGTACCTAGTGTAAAATTTAATATGTTTCTAAGGTTCTAGAGCTGTTGATCATCATTTGAGAGATTTTAAAAATCTCTTGTAAACAACAACACTGTGAATGTTGAATCTCTAAAAGGATCATCAGTTGAAAATCTTTTGCAAACAACAACACTGTGAATGTTGAATCTCTAAAAGGAATATTAGTCCAAAATTGGTTAAATTCCATTCAGTATTTAAAATGATTTTATAAACTGATAAATTTGCAACATTGGACATCTTCTGCAGATGCTACAAACAATACCTAATTTGATAAAATTGTTTGATAGTTATTTTTTTAAAATCCAATTGAATCCAAATTTAGCTTTCTTAATTAAATGTTACATAATCAAAATTACATATTGTCTGAAAATCTTGATCTAGACCAGTGACTTTATCTATGTGAATATGTTATACAATTATAAATGTCATTAATTTTCACAACAATATCATCCCTTCATATATATACTATTCAAAAAAAGTAGGGGATATTTGATTTTTAAGTGTTATTAAAGTCACCTAATGAAACTGACGAAGAAACAAATGACAAAATGAAATGAAGTTCACATTCATCGATTTATTCCAAATGATCGTTAGACTAAGTAAGGCACAGACTGACCATTATAAGGGTAAAATGATACCCGGGGTCAAACAGCAAAGTTACCACAGCATCACAACCAAGTCAGTAACGGGTAAATCCTCCTCTGTTTGCCAAACAAGCATTGATCCGACCATACTCCTAATGAGACGTCTAAGGTCATTTTGGTCCAGATTGTCCCATTCCTGTTGCAACGCAGCAGCAAGTTCTTGGACATTGGCAGGACGTTGTTGACGTTGACGTAACCTCTGTCCAAGCATGTCCCAGACATGCTCGATGGGGGAGAGGTCGGGACTCAGTGCTGGCCAAGGTAATGTGGTGATGTTCTGTTGTTGGAGGTAACCTGTAACGATCCTGGCCCTGTGACATCTTGCGTTGTCATCCTGGAAGATGAAACGGCGGCCATGACGTCGTGCGAACGGCACAACATGGACTGCCAAGATGTTGTCCCGGTAGTACTGGCCTGTAACACGCCCTGCAACAACATGTAAAGCCGTTCTTCCAGCAACAGTGATGCCTCCCCACACCATAACAGAACCACCCCCAAATCGATCATGTCTGATGACGCTAACGTCTTGGAAACGCTCGTTTCGACGACGCCACACCCTCCTACGTCTGTCCAAAAAATCAACAGTGAACCTTGACTCATCTGAAAACATCACATTGCTCCAGCGTCGATTATCCCAGTGTTGACGATCCCTACACCAACGACGTCTTGCCTGAATGTGATGATCTCTCAAACAAGGGATCACGCGAGGACGTCGGGCGCGAAGGTGACCCCTATGCAGTCGATTCCGAATCGTCTGGCCACTCACTCTCACACCAGTGTCTGTTTGAAGACGAGCGCTGATCTGATTTGCTGTGATGACACGATTTCTCAAGGCCAAGGTACGGATAAATCGATCCTGGGCTTGAGTTGTCACCCTTGGTCGACCTGAGCGTGGTCTGTCCTGTACAGATTGTGTATCACGGTATCTGGACCATAGCCTGCTTATGACAGACTGAGAAACATTCATCGTCCGCGCCACAACCGCCTGTGTTGTGCCGATCTGTAGCATGCCAAGGGCACGTAACCTTTCATTTTGGGTAAGCCGACGCATATCAAAATTTGTTTTCTGGTCACTAAAACAATTAAACTGATGTTTCCACCCTGGAATTCAATGCCACAATGACTGTAACATTCAAAGTCAGAGTCGTGCAAATCTTGGGTTGGACCCCCATGATGATCCCAAGCATCACCTGCATTCCATGCGGTAGCTATTGGTGCGTTTGGGCGTCACATGTAACTGGAAATGTTTCTTCTGTTAGGTTCTATAGTGACTTTTTTCGTAGTCATTTGCATATTTTAGTATTATGCCCCCAAAATCAAATATCCCCTACTTTTTTTGAATAGTATACAAGAGTTAATATGTCTGCCCTGATGCACCTTACATTATAGATAAGAAGTTTTATCATTATTTTTCTATAACTTGTATTTCAAAAGGAAAATTAAAGATAAAGATTAAATGCCTTACCTCCCAAATCCAGGTATTTTTCACTTTCTGATATATATGATGCCAAAAATGGTGGCACCTTCTGTTTAGCTTCCTTTAAAAGATGTTTCAAATCTAATAAGACAGACTCATCTGTAAAAAAATAAAATTGATATAAATTTTAAGCAAATCAGGCAAATAGAGGCTATTTCTTTTCAATAGCCCCCTTTCCATGCTGGTCCTTTTTCAGCACGTTTCCTTGGAAACAACTATCTACTATCACCCTAATTGTGACAATTATTAAAAGAGAAATAAACTAGTCTACTAACCAACATTTTTATTGATATAAGTGGTAGCTAACCCTGTTTTACCACATCGTCCAGTACGACCTATACGATGAACTGTAATATACAAAATACAAAATGAGTTCAGTCAAAAGAATTAGAAAAAATGATCCTGTTTCCTGATTCAATTTAATTAAAGTTCATCTGAGATGTTGTGGATATATATATATATAATCAGATAATAAAAAGATAGGTTGCCAGGCAATGAAACATACGTCCGGTGAGTCAACAAGGGTTTCGCATATTATTTCTTTTGTCGGGAATGAAAACACTTACAAATACAACACACTAAAATATGATTACAAGTAACAACCCATTTGGTTTCTAGTTTGCCCTATTCTAACATTTAGCATACAAAACATTTAATATCAATTTCCATAATCATCGGAAATCGTTGAAAATTGATAGACTTCTTCGTCTCATGACCTTAAACACTGTATATAGTCAATTGGATATCAACTTGAGCCTCTAAAGTGTCCTGGAAGTAATTATCGGAAATCGTTGAAAATCAATAGGGCGTACAAAAACTATAGAAATGTGTTTGAAAGTTATTCAAATGTACGTTGATTAGTCATTAAGGCTGTGTGTTGCACTATTTCTACACATAATACAGCATCTTAATACATTGAAATATATGAATAAATAATATTCAAAAATGAACAAAGGACCTGTGAATTAACAACTGGGCTTTATTTTATTTAATGCTGTAAATGAAGTTAATAAATTATTGTTTTGATAGTTCTAATGGATCTATTAATCAACAACAATCAATCAATTGCTCTAAAAAATTACATACATTTTGACAATAAAAGCATGAAAGGTTTTGAGAAAAAATATCATTCATTAAAATAAAATGTTGCAATACATTATCTTTCAAAAATCAATATAAAATGTTTAAATGAAATGTATTGATTACCAGTACTGGTATATTGTTACAGGCCTACAATTAATGGTGGAAAATAATTAAAGACTCTCACAGATAAAAAAAAAACCATATACCAACTAGTAACTACCCTCAACATTGGACAAAAAAGTATATTTACAGTGTGGACAGACCAACAGAAAGATGAACAGGGCATTAAATAATGAAGTATAATAAAATATACATGAAGTATTTACCATAATTTTCTATGTCTTCTGGCATATCATAGTTTATAACATGTTGTATATTAGGAAAATCAAGACCTTTAGATGCTACATCAGTAGCTACTAAAACATCCTTTTCTCCTTTTCTAAACTGATCTACTGATCGACTTCTTTCTTCTTGATCTATTTAAATAACAAAAAATATTTCATTAGAATGCCTCCCAATACAAAAGACCCATATACCAAATCAAATTTAAATTGAACCATCTGTTAGTCCTGAAATGACCTAATTTGTGTTGAGTGTAAGTTAAACCCCATTTTTCTCTCTCTTTCATTAGAGAAGGCCACTTTCTTGTAATTTAATCAGAAATGAGTTCAACTACAACAATATTTAGGAGGTAATATCATAAAGTGGAAATAATTCCAAATCTACACATCAACGAAACATAGATTACAAGACAACCATACATACATAGGACAGATAAATAAATTTTTTCTCAAATTTAAGTTTGTCAGATATTGAGCATAAAATATCTATATGAGAGAGAGAGAAATAGGGTTTAACCTCCACTCGACACAAACTAGGTCATTTCGGGACTAACATAATGGTTTAATTTTATTTCAATAATTCGCTTGCGCGTAGAGGTCTTTAGCAGTTGAAGGAAACCAGAGGACCCGGGGAAAACCCAAGAGGCTGGACAGGCAACCCTACTCCTTGTTACGTACAACCGAGGATTCGAAACCACGCCAGTTGGCTCAATGACAGGCCTTATGATACAGCACGCTATCCACCCCCCTATCTACATGATGTTTGTATTTGTAATTATAGATTGACTTGAATGACATACCTTTTCCACCATGTATAGCCACAGCTTCTACACCTTTTAATAATAAATATTCATGAATAGCATCTACATCTTGTTTCTTCTCAGCAAATATCAATACCTAGAAATAAACACATTTAACAAAATATACAAATACTAACTGGATGTTCAAGTGAGGACAGTTTCAAGTTTGTTAGTAAATTTCTTAATAAAAGTAATGGATGATGTAAGCTAGCAACAAAGGGGTGAGTAAGCAGATCTTGGGCCCCGGGTGAAGTCGAGTATCGGGCTAGTTATCTAGAAAATTAAAATTTAGTTTCGAAAGATTAAAGGGAAATCAGTATATACCAAATTTAATTTCACTTTTGGCTCCTGTGTCAACAAACAACTGCTTATATCTCAACATTTATTTTCATTTGGAAGTAAGATTAAGACAGAAAGCAGATTTCCTCTCCAATATACAAAATCCAATGAAATTGACAATTTTATTTTTCACCCACCCTAAAGAAGGAGGTTATTTTAATCCTATATTCACATTCTAAATTCATTAATATTGTTATTTATCATGAAACACTCAATCTATTCATATGTAAATATAAAGTGTGATAGTCATGCTAATCTGCCAAATAAAAGGCCCACAAACAATCAGATTAACATCCAGATCTATATTACATTTAGTTTTTATACTTTTGATGACCTCCACTGGTTGTAGTGGGATGTTGTGTCAAGCAGTTTTTGATCCTATGAATCAGTCTTTTGGTTAACCAATCAGCGTCAGTGTTTTCAGTAGGTTTTCGGGGGGTTGGATGGCCGAATGGTTAGCACCGCGCGCGCTCTATCATACGGTCTGTCATTGAGTCAACTGGCGGGGTTTCGATTCCCCGATTGTACATGACAAGGAGTAGGGTCACCTGTCCAACCTCGTGGATTTTCTCCGGGTCCTCCGGTTTCCTCCCACAGCTAAAGACCCCTACGCGCAAGCGAATTATTGAAATAAAATTGAACCATGTGTTGGTCCCGAAATGACCTGGTTTGTGTCGAGTGGACGTTAAACCCCATTTCTCTCTCTCTCACTCTTTCAGCAGGTTTTCGGAAATACAACTTTTGCTTTGATTTCTTTTCTATCGCTGAGAATGCCAACCCACAGTTCCACTCACCATAGCTAACAACTAACAACGATATTTTGAACTTTTAGAAAAGAAACGAAATAGGATCTGTGTTTTAAACAGATTGGCTCCACAATAAAGATATACCACCACCTGTAACAAGACGTCTAAAATTCGGGTAGTTTCAAAAATAATTATTTTTACATTATAGACAAATAAAAGGAACAAACACTGATAACATATGATAACTTACAGGTGGAGCTGTTTTTTGTAGACATTCTAATAAATAAACAACTTTAGCTTCTTGTTTAACGTTTTCTACTTCCTGTATTACATCTAGATTAGCTGCTCCCGCCCTACCTACATTTACTGTTACAGGTTTTACTAGAGCACTACGAGCAAAATTCTGGATCTTTTTTGGCATAGTGGCGGAAAATAGTAATGTTTGTCTCTGACCCTGCAAATAGAAATGAAAAGTTAATTCATTCAATGACAGCTTTAAGATATTTCCACAAAAGTATTTATAGGGTAGTTATTTCCAATAAAAGTGTGACAAATTGTTCAAGCTGAAAATGGACTCTTCCCTTCAATCCAGTCACATGAAAAACAAGGATGCTTAACTTAGACTTTACATCTTAGGGTAGTTCTGTTTTCTTCGGATTAAAATGTTTTGAGATGGATTTAAAGCAAATTATTAATAGATTAATATTTTGAATATGTTTTTAGTCAAAATATATCATCAAATATATCGTGGAAAGGCATCTTTAAATAATGAAATAAAAGGAATGATAATTAACTGTTATGCTTCTGATCAATATTCTTTACCTACAACAGTATATTAGATCATATAGCTTACACAGCATTTTACCTAACTGGTTGGATCATAGTCAGTATTGTACAAAACAACAAAAGTGTTCTCCTATCATGAAAAGATGGGCTTCTGATATCCAATATTTAAGATAAAATGGAAAGTTTAAAATTGGCACACAAATTGTGTGCCAGAATGCTTTCGAGCCCCATTTGTAATGATATATCTTAATGAATGAGGCTAAACATATCCCACAAGTCGATGCGAATGAGAGAGATGGGGTTTAACTCCACTCGACAAAAACTAGGTCATTTCAGGACTAACATATGGTTCAATTTTATTTCAATAATTCGCTTGCACGTAGGGGTCTTTAGCAGTGGGAGAAAACCCAAAGAATAGAGATTTAGCTCCTTTAAGACAGAAATATGTTATGAGGTTTCGTTATGTACCTTAAAATAGGAAAAGATAGTTCTCACATCTTCTTCAAATCCCATATCAATCATTCTGTCAGCTTCATCAATACTCAGATATCTACATACATCCAGATTTATCATCTTTTTATCTAACATATCCATTAATCTACCTGGTGTAGCTACCATAATATGTACACCTCTAAAATATATCAAACATTATAATATAATAAGTACTCTCCTAAAATATAGCAATAATTATCAATTGTATAACCCTAAGTATATATCAAGCTGTACACTATATATTCCTTCAAAATATACAAAACATTATAATAGGTACAATCCTAAAAGATACATTCATCTAACATTATAAATAAATAAATCATTATAACTTTTACCACCCTAAGGCAACACAAATAAAATAAGTTGTTTCTGGGGCACAGCCCGCACGCAAAATTGGTTGCGCGTGCGGCCTATTTATTAGTCTTGATGAAAAATAAAAAATATGTAACGCCCGCCCGAACATCGATAAGCAAGTCATAAAAAGAATATGCCGCATGTATCTACATGCCCCATACGTGAATATCCATTCAAACCCATTCAAACGTATTAAACTGATTTAGATGCAAACGTTCATTTACGGGTCTTTTTTATTGATATCGAAAGAACCTCCATTTTTGTATCACGTGATTTTAATTACTTCCCCTTGTGAACTAGAATTTGATTCGTGTTAAACACCGAAAGTCATTGACAACAATGCAATGTATTTCAATCATTCGATCTTAATCGGCTCATTATTGCCGGCTTCAGTCGGTCCATGTTTGAAAAAATCCTACTTATAAAACAATGAATCGTAGAACAGGTTAATTATTATAACTTGTGGCTACGAGTACGAATACGATACGATGATAGTCACCATAGCTTAGTCAGAATCTGGGTCATTAGCACATTTAACGGTAGTTTTGATAATCCGGAAAATAATAATTGGATTACACATTTGATGGTTTTACTGACCAGTTGTTAGTTAAATTTAAATAGTCATTTGATATAAACCCCAGATAGAACACTGAATATCCTGAGAAACAGTCATTTCCCGAATCCCGATGACACGTGACATGCATTGGTTGGAATTAGGTCAATCATTATAAACCAGCGATACTAGATTTAGATCTAAGTGTCGTTTACCGTGATGATTATTTTTGATACACATGCTGACAGAGGCTTACTCTTTAAAACATTGTCGTTATTATGGACGTCTATTAATAGTCGTACGGAATTTTATTTTAAACCAATTTTAATTATGGTTGTCACCATTACATTAGTAAGCTACATTACGTGAATTAAATATGGAAAATTATTTCCTTTCAGTCAGTGTTCAGTGTTTGAGTAGACTTGATTTTTGGGTTTATGTTCTAAGTATGTATAATATATAACTGAAAGCAAAACTGTAGACGAGTAATGACTTCCTCATTAAAAAAAAAAAAAAATACAAGGCCGCCCTCCCGCCCCAACAATTTTCAACAATAGCCAAATTTTATTTTGAACCATCCTCTAGCCAGAAATGAGGTAAAAAAAAAAATAACCCGCCCTCCCCCCCTATAGTTTCAGCTGTCAGTTGCCCGAGAAACAAGACATTTATTTTGTGTAGCCTGAGGTATATTATCAAACAGTGTATTACGTACAACCCTAATTTATTCACCATCCTAAACTATATCATATAGTATTCAAGAAAATGCTAACAAAAAGATTACATTTGAAAATAGGATTACCTTTTGATAACATCTAACTGTTCTTTAATAGCTAAACCGCCAATACAGAGAGCTGTACGTAAAGTAGGGTAGCCATCATTCTCTAAATTTTTTATATGATAGTTGATAATCTCATATGTTTGTTTTGCAAGTTCTCTCTTTAAAAAAAAGAAAAGAAAACATGTTACAATAATTTATAAGAAACTTGTAATGAATCAAGGGTTGATTCAAATGAGTACACTATTTGAAGTGCACTAATTACAACAGTATTGTCCCAATATCATTCACATTTTACATGTGGCATAATATGGATGTTTGACAACTTCCCTTCAATTTATATTAGGTCTAACGCTCAAAAAGTGTTAACATAGTGATAGTTTTAAAAAAGAATATCAAATTGAGTTTTGCCAGACTGAAAAGTCACATCACATTCCCCACACTGATCCGCAGTGAATATTTGCTAGGCCGCTACAATCACTGATAAGGATGACATCGATGCGACTTAATGAGCCAGAAATATTAACTTTTTTCCTGCGACAAATTAAATTCTAAAACATTTTTTTTATGTATTGGAAAAATAAATAAAGGCGTTTGATGTATTTGTAGGTAAATATTATTTCCTATTTAGTGTAAATGGGTATTAAAATGACTAAAATGCAGCATTCTCTCCGAAGCAGTAACGTCTTATGTAAACAATGCACGCGCCATTCAGCCAATGATTGACGCTGCGTGCTGTGAGGGCACGTGTTAAGGCAGTCATCTTTGACAGAGATATTATACTAGACTCGTAATTCTCTGTGAAACAGTTTGCACATTCCCCTCAGTTTAATCATCTTACTTTAAATAATGTACTCGTTTTTCTGGGTGCCCGATATACATCTGGCAAATCTAAACCATCACCCATGTTTAAATCAGTTACGTAGAAAATATATATATTTTTTAAGTACTGGTAATTCTAATGAATAAAGTCACCCACCACGTCATCTGGTGTGTTTACAAAGATGGAGTTAACACTATCTTCCAGTACTGACTGAATCCAAGAGCTTGGAATTTAAAACAAATATGGGCATGCTTATATTTCGAAAAATATAATAAGATTAGCCGCTTGTTTTTATACATAAATCAGGATAAAAATCATTAAGAACTTACAGATGGACATATAATCAAACCATAGGGACCTTCACCTTTCATAAATGGTAGTTTTTTCTCTTGTTCAAGAGCAAACATTATAATAGGTAGGGTAAAGACTAAAGTTTTACCCGATCCTGTAAAAGCTATACCAATCATATCTCTACCAGATAAACTGAAAATACATAATAATTCAATTATAACATACATTAAACTACATGATAATAATATACATTTTACTTTCAAAATTTCACTATCGATAGTTATCTATGCCGTTAGAATTAGCCAACTGTTGCTAACATCACTCTTAGGGGACGGACAGGGGCAACAACAATATACATCCACATGAAAATGTGGGCTTATAAAAAGGATGGATCTGTCCCAGCAATTCTCCATATTACCAGAGATATAAACAATACTAGTGAAACCATTTACCATTAAAAGTTATCCTAGAGGTTTTCAAATTGTGTTATTGAACTCAGCTATAAATCTATAAACAAACTTACACAGCTGGTATGCCTTGTACTTGAATAGGAGTAGGTCTACTAATACCTTTCTTCTTCAGTCCCACCAATACTGGTTTTGGGAATTTCATCTCTCTAAATGATTTGATAGGAGGTGGTATATTATCTCCTTCCACCAAAATATGCCATTTCTTACGTAATTTGTCATGTTTAGCTTCTGGCATATTCATAATATACCTTGGTGGCCGCCACCTACAAAACATAAGATAGGTTGCCAGGCAACAAAACATGCGCCCACAGCAGCTAAATCGTCTGAGTGGTCGACAAGGGTTGTCACATATTTATTCTTTTGTAGGTAATTAGGGGAATTTAATAGACAATTTCATACAGATGAAATTATAATTTTTGTCGTCTGAGGGTTCACAAGGTTCTAAAAACTAAAACAAGGGTCGTAACTCTGGAAGTAATCTACAGAAATTGTTGAAATTCGACAGGCTTTTTTGTTTTACTAATTCAAATAATGCATATAAATTTCATACAGATCGGATGATAACTTTTGTCGCTCGAACGTTCACAAGGTTCAACAAAGTAAAACAAGGGCCATAACTCTAGAAGTAATTGATGGAAATTGCTGACATTCAATAGGCTTCTTTATTTCACTAATTTAAATGTATGAATTTCATACAGATTAGGTGATAACTTTTGTTGTTCAAGCGTTCACAAGATTCAACAAAGTGAAACAAGGGCCATAACTCTAGATGTAATTAACGGATAATTGCTGAAACTCAAAAGGCTTGTTCATTTTACTAATTTAAATGACACATATAAATTTCATACAGATCGGATAATAACTTTTGTCGTTAGAGCATTCACAAGATACAACAAAGTGAAACATTGGCCATAACTCACAGCGTAATTAACGGAAATTGCTGAAATTCAATTGAATTCGTCATTGAACTAATTTAAATGATGCATATCAATTTCAAACAGATCGGATGATAACTGTTGGCATTAGAGCGTTCACAAGATTCAACAAAGTGAAACAAGGGCCATAACTCTACATGTAATAAATGGAAATTGCTGAAATTCAATAGCCTTCTTTGTTTTACTAATTTAAATGATGCATATAAATTTCATACAGATCGGATAATAACTTTTGTCGTTAGAACATTCACAAGATACAACAAAGTGAAACAAGGGCCATAACTCACAGCGTAATTAACGGAAATTGCTGAAATTCAATAGAATTCTTCGTTTCACTAATTTAAATGATGCATATCAATTTCAAACAGATCGGATGATAACTGTTGTCATTAGCGTGTTCACAAGATTCAACAAAGTGAAACAAGGGCCATAACTCTAGATTTAATTAACGAAAATTGCAGAAATTCAATAGGCTTCTTTCTTTTACTAATTTAAATGATGCATATAAATTTCATATAGATCGGTTGATAACTTTTGTTGTTAGAGCGTTCAAAAGGTGCAAAAAAGTGAAACAAGGGCCATAACTCCAGAAGAAATTAACGGAAGTTCGTGAAATTAAATAGGCTTCTTCATCTCACTAATGCAAACAACATATATCAATTTCAAAACAATCAGATGATAAATGTATTCTGTAGAGTGTTTACAAGAAATTGTGGACGACGGACGGACCGACAGAAGGACGGACGGGGGCGCCGGCAATATACGACCACATTTCCATGTGGGCATATAAAAATTATTTATAGTCATGGTACAAGTTATTACCTTATCTTTCATTCTAAAGCAATTACTATCTAATTCATTTTTTACACATTTTACATAGGACACACAATCTAAACAAATTAGGATGTAATATTTCCAACCGGACAGTTACTGGGATTCAAAATAAATCCAATTAGGATAGTTATTTACATGTCTACCCTATTTATTTTCAAAATTGACTGACTATCAACCATTCATTTTGCCATCAAAAAGACTTGGTAAAATTCAGAAACTTTAGGCCAAGGGTATATTATATTGTTGAGAATAATGCTGGCCTTGTCCTGATACCTGTCTTATTACAAATGGCAGTAAGTTTTTATAATTATGTAGTACAATAACATACCCAGTTTTAATTGGATCTTCATACTGTATACCTTTAGCTAATTCAGCCACACCCATTAAAGCTACAAAACAATTTATGTACTATAGAAATATTATGTATTTATACTGAATAAAAGAATTATATTTACAAATAATTTCATGATTGATAACAGTTCCTTAATCACTTTATAATGACTACACTGCACATCCCTTATGTTCTGGCAAAATTGACTGAAATGTGTTACATTGTTTTTTTTTAACTCTCAGTTACTAGAAAGATTCTTTTGAAATAAAACCAGTGGTCCTAATTGGCTGATAACAGTCAGATTTTCTCTTTGATGTTTGAATAAGCCTATTGATAAAAGAAAGTAATTGACAACTATCTTATCATAAATCAGCTCAATTACAAAAGAAACTATTATTACTTGTTGATTAATAAATTAATCAACTTGTCAGATTATCCTTAACAGTCCTATTTTAGTGAGAATTTGCCACAACAGTTTGCAAAGAAGCTTATTTAAGCTATTACCTGAAGTTGACAATGACAACGACGTCTAGTGACCCAAATTTGTCTGGTTCATTTCAAAATGGATCAAGAACTCTGATTGAAACCTCTGTCAATGACCCACTGCAGGTTTCACTTGATATTTATAAACTATAGAATACACCACTGTTATCGCAATGATAAAGATTTAATGTAAAATATTTATATATCAGTCTCCTTTCTGTTTAAATCTATCACTGACTAAGCAGATAAAATAATCCAAAATAATCAATATTCAATTGAAACTGTGTTTGTTAGTCTCACAAGGTGAAACCACTTGTGAACCAAATACAGTGTACTATATTATACCTTTTTTCTCAGCCACACTTTCTAAAATCTTTTCTTCTTCCTTTAATAGTTTTTCTCTGGCTGTTTCTTTCCTAGCTGTAAAAAGAAAGTGATTTTTACTTACGTTACTATAGTGTAGCAATATATAACACAGCAGGGGGAACATAAAAACAGCCAAAAATTAAATAAATCAGTTTATTAAACATGCATTATGTAAGAGCTAAATAGGCCTATTGTAGGTCTTTCTTTGAGCCTTAAATGTTATATAAATTATTAATTAGACATTAATTAACTTATCAAGATCATAATCAACTCTTGATCCCATCGTTAGCCTGCGATATTTAGTGGAACTAAATATACTTAATGTAATGATGATTTAATGTAAAAATGAATAAAATTAGAAATCTATGAGTGGCGAGTAGCTGTCCCAGATTTTTCTCATGAAGCGACTAGTTTCGTTCAGTTCAAACTCATCAGGCTTAAGTGAGATTGTGTGGATGTTCCCTTTATGTAGTCATCGGGGACCGGAGCACAAAATGGGTCTCGGATGGACCGGTGCAGTGCTGTATCATCGGAGCAACTGCTTCCGTTATTAGTGAACAAAGAGAAGACGGCTAAAGAATTGCCGTTATAAAATGATTATTTGCATAGACTCTAAGGTTCCCAACTCATTTGACTGTGTCATTTAAACTAATATAAACAAGAGGGAATTATTTGGATAACCAGACTGGGTTATTAAAATGATTGTGTAATATGCACTAAGTTTTTCTAGTATTAGATAGTATAATTTAGAACTTGTCCAAACATGTATTCTTAGTCTATAATCAGGCTTAGTATTCAACTGCTGTTTGGCAATTGTGCTATCAGGTTTTATGATAATGACTCCCTTAATAGATATACCTAATTATCTTTACTACCTTGCCATATATATCGCGTATATTGGTGCAGAAAAATGGGCTGGTTTCTAACCTCAGGAACCGATCAACTCTATTGCTACAGGTTTCCTGTTACTAATTGTGGGATAAGGAATATGATATGACGATCTGTCATGTATTTCCTCCGCTGGTTTGCGAAAAATATCTGAAGTAATAACACTAGAGTTTTCAATGATATTATATAACAGATTATGATCCCTCTATTGTTGAATTTAATAAACCCTACCAAAAGAAATGGCATCTATTATCCTATTCAGAAATAGTCCATGCCGTACACTCTCGCCGAAAAGAAAAAAACAGCGACTGCCAGGCAGGATACGCCCACATTTTCGAGAGATGGATAGAAAACAAGCTAAAAAGGAAGTGATTTTTCCTACAATCAAGGGCCATAATTCAGAAAATTACAATTCGATATGCGCAAATATCGAAAGGAACCGAGATCTTTGGGTTATAAACTTACATTTCAAGTTTCAACAAAATCGGATAAAAATTGTGACCTCTATAGGGTTCACAACCTTGATATACCATATTTTTACGCTATTTGAGAACGAACGGCGGCCATTTTGTCTGTCAATTTTGGGCCGATTTTCACGCAATTCGAACTCAGCCATCCTTAGGATGTAACAGTGATAAAATAATACGTTTTTTAAATTGGATTAAAATTATGACCTCTATAGGGTCCACAAGCAAAAAACCTGATTTTTCGTACAATCAGGGGCCATAATTCAGGAAGTTACGGCCCGACATGCACGGATATCAAAAGGAACCGAGATCTTTGGGTTATAAACTTACATTTCAAGTTTCAACAAAATCGGATAAAAATTGTGACCTCTATAGTGTCCACAACCTTGATATACCATATTTTTACGCTACTTGAGAACAAACGGCGGCCATTTGGTCTGTCAATTTTGGGCCGATTTTCACGAAATTCAAACTCAGCCGTCCTTAGGTTGTAACGGTGATATAATAAAACGTTTTTTTAAATCGGATAAAAATTATGACCTCTATAGGGTCCACAAGCTAAAAACGCAATTTTTGGTACACTCAGGGACCATAATTCAGGAAGTTACGGTCCGATATGCGCAAATATCGAAAGGAACTGAGATCTTTGGATTATCAACTTAGATTTCAAGTTTCAACAAAATCGGATAAAAATTGTGACCTCTATAGTGTCCACAAGCTAAAAACGTGATTTTTCGTACAAACAGGGTCCATAATCCATGAAGTTTCGATCCAATACATGCCAATATCAAAAGGAACCGAGATCTTTTGGAGATAAACCTATATTTCAAGTTTCGTCAAAATCGGATAAGAATTGTGACCTGTAGAGTGTCCACAAACAAATTGTGGACGGACATCTGGACGTATAAAAAGCTAATCACATCATTTAGAAGGCTGATATGCGAGTAGAAGTGTTACAATACAAATAATTGGGCTTTTCACAAGTGAACCTGACTGAGACATAAATGATATGTAACACTGTTGGATAACATTGGAATCATTTTAAATCAAAATGGATTTACACTCAATACTTTGTTTATTATCGTACCAACAGTAATAATGACGATTGAGGCTAGCCTAAAATTGAATCGCTAATATCTCAGTTCAGACTTCAGAGTGACGCAATTTGATTGAAATTTTTAGCATATTCTGTTTTCATTATCTATTTTTTTTAACTATTATAGCGAGAACTGTCAGCCCTTTATCTAATCTAACCTAACTGGAACAACTATATTAAATTCTGGATTCAAATACCTTTAACCTGGACTGCATTAAACATGCATTATGCAAGAGCAAAATCTGCTTATTACAAGTCTTTCTTTAGGCCTGAAATGTTATCTAAATTATCAATTAAACATTAATTAACTTATCCAGACCATAATAAACTCTCGATGTCAAGGCTAGCCTTCGATGTTGGCTGGATTAGATTCCTATATGCCGCTAACGGCTATTGATAATTAAATCAATAAATGTGGATAATCGAGACTATGCTGTTTATATTAATGATTTTAGTAATGATGACCGAGACTATGCAAAAATTTCACCCGCTTCTTTCTCGGCTCATAGTGGATCAATTTGACTGAAATTTTCAGCAAATTACCTTTACACTACCTAGTTTTTAACTATTATAGCGAGAACTGCCATCTTGGGGTTTTTTTTGCCCCAGAAATCAATCCTGCTACGAACCACTATCTGTATGAAACAATGTACACTTGTCCCATATAACTGTGTTAATTTTGTAATGTGCATTTAAATGCCAAAATCTTAAAAAATCAAAAGTTATCAGTACCTTCCGCCTTTTTTTTCAATTCACTATGTTGATCTAAAAGACTTATATGGGCATTAGGTCCAACAGAAACTTGTGGATCTTCTTCATTTTCTTCTTCATCGTTTGTACTTTCCTTTTTCTCTTCCTCAGTTTTAATCAGTGCTGTTCTACCAAGTTTCTTTTCTATCTTCTGTATCTGTTAAATTACAAAACAAAAACACACAGTTAAAAAATTGTTTATTTACGGTGTACTTTTCTTATATATTTTGGGGGGTTGGATGGCCGAATGTTAGCACATGTGCACTGTATCATAAGGCTGTGATTGGGTCAGCTGGCGTGGTTTCGATTCCCCAGTTGTACGTGACAATTAGTAGGGTCGCCTGTCCAAATTGAACCATGTGTTAGTCCCGAAATGACCTAGTTTGTGTCGAGTGAACGTTAAACCCCATTTCTCTTTCTCCCTCTCTCTTATATATTTACAAAAGAACAATAACCAGATTCTTACCAGTTGTATTCCATGTAACTTTTTGAGACTAGAACCGAAGCAGTTCAGCTCATGAACAGATGTTATTTTACACTCGGTCTGTATATGTTCAGGGACAATTCTAATGACCAAGCGAGTAAGATGTTGGCTTGCTAACCTGGCTGTCCCATGTTTCGATCCCTGTGTTGGCCGAGAAAGTTCATCAGGATTTTGCGGCATGATTCTCATTTGTCAGTGGTGCAGAACAGGGGGCCTGGCAATGGACAGCATATAGTCGTTTGGATGGAACAAAAAGACGTGTACACATTCGCGTGCACGAACAGAACAGTTGACAGTTGGAATTCGATATAAGAGCAGACAATAGTGCTGCTGTCTGGGCAAAAATTTCCCTCACTGCACCCCCATAATAGCGTACGCCTGTCTTCATTAGCCTAGTCGGAGCAGAACAGTGGGACGTTAAACCCCATTTCATTTCATTTAAACGTCCCTGTAAATTTTACCGGGAACCATTTTTACGGCTAAATGTTTGCATGTCATCCCCTGTGAACGCCTGTACGATTTAAAAGGACATTTCACCGAGAAAACAAGACCTGGTAAAAACAGGCATCTTTCTGTCAAATAGCTTAGGTTGTGCCATTGCAGAAAACATCACGTTAACTTAGGAACATTGACAAGATGAAGACAAAAGGAAATTTAGTTAGAAAAGGGAGAAAAATTATGATCTTCAGTTATTTATTGCTAACTTTAAAAATTACAACAGACTAATTTCTTGAAAGATAATAATTTAAAACATGTCACAAGAAGTTGAGCTAAATGGCTGGTTAATGCTCTGAAATATGAAATTTCTACTGAAACTCCAGTTTATTTCTTTTTTCACTTCTAATTTTTGAAGACGTCACCTTTTTGTATCACCCAGTTATTAAACCCTATTGGTAAAGTCATTGTAACACAGTGATCATATCCATTTTAATGTATATCCATATAAGTTTTGACTTCCAGTCTATGTTTTTAATAATGGTACCAACTAGAGTTTTTACAAAACTAAAGCACTTGATTGAAAATCATCGATTTACTTACATTTTTAAAACACTGACAGAAATATTAGTGTAATAAAGTATGGCACTGGTTGGGAATGGAATGGACTCTTCTCTTCAGTGAGCCAAGCTCTAAATTTAAATGTAAGTGCCTCAAACACAAGTGTCTGAAGTGAGAAAAGATGAGACACAAAAAATGAAATGAAATGGGGTTTAACGTCCTACTGTTCTGCTCCTATTGGGCTCATGAAGACCAGCATACACCATGCTGTTTGCTATGAGCGAGGGAAATTTTGACTGGACAGCAGCAATACAGCCTACTCTTATTTCGAATTCCATTAACTGTCAATGGTTCTTTTACGTGCACGCCAATGGGTACACAGTACCTCGTTTTTTTGTTCCATCCAAATGACTATACATTGTCCCTTGCCAGGTCATCTGTCCTACATCACTGACAAAGAGGAACCACGCCAGAAAATCCCATATGAACTTTCTCGGCCAACACAGGGATTGAACATGGGACTTCCAGGTGAGCGAGCCAAAGTCCAACTTACTGAGTCACTGTGGCTCCCAAAACCTGCAGGTTATAAAGTAGTGGTGAACCACATGCAAACACATGAAAGCTATTACCTGTTGTTTTTTCCTTTGTTTTATTGGAACATATGGGACATAGTTTTCGTCATCAGAGGAATCACTTTCATTCTGTCTCTGAAAGGAGAAATAATACAATCTGGAAAACATATACAAAATTACAAAATGGGTATTAATTTCTTGCTCAAACATCAACAAAAGTTGATTATTGACTATGTAACATGTTGTTCAGAAGTCATCTTCAATAGAAGGCTTAATCTCGCCTTAACTACGTACATCTTATCAAGCCCTTCACGTAATACCCCGCATATTTTGGCACTATTTTTGACTGGGTATAAGCCCAGCTTGTGATCCTATCAGATTCCTTCGTTAAAAATATCGTTACGATTATCAAGTCTCGCGCTTATAGCTAAAATGTCTACATGTGACAATCGAGTTGCAAAGTTCAAGGTTCGATTAATGTCAAGGTTGCTGGAAATCATACCTGATCAACAAAGAGTTTCTATGGAGGCCGCCATATTTGTTTACAATGTGTTATGTTCGACGACCCCTGATTGGACAATGCTAATTGATCACGTGTAAACACAACGAGCGCAAAATTTCGGGAATTGCCCAGTACTGAAGCAACGGTTAGATGTTGTAAAACTCGCGATCGTTGCTTCAGGAACATGTTCAGAAGTAGGATGTACAAAGGGTGTCTTGCCAACTGGATTTGGCAAATCTATAACATTTGTTATGATCCTATATTCTCTGATAGTAATTCCCGAGAGTAGTGACACAGTCTTATATTGGAAACAATGAGCAGGGCTAACGTGTCGTGAAATTTGGCGCGATTTCACCTGGCTGGTGTCATGGTGGTTTACATAAGAAATATATCGCGTGAAATTTGGCGCGATTTCACCTGGCTGGTGTCATGGTGGTTTACATAAGAAATCTATCACTTTACCACAAAGAAAAACTGTTTGATCACTATTTTAGTGGTCCAGTCTTCACTAGTCCAGCTCTGAACGTAGGTCTCTTTACAGTCGACACTACGTCCAGGGAAGCTAGCATTGAATCAATGTCGAACGTAAACCACCGCCCCAGTCAATTTTACTGGGCAACTTTTTACCGCTAAACGGTCGCGTGGCAGTCCCTGTGAATACCTGAACAATGTAAAGGAACATATTACAACACCAATAAATGACTGAAGATTCTAATTTTTTTCAAAGATTCTAATTTTTATCAAAATTTCGTTTCGTCGTGTTTTTGGCCGACATTCCTAAATATGGACGTTGACCTTTATTTAGAGTGTCATGGCAGCGAAAAGGCAACTTGATAGGTGGAGACGTATTTTTTAACAGCCTGTTGTGTCACTCATACTGGATCTAGCGAGGTAAGCGAGGTCTTATTTTCTCACTAAGATGTTCCTTTACATTGTTCAGGTATTCACTGGGACTGCCACGCGACCGTTTAGCGGTAAAAAGTTGCCCAGTAAAATTGACTGGGGCGGTCGTTTACGTTCGACATTGATTCAATGCTAGCTTCCCTGGACGTAGTGTCGACTGTAAAGAGACCTACGTTCAGAGCTGGACTAAGTCTTCACTATTTGTGATAGAATTACTTATTTCAATATAAACTGTAATGCTATATGTGTTGACAATTGTGCGTTTGAACCTATTTGTACGTGTGCAAGGAGTCTTAGACTGGATCAATTGTAGCGTTAAACAAAGATTAGCTCTACGAGTACGACATTTGTAGCTAGACTATACGGATGGTACCTAAAACTTTAGGCTAAAGGAAAAGTAGAACAATGTTTACCTTGTTTTGAAGTCTGTTTCTTCCATAAGAATGCGACATCCTTACAAATTCTGTAGTTTTTAGTACAAAAAGAGGTAAATATCTGTAATATGGCTTACATTATTCAATAAATAATAATATTACATCTGCATAATATTTAATTTTGTCTCTCTGATCACTTCGTTTGAAAAACGTACGTACACGTATCTTGAGTTTCTACGAGAGATTGCCGTATATCTTCGTCGCATGATAATTACAAATTTTCAACTCCGGCGATATAAACACGAAACGAAATAGTAAAAAGATAAACCCTTATAAAATAGATTATGATGTACACGTTTTTTTATCATTAGTTCTGGGTAGTTTGGTTTGAAAAGGATTTACATTAATCGAAATGAAGCATGATAGTGCCAAAATCATACCCGACATTCTGTCATACTCGGTGTTGCCAGACAAGATGTACATGGAATGGATAATGAAAAAATGAATGAAGTGGGCACCACGCGGCTGTAGAATTGGGTTTACGCCATACTTCAACTTCAACTTTTTATACAGTGTGCTTATAGATAGGGGAGAAATTTTGCCCATGCAGCAATTGAATTTCAACTGTCAGGGGTTTTTTTTCCATCCGAACGAAGCTAGACACTGTTCCTTATTGCCAGGCCCTGCGTCCTGCATCACTGACAAGTGGAAACCACGATGGAAAGTCCGGCCAACGCGGGATACTACATATAGATATGTAATTAACTATCAGTTGCCGGCGTGCGGCAAGATATAACGTGAAGTATAGTGAATGAAAGAATATGAAATGGGGTTAAACGTCCCGATTTTTCTGCATCAACCGGGCTGTAGAATTCGGGCATACGCCATACAATATTTACCCAATCCCGGACAGCAACTGAATTCCAATTGTCAGGTTTTGTTTATGCATGAGAGCCTTTACGCAGGATATTCTATCCGAAGGACTAGACACCATATCTTGCCAGACAAGAGAAACCACGCTGGGAAATGATATTATCAAAATTATTTAATGCAGTTGTACTTTTCCGTTTCGAACTGACAGATAGAAGGCCTACCAAACATAACAATCTTTACCAATTTTAACACAACAGCGCCATATCCATAAAACAGCAGAGCTGAGCAAGACTGCTGCATGGCCACCATAATGGATCAGTGATACTGCCATTTTCTTTTTGATAGAAAATATTACAGAATCGATATAACAACAGAGCCGTCAAAATACGATGGGAAACGAAGCCCCGTTAACCCAGTCCAACGGTACGTCTTAAAATCATTTTGAGTGAAGCTTGTATTATTACAGCACAATACTAGATCTTCAAAATCGAGCGAAATATTTTGATACCAGGATTGTGGGGTTAAGGGCTAGGAACCTTTAGTGTGCATTATTACAGGAGCAGGAGCTTCTCGGTATTACAGGAGGACGCAGCGCAGTGGACGCGCTTATTGCTAGCCCCGGATCCATTCACATGAATTGATATTTTTTGTTTATTTTTTGCAGTGTCTGTGTACAGGGCCCGTGAATTTCAACTGTCAGAGGTTCTTTTTCCATACTACCCGAACTGAGGTATGCTGAGTCATGTTTTTGTTTTTTTTAAAAATGTTGGTATAAAAAATACACTGTTACGTGATCGGAAAATATAAGAAACCTATACGGTGACTTTTCTGAATGTGGGTACCTGGTGGCATGGGTAAGATTAGAATCGAATTCTGTCAGTTCATTTTTTGGGGAACCAGTGGTTTCCAGGCAAGATACGCCCACATTTTGGTATACAGTAATAAAAAATACACTGTTACGTGATCGGAAAATAAAAGAAACCTTTTCTGAATGTGGGTACCTGGTGGCATGGGTAAGATTAGAATCGGATTTTGTCAGTTCACTTTTTCTGGGAACCAGCGGTTGCTAAGCAAGATACGCCCAAATTTTTCAAGTGATGGAGAGGGAACAAGCTAAACAAAAATGGGATTTTTTGTACAATCATGCAGGGACTATAATCCAGGAAGTTACGTTTGGATATGCACAAATAGCGAAAGGAACCGAGATCTTTGGGACATGAACATATATTTTAAGTTTTATCAAAATCTGATAAAAATTTGTAACTTCTAGAGGTTCCACAACCTTGATATACCATATTTTTACACTATTTGCATAAGAGGGGTGGCCATTTTGTCAGACAGTTTCGGTCTGATTTTCACGAAATTCGAACTCAACTGACATTAGGTAACGGTGCTACATTTAAACGTGTTTTTTTTTTAAATCGAATAAAAATTGCGAACTCTTGAGGGTCCACGGGCTTAAAACGTGATTTTTCGTATACAATCAAGGGCCATAATCCAGGAAGTTACGGTCCGATATACGCAAATATTGAAATAAACCAATACTTTTGGATTATAAACATACATTTCAAATTTCATCAAAATCGGATAAAAATTGTGACCTCTTAGAGTGTCCACAAAGCTAAAAACGTGATTTTTCGTACAATCAGGGGCCATAATCCATGAAGTTATTGTCCGATACATGCCAATATCGAAAGGAACCGAGATCGGATAAAAATTGTGACCTGTAGAGTGTCCATAAACAAATTGTGGACGGACGGACAGGGGCGACGGCATAAAACTGTGGCCGTATAAAAATTGGTAAATTAAAAAGTATAAAGTAATTGCTCTGGCCTTAGCGTCATGGATCCCCGGCCCGTCCTTGTTCCGTTTGTGGCTATCATCCGGGCCTATAATTATAATAGAACGTTACAATGGTCGCTCTAGGAGGCTGACTGGTATCCGATTATTAAAACCGAAACTGAAAGCGAGACTTTTACTTTCGTCTTCGATTCATTAGGCGCTAAAAATCGCGATTTTTTGTTCGACATATTGTCAATTTCGGACCTTTTTCCGACCAATGATGTAGAAGGTTTATTATAGGCTTGTCATGTCAATAATTGTCTAAATATTAATTTATATCATTTGATGCGAGAAATAAAACCCATGTAATAGGCAGATTTATAGCTCTTACATATAGTTGATCTTTAATTAAACATGTACATTATGTAAGAGTTAAATCTACCTATATTGCAGGTCTTTCTTTAATTTTAGGCCTGAAATGTTATCTAAATTATTAATTAGACATTAATTAAGTTATCCATGGACCTTATAATAAGGTCCATGACTTATCCAGACCACAATCAACTCTCGATGCCATCGCTAGCCTGCGATATTTAGCGGATTGGAATACATTTTTTTTAAAAATAATTAAACGTTAAAGTGGATAATCGAGAATTTGTTGGGGTTTTTTTTTTATCGTGAAATGAAATGAAATGAAATGGGGTTTAATGTCCAACTGTTCTGCTCCGGACTGGGCTAATGAAGACGGGCATAGGCCTTCGCCATAAAGTGTGATATGAGGGAAATTTTGCCCGGACAGCGACAGCGGCACTACAGCCTACTCTTATATCGAATTCCAACTGTCAAGGGATCTTTTACGTGCACGCCAATGTGTTTTTTGTCTCATCCGAACAACTAGACAGCTGTCCTTGTCAGGCCCTCCGTCCTGCATCACTGACAAGGGAGAACCACGCCGGAAAATCTGGATGAACTTTCTCGGCCAATGCAGGGATCGAACACCCGACCCGTTTTTTTCATCGTAGTATACTGACTTTAGTAATAATGATCGAGGCCAGCCTAAAATTCAAAAGCTAATATCTCGGTTCAGAGTGGAGCAATTTGACTGAAATTTTCAGCATAATATCGGTTCAGAGTGGAGAAATTTGACTGAAATCATATTCTATTTACGTTATCTATTTTTTTTAAACTATTATAGCGAGAACTGTCAACTCTTTATCTAATCTCCCATAATGCCCCTTTAGTATCATGTTCCTGAAGCAACGACTGCGAGTTTCACAACATCTTGATAAGATGTACGTAGTTAAAATGAGATCAAGCCTTCTATTGAAGATGCTTTAGAAAAGACACGGCACGGCCGGCACTGCTTTTTTTCATCTTCCATTTATTTACGTTTTAAAGTTTAAGGAATATTATTCTACTATAAGCTATATATATATATATATATATATATATATATATATATATATATATATATATATTAGCTAAAAAAAAAAAAAAAATAAAAAAAAATAAAATGTTATTTTAAACAAAATATAATTATGCTGTTATTGGGTGCCTATACGGCAGTGGCTAAATACCACGCTCGTCCCTAGTATTACTTCTATACAAATGTAACGTGGTACGAGATTTTGGTACCACGAACTTTATAATTTTGCTGATTTTACTTTATTAAAAGCAAATTTTGCAAATTACATTAATTATTTAATGAATTTCGATGTTTTATACTATTTATAGATGATATTTACACTTAATGTTTAATATAATCTAATTCAGACTGTCCATCGGTCGGTTAAAACATAGAAAATAATCGCCATTTAGGTACGGTGTAAAATTTATTGTAACCCATTTAAAAAGACCCTACGTGGTATATTGGACTACTGGGTAGATATGAAACAAAACGTAGCAGATAAAAACGTGGTACAATAAAATAGGATGATACGAAAGTGCAATGAGTTGATAAGCAAAAAAAAAAAACGTGGTATAGTAGAATCCAAGGCTGAGATAACAGTACCACGTTCGCTTACTGCTTCTATACAAACGAAACGTGGTACGCGACTTTAGCAAATTATGTTGATTATTTAATCATTTTGATGTTTTTATAGGCTATATACTGCACCCAATTTTAAAAAGTCCATACGTGGTATATTGGGTAGATATGAAACAAAACGTTGCAGGTAAAAAAAGGTGTATAATAAAATATGTGGATGATACGAGAGTACCGTGAGTTAATAGTTAATAAACTAAAGTGGTATAATAGAACCCGGGGCTGAAATAACCGTACCACGCTCGCCTTACTGGTTCTATGCAAACGGAACGTGGTACCAGACTTCGGTACAAAAAAAAAGTGGTATAATAGAATCCGAGATTAAGATAACCGTAACACGCCCGCCTTACTTCTGTGCAACGGAAACGTGGTATGCTCGCCTTACTGGTATAATAGAATCCAGAGCTGAGATAACCGTACTACGCTCGCCTTACTGGTTTTATACAAACGGAACGTGGCACGCGACTTCGGTACAAAAAACGGGGTATAATAGAATACGAGACCGAGATCATCGTACCACGCTCGCCTTACTTCTATGCAACGAAAACGTGGTATGCTCGCCTTACTGGTATAATAGAATTCAGAGCTGAGATAACCGTCCGTACTACGCTCGCCTTACTGGTTTTATACAAACGGAACGTGGCACGCGACCTCGGCACAAAAAACGTGGTATAAAAGAATACGAGACTGAGATAATCGTACCACGCTCGCCTTTCTGGTTCTATGCAAACTGAACGTGGTACGCGACTTAGGTACAAAAAACGTGGTATACTAGAATTCAATATGTATTGATCCAGATAACGAGACTGAGATAATCGTACCACGCCCGCCTTACTTCTATGCAACGGAAACGTGGTATGCCCGCCTTACTGGTATAATAGAATTCAGAGCTGAGATAACCGTACCACGCTCGCCTTACTGGTTTTATAACAGAACGTGGTACGCGACTTCGGCACAAAAAACGTGGTATAAAAAAATACGAGACTGAGATAATCGTACCACGCTCGCCTTACTGGTTCTATACAAACTGAACGTGGTACGCGACTTCGGTACAAAAAACGTGGTATACTAGAATTCAATACTAATCCAGATAACCGTACCACGCTCGCCTTACTGGTTCTATACAAACTGAACGTGGTACGCGACTTCGGTACAAAAAACGTGGTATACTAGAATTCAATACTAATCCAGATAACCGTACCACGCCTGCCTTACTGCTTCTATAAACTGAAAAGTGGTATACTCGCCTTACTGCTCCAATACAAATGAAAAGTGGTACGCGGCTTTGGTACCACGTGCTTTTAATTATAGAGATTTTACATTATTTGAAGACGATTTTGCAAATTGTGTTGATTATTTAATCCATTTTGATGTTTTATAGGCCATATTTACACTTTATGTTCAAATACATTACAATACAGATAGCCGATTGTTCGGTTAATAATCATACGGTTAATAATACTGGTACTGTGTAAACTATACCCTACTTAAACAGACTCTAAGTGGTATATTGGGCTTTTGGCTAGATGAAACAAAACGTGGCAGGTAAAAACGTTGTATAATAAAATATGAGGATGATACGAAAGTGCAATGAGTGGATAAGTAAAACACCAGCGGCTGCCAGGCAGGATACGCCCACATATTTTGAGAGATATTAGAGAACAAGCTAAAAAGAAAGTGATTTTTCCTACAATCAAGGGCCATAATTCATGAAGTTACAATTCGATATGCGCAAATATCGAAAGGAACCAAGATCTTTGGGTTATAAACATGCATTTTAAGTTTCATCAAAATCGGATTAAAATTGTAACCTCTACAGGGTCCACAACCTTGATATACCATATTTTTACTTCGCATACAAGCGGCGGCCACTTTGTCCAGCAGTTTTGGTTTGATTTTCAGGAAATTTGAACTCAACCTTTCTTATGGTGTTACGGTGATATATTCAACCGATTTTTAAAATCAGATAATAACTGTGACCTTCAGAGGGACCACAAGCTAAAAGAGGCGATTTTTCGTATAATCAGGGGCCATAATTCATGAAGTTACTATCCGATATGACCTCTATAGGGTCCACAAGCTAAAAACGTGATTTTTCGTACAAACAGGGGCCATAATCCATGAAGTTTCGATCCGATACATGCCAATATCGAAAGCAGCCGAGATCTTTTGGGGATAAACCTATATTTCAAGTTTCGTCAAAACAACCAGTTTCCTACCGAATTTTAAGGCCCTTTTCAGTCGAAATTCATGTCAAAGTGTCATGGTCATAATAGGATCAAATCGTTTTACAGGTCACAAGTTGACAAATTGTAGGCTACAGTTATCACAGCCTCGAATTAAAAGGAACGTGGTACCAAAGCCGCGTACCACGTTTCCGTTGTATACAAGCAGTAAGGCGAGTGTGGTAGTGTTATATCAGCCCCGGGTTCTATTATACCACTTTTTTAAACTATCAACTCATGGTACTCTCGTATCATCCACATATTTTTACACCCCGTTTTTACCTGCCACGTTTTGTTTCATATTTACCCAATCTACCATGAGTTGATAATTTAAAAAAAAGTGGTATAATACAATCAGGGGCTGAAATAATCGTAGGACGCCCGCCTTACTGGTTTATACAAACGGAACGTGGTACGCGACTTCGGTACAAAAAAAACGTGGTAACCGCGAGTATACCACGTTTCAGGTGTATAGAAGCAGTAAGGCGGGTGTGGTACGGTTATCTCGATCAGTATCGAATTCTATATTATTATGATTTTTGTACCGATGTCGCGTACCACGTTCCGTTTATATAGAACCAGTAAGGCGAGCGTGGTACGATTATCTCACCCGGATTCTATTGTACCACCTTTTTTCAACTATTAACTCATGGTACTCTCGTATTATCCACATATTTTATCATACCCCCTTTTCACCTGCCACGTTTTGTTTCATATCTACCCAATATACCATGTAGGACCTTTTAAAATGTGGTACAGCTCGTGGCCTGTAAAGACTAAAAGACTAAATAATCAACATAATTTGCAAAATAAGCCAAAGTCGCGTACCACGTTTCGTTTGCATAGAAGTAGTAAAGCCGCATACCACGTTTCATTTGTATTGGAGCAGTAAGGCGAGCATACCACGTTTCAGTTGTATAGAAGCAGTAAAGCGGGCGTGGTACGGTTATCTCAATCTCGGATTCTATTATTATACTGTACCACTATTTTTTAACTATCAACTTATGGTACTCTCGTATCATAAACATACTTTATTATACCCCGTTTTTACCTGTCACGTTTTTTTTTCATATCAACCCAATATACTACGTGGGGTCTTTTAAAATGGAGTACAGTATATGGCCTATAAAAACATCAAAATGGATTAAATAATGAACATAATTTGCAAAATAAGCCAAAGTCGCGTACCACGTTTCGTTTGTATAGAAGCAATAACGCGAGCGTGGTACTGTTATCTCAGCCTCAGATTTTATTATACCACGTTTTATTTACTTATCGACTCATTACAATTTCGTATCATCCTCGCATTTTATTATAACATGTTTTTATATACCACGTTTTGTTTCATATCTAAGTGGTTGAGACGCTGGCTCGCTAGCGTGGAAGTCGCTTGTTCGATCCTAGATAACTGACCTTATCTCTCAACCCTCCGTGTTTAAAAAAAACAAGCACATAAGCATATCGCAACGTTTTTAGCTACGTTCTCGTAGCTAGTTCGATCCCTGCATTGACCGAGAAAGTTCATCGGATTTTCCGACGTGGTGTAGGACGGAGGGCCTGATAAGGACATCTGTCTAGTCGTTCGGATGGGGCGAAAAACCGAAGTCCCGTGTATACATTGGCGTGCACGTAAAAGATCCCTTGGCATAATCAACACAATTTGCAAATTTTGCTACAAATAATTTAAAGTGCCCATAAATAAAAAAAACGTGGTACCGAAGTCGCGTAACACGTTCCGTTTGTATCTATAGCACAAGTAAGCGTGGTACGGCTATCGCAGCCCCGTATTCTATTACATCATATTTTTTTTTTAAATATCAACTTATGGTTCTTTCTTATCGTCCCCATATTTTATTATACCACGTTAATTTTTACCTGACACGTTTTGTTTCATATCTACGCCTATCTAATATTCCAATGTACCACGTAGGGGCTTTTTAAAATGGGTATAATAACGGTTACACCGTATTATTAACCGCATGCATCAACCGACCGATCGGCTATCTGTATCCTAATTTATTTTAAGATAAAGTATAAATATAGCCTATAAAAACATCAAAATTGATTAAATGATCAACATATTTTAAAAAATTAGCTATAAATAATGTAAAATCCCTATAATTAAATAGTAAGTGGTACCGAAACAGCGTACCACGTTTCGTTTCTATAGAAGCAGTAAGGCGAGCGTGGTATTTTGAAGCGTGGTATTTAGCCCCTGCCTAAATATACGGTACGCAAAACAATGATCTATCTAACTAAAAATTATAACCACCTTGCAGCGTGCATCTGGTTTGAAAAAGGTTATTTCGTTTTATTTTTGATATAAAATTTCAGGAAATCGTTAAGTTTCTGCCGCGTACACGAAGATACGACAGCTTCTGCTGTCAATGATCCACGATATAACACAATCTGTTTCATAATATATATAGGATTAAAGAGGCCTTAATTCTTATTCCTCTGTTTAAAATGACTGACCTTTATAAAGAACATATATGCATTCATTCAATCATTGGGCAATATCTCGTTCAATGTTTACTGGTCCGGGAAGAATGGTGTTTTTTAATTAATGTATACTCATTTACACTAACTAATGACTATGAAATATGAAATATTTTTTTAGCCAGATATACTCCAAAGAGTTATTTTTCTTATATACCGGTACTTCAAAAAGGTGTTTTTTTAGAATTTAATTTGCAGATGGAAAAAAGTTAATATCGCGAGCTCATTAATGAAGCGGAATCGACGTAATCCCTCTCATATATATCCTCAGCATACTAGATCGTATATTTCTATGCACCCTAGCGCATATCCAGCACTGTACTGTTAAATTGTTCAGTGTGGGCATCTAGCCGTATACTACAAGTCTCGGTCACCCAGAACCTCCTAGTCTTCGTAGAATATTTGTCTGAAGGATAGAGACTACACTGAATACACTTCCTCGTTGATAATGATATGAGAGCTTTCAAAATTTATCTTCCAATTTTTATTCAGATTTGTGATCAATATGGATCAATCTAATTCTACTGAATTAAAGAGTGGTTATTTATTTAGTATTCAGAAAGGGATTCTGGTAAGTTTTGGCAACATTGTGTAGTGTTGATTGAAAAAGTCGTCTGCTAACTGAGTGCTGATGTAGGTACTATGTATGTAGGGCCCCGGGTACTATAGGCTAGGCTATCATTACTGGTCACTACATCAGATATGATCAATGCAGCAGTTCACCTTCTCTTCAACAAGTTGAATCACCTCTCTATCACTATCATTATATTCTATTAAACAGCTAAATTTCAGTTTAGTTGACAGGTATAATAGGCTACACATGTGTGGAGACTCCTGAAGATCAAAATGACCCAAATATGTCATCTATAATATCAAATGTCTATAGGCCTACTTTTCCCATGAATTATTTTTACTATGGTTATTGGAAGGGCAGATATCCACAGGGCTGTGGTCGCACACTAGCTTTAGCAAACTATGTGATACAGAGAGAGCGAAATGAGGTTTAACGTCCACTCGACACAAGCTAGGTCATTTCGCGACTAACACATGGTTCAATTTAATTTCAATATTTGCTTCTGCCTAGGGGTCTTTAGCAGTGGGAGGAAACCGGAGGACTTAGAGAAAACCCACGAAGTTGGACACAGGTGACCCTACTCCTTGTCATGTACAACCGGGGAATCAAAACCACGGCAGTTGTCTCAATGACAGACCTTACGATACAGCACGTATGTGCTAACCATTCGGCCAATACCCCTCCCCTCTGTAAGTAGGATGATTGTGGGCATTGCAATGAAAGTAAGCAATGAAATTTTTGTTTATCAAGTTGACCCTTTCTACTTTTAACAATTAAAGGAGCTAAATCGCTAATATTTTGGACCTAGAAATTGGCACAAATGGGTCGCAACACATATAATAAAGTAATATGAATTTATATAACCTGTTTTACATTCAATCGAGTCCGTTTTACTGTGAATTGTCACCAGTTATGTTCGGCGAAATATGCCAGAAGTCTCAACCGCAAGTCAGTTTCAATTGGGTTAGTGTAAGCGGTTAGCTGGGAAGGCTTGGAGCCCAGGAACCAAGTGTGGGAAACCTAATTTTTCAGAATTTCGAGGTTGTTTTTGTTAATTAGTTATTTTTTTTTCTTGGTAATTAGTATCAAATTTTTTTTTTCTGTCTTATTTTTGGGTACTTTTCAGATTTTCGGGGGGTATTTTTCAGATTTTTTTTTTCGGTATATAGTGCAGCCCGATGAAAGCTAGTACTAGTGTATATGTCAAATCCAAATAATGTTAGTGGAAATATGAATGGGCAAAATTTTATTGCACAAACAATAAAATAATACATAATTGATTTTAAACTATATTAAGAGAAAAGTCTGCCCAGCATATAAATTTTAATATCAAATTGAATACAATATTTATATTATACGAATTCGTACAAAGAAAACAAATGTCTAAGGGTACTGTACTGAAGAAGAATGAAAGCATTTATTATAGCCTTAGTGCAAAGAAGCTGAAAAAGGAAGATACAGTAAACCTTTTATTCCTCATAATATAACAAATGTACAAAGTGTAATCTTAAGATGTTACATGTATATTGCCCATATGACAATTTACGAAAACAATATTTCTCTTCTGTTTATCAAGCTCCATTTATCAATACAATTTAATATACTAATGAATGGTGTATAGAATTAGTTGGCTGCTTTGTAGTTTGTTGTCCCCCGCTTTTCGAAGAAAGCAGGGGACTATTAAAATGGATTCGTCTGTCTGTCCGCCCGTCACACTTTTTGGGACACAATAACTCTCCTTCTAATTGACCTAGAATGTTCAAACTTGGTGTAGATGTTTATTAGGTCAATGCCTTGACAGAGTTTGAAGATGAGCATTTTCTGCTTAGGGTAAGCAGAGATAAGCAATTTGATTTGTTGATGCTTTGGGACACGGTAACTTTAGTTTTAATTAAGGGAGAGTGATGAAACTTGGTGTATAGTTTCATTACATCAATACCTTGACTAAGTTCGATAATGAGCATTTTCTGCTCAGGGTAAGCAGAGCGATAAGCAATTTGATTGGCCGAGACTTTGGAACACAATAACTCTCCGTCTAATTGATCTAAAATGTTCAAACTTGGTGTAGGTGTTTATTAGGTCAATGCCTTGATGGAGTGTGAAGATGAGCATTTTCTGCTTAGGGTAAGTAGAGATAATTTGATTGGTTGATGCTTTGGGACACGATAACTTTAGTTCCAATTAAGTGAGAGTGATGAAACTTGGTGTATAGTTTCATTACATCAATACCTTGACTAAGTTTGATAATGAGCATTTTCTGCTCAGGGTAAGCAGAGCGATAAGCAATTTGATTGACCGAGACTTTGGAACACAATAACTCTCCTTCTAATTGAGCTAGAATGTTCAAACTTGGTGTAGGTGTTTATGATGTCAATGCCTTGATGAAGTGCGAAGATGAGCATTTTCTGCTTAGGGTAAGCAGAGATAAGCAGTTTGATTGGTTGATGCTTTGGGACATGATAACTTTAGTTCTAATTAAGTGAGAGTGATGAAACTTGGTGTATAGTTTCATTGCATCAATACCTTGACTAAGTTCGATGATGAGAAATTTCTGCTTAGGCTAAGGAGCAATAAACATTTTGACTGGTCAAGACTTTGGAACATAACAACTCTGCTTCTAATTGAGGTAGAATGTTTAAACTTGATGTAGATGTTCGTCTTGACTGAGTTCAATAATTAACATATCGAGCTAAAGCTAAGCAGAGATAAGCAATTTCCTTGGTCGATGCTTTGGGACAAGATAACTTTGATTCTATCTGATAGAGAGTGATGAAACTTAGTGTATAGTTGATAATCAGTTTGATTGCTCGATACTTTTGAAAAAAATAGATGTGCGATTAATTAATATGTGTCATCTATTTATTTGGGGATTTTGGCGGGGAAGATCAGCCTCACTGTTGGCTTGTGATCACATAGTTTGGATGTTTTTGACAATTTTGTAAGATTTAAAATTAGATTTTATAATTTTTACATCGATCAGCTGCCCCTCCTGGCGTCCTTCCTCCCTGGCTCATCCGCCTATGGAAATATTTTGTGGACAGATTCTGTACATCATAGGTCTATTGTTTTGTACATGATACAGAAGTTAAGATAGGCTGAAGTGCAATCTATGAGACTTTTGAACAGTATAGCCTATCATATAATGCACGATATGTAAGTAAGGAACATTCGTGTAAAAATAGTGTGTGACTTGGAAAATTATGAGTAATGAGTTACTACAGCGACAAGTTCGAAAAAAGCGACAGGTAGATTTTTCTCAAAATCCCACAAACCAGTTTTGAAAAAGTGGACAAAAAACAGGGTCATATCTATACAACTCTCCCAGGGCCATTAACCAAAAGGATTATGACCATTGTTTCACTTTGATGAACCTTGTGAACTCTCGTGCGGCAAAAGTTATCATCCGATCTGTATGAAATTTATATGCTTCATTTAAATTAGTGAAATGAAGAATCCTATTGAATTTCAACATTTCCATTAATTATGTCCAGAGTTATGGCCCTTGTTTCACCTTGTGAATGCTCGAACACCAAAAGTTATCACCTGATCTGTATGAAATTTATATGCATCATTTAGATTAGTGAAACGAAGAAGCTTACTGAATTTCAGCATTTTCCGTTAATTACGTCTAGCGTTATGGCCCTTGTTACACTTTGATGAACCTTGTGAATGATTTAACAAGAAAAGTTATTATCTGATCTGTATGAAATTTATATGCATCATTTAAATACATGTCCAAATTATTTCTGGTATATTTTTCAGGGTACTAAAGCAATTAAAAAATGGTGTAGTTTACATGTATTTACAACTGGAATACCTAGCTACCTGCAGTTACACGACTCCAAAGAAAAGTTATCTAGTCCAAAAACAATAGACTTGGATAAAATAGTTAGTGTAGAAAAACTGAAAACTGAGCAAGGTTTTGAAGTATGCATGAAAAAAGAAAAACATATCTTCCGGTGTGAAGACTCAAACGAGGAAGATCTATGGATACAAGCGTTAAGCAAAATACTAAGATTAAAAACATCTGAAAAAGTAGGAGATCGAACTTCAGTGATTAGTCGGAATGACGACTCTATTATCCTCGATGATAATATGTTGTATGAATCTTTAGATGCTCGTAAGTAATTTATAAGTATCCACATTTTTATACGCCCACATGGAAATGTGGTCCTATAATGCCTTCGCCTGACGCCCACGTCCGTCCGTCTGTGGTCCACAGTTTCTAGTGAATACTCTACAGACTACATTTATCATCTGATTGTTTTGAAATTAATGTATGTTGTTTACTTTAGTGAGATGAAGAAGTCTATTTAATTTCAATAATTTCTGTTAATTTGTTCTGGAGTTATGGCCCTGGTTTCACTTTGTTGCACCTTGTGAACGCTCTAATGACAACATTTATCATCCAATCTATATGAAATGTATATCATTATTTATATTAGTAAAACGAAGAATCCTATTGAATTTCAGCAATTTCCAGTAATAACTTCTAGAGTTATGGCCCATCTTTCACTTAGTTGAACCTTGTGAACGCTCTAACGACATAAATTATCATCCGATCTGTATGAAATTTATATCATTTAAATTAGTGAAATGAAAAAACTTGTTAAATTTCAGCAATTTTCGTTAATTACTTCTAGAATTAAATCACATTTTTCAGTTAGTAGAATCTTGTGAACCCTCAAACGGCGACAATTATAAACTGATTTGTATGAAATTGTCTTGTTAATGCTTCCCATTACCTACAAAAGAAATGCGACAACCCTTGTCGACCATTCATATGAATTAGCTACCGTGGACATTTTATTGTTGCCTGGAAACCTAATCTTATTCAATTACATCCTGGTGAGTTCAGATTTCAAAGCGAATTTCTCGGAATTCAATAATTTATAGGTTACTTTACTTAAATATAGATTGTGTGTATGTATTTTAGTTTGCAATCATGTTAAGTCTGCTGATTGTCATTTGCATTTTTCGGACATCTAATCTTTCACAGCTCAGACAGTATATATATCGCCACTTTTATTTTCCTGTCAAATCAAAGAGAGCTAGTCATAAGCATATGCACTTTTACCATTTTTTCTGGTTCTATTTTTTAGCACCAATGTTTCGTGTGACGATTGATATGAACGAAACAGCAGAAACATGCCAACTTCAAAAAGATAAGATCTATTTCCTGGCTGTTAATAAATATAATATAGCATTACTTGACTATCCATCAAAAACAATTTTATATCAATGGCCATACCAATACATCAGGCGATTTGGAAGACATGCAGGACTTTTTCTTATATTTTCTGGAAGAAGATGTCCATCTGGAGCTGGAGAATTCAATATAATTACTGATGAAGGCGATGCCATTTTTGAATATATACGAAAATTTACACAGACACAACGTAGTCAAGGAATGGATGAAAATCAAGACTACCAAACGGACGCAGCGGCCTTCAAGAAAACTCAACCCAAATCAGCTATGACAGTATCTTCTAGTGAACCTCCCAGTTTACCACCGCAAATAAAGCAACCAGTTAAAACAGAGATGCCTTCAGAAGCCACAACGGGAACAAAGTCTCAAGATAGGGTGAAAAAAGCCTTGATATTGTCATCTAGCAATTCATCATCAGCTGTGAATGAAGATTTTAAACATGAACTTGGTGAAAAATTGATCAAACAATCCCCTAGTGTAGATGAAACCAAGCCAGTTTATAAAGGATCAATTGAGAACAATTTTGTTGGTGAGGCCCATTGTACTGATTTTCAGGCCACCGCCACAAATCCACAAGGTAAAAAAACTACAAAAGTGATTAAGAAAGATAAGGAACGTGAAAAGAGAGAGGAAAAAGAGAAAAAAGAACGTGAAAAACAAGAAGAGAAAAGGTTAAAGGAAGAGAAAAAGAAGGATAAGGACAAGAAGAAAGGAAAAGATAAGGCAGCACCACCTCCAGTTAAGTCAAAACCTGACACCCATGATCCATCACCAGTATATGAAGAAATGGATGAATTAGCTGTTTCCAGACACCCACAACCTACACGTGCCAAAGCTACTCCAAATCTTTATGAGGATATTGATGATGGTGGGGTACGAGCCTCTGGGGCCTATGCAGAAGCATCCAACAGAAAAGTCCAGATTCCAGCTAACGAAGGAAATGGAAATTTTTACAGTAATCCTGAGGATGTAGCAGGGGATAAATCACAGGAAATAGTAACCTACGCAGAACCAGAAGGAAAACGCTCTGATGCTTGGCGACAATATGGTGGAAAAGAAGATGATGATGGTCATGTTGAAGATTATGTTAATATCAAAATGACTGCAACTGAGTTTGCAAATTACAATGATAAACAATACCCTGTTCAAGATGATTATGAAGATGAGACATATGATACTTTCAGTAATAAAACAACTTCAGTAGAGACAGAAAATATTTATGGCATGAGTTCAGGTAAAGTACTTCATGCTCATTCAGCTTCTGGGGGATACGAAGAGGCACCAATTAAGGTTTCAGTAAAATCTTTGTCTGATTTTAAAAAGCCTGTTCTAGTTTTAGAAGGCACTGAATATCTAACAGAAAGCACAGATAACTGAAATTGATATTTGAAATATTAAAGTTGGTTGCCATTAAACACAAGTATGATTATAATGATGCCTCATAATATCCTTTTCGGCAAACCAAAAGGTGAAATTTTCCCGACTAAAGGGCAATTAGACTTTCAGTCCATACATATACACAAGTAGTCTGGTCAAAAAGCAGACTGGACAAGCTTTTTTTAAAAATTGATCAACCCTAATGTAATTTATAGGCCTACTATTATAACCAATACTGTCTAGCCTGATTATTTTTCATTTAATCACTTTTTGGCCCTTAACTTTTATTGTTACTTTGAATGAGGAAAATGAGACTTTACAAGACAAATATAGAAAAATAAGTTTATCTTGTTAAAAAAAAAAGTGTACTAATTAGTTCTACTGAGATATTTGGGACTAGCTGCTACTGATCTTTTTAAAAACAGGCGAGGGGTGGATGGCCGAATGGATAGCCGAATGGTTAGCATGTGCACGCTGTATCATAAGGTCTGTCATTGAGTCAACTGGCGTGGATCCGATTCCCCGGTTGTACGTGACAAGAAGTAGGGTCGCCTGTCCAATCTCATAGGTTTTCTCCGGGTCCTCCAGTTTCCTCCCACTGCTAAAGACCCCTACCGCAAGCAAATTATTGAAATAAAATTGAACCATATGTTAGTCCCAAAATGACCTAATTTGTGTCGAGTGGTCGTTAAACCTCCATTTCTATTTGTCTGTCTGTTTAAAAACAACTATCCGTAATTAATATTTCGGCAGATTCAAGTTCATTCTAACTTGAATATCCCTGATGTAAATATAGTTATGCAAAATTATCAATGTTGGACTGGGTTTCTCCTTGAAGTCTGTTCTTGATCCTATTTGAACTGCTTATTAATACTGAGTGCTTACAAGGAGTAAAAATTTGAGTAAAACCTGTTTGAAATGTGATTTAAATAATAAAAAAAGGTAATCTCGACTTCTAACGATATTTATGCAATTTTAACTCAAATACTTATATTTAATGGCAACAAGAAAATGGTGCTTTGTTTTCAGTTTTCTGAAAAATTATATTTATAAATAAAGACTAATGTTTGTTTGATGTTCTGCATGCAAATTAAACAAAGTATTTTAAATATTACTATACAAAATAACTCATGCAGCTCGAGTTATGAACCGGTATGTAGGCCTTTTGGGCCAATACAATCATGTATGTATTATGTATTATAGTATTATATAGGATGCTTTTAATGTGGTGATTTTGGTTTAAGAAGAATATCATGATTGTTATTAAAAAATAATCAAAGATTTTGGGGATAAAAAGTGCAAGTCCCATTTCAGGTTTGAGTAAAACAGTAGGCATGTTAATAATGGTCAAAATAGTGTTGATGGTAGATTAATGAAATGAAATGAAATGGGGTTTAACGTCCTACTGTTCTGCTCCTAAACTGGGCTAATGAAGACGGGCATACGCCATACAGTGTGCTATGATGAGGGAAATTTTGCCCGGGCAGCGGTAGATTAATGTATAATATGTCATCCTTTGAATGCGGTGAAATCATTGAGTCAAGTGGCATGGTTTCAATTCCCATTGAGTCAAGTGGCATGGTTTCAATTCCCGTTTGAACGTTCCACAGATCTTGTGTAGTTTCCGTGACCCCATAAATGTTACCCTTCCACAAAGACGTGCCAAATGCCCAAATATGGCATTGATTGTTAATAAATTTCTATGAGAGTTTGCCGAAAACGGCTTTATAATGGACCAAAAATACATATATTATATATTATAAGGTCCATTGCTTTATCAACTATTTATTTGTTTATATAAAAAATGAATTTAAAAATAATCATTAACTATGAGCATTTAATGGAGTCCCCCCCCCCCCTTTTTTTTTTTAGAAACATTGTTTAAAGCCATATGACTTCATATTCAAAATAATTATGTTTCTATATAAAAGACATTGTGCTTTGTTTTAATATGTTTTATATGCTTAACTATTTTGTGGAGGTATAATTGTGATAAGGTAAAACTAGGGGTTGCCATGCAAGAGATGGACAGAAAAAGCTAAAAATGTGTGAATATAGAAAGGAAGCAAGATCTTTGGGTTATAAACATACAGTTCAAATTTCATCAAAATAGGATAAAAATTGTGACATCTAGAGTGTCCACAAGCTAAAAACATGATTTTTAGTATAATTAGGGGCCATAATCCATGAAGATACGGCCCTATACATGCCAAAATCGAAAGGAACTGAGATCTTTCGGATATAAACCTATATTTCAATTTTCGTCAAAATCGGAAAAAATTGTGAGAGTGTCCACAAGCAAAATGTGGAAGGATGGACAGGGGCGACGACAATATTTGTCTCATGAAAATGTGGGCGTATAAAAATACACCAAAATATCTTCCTTCAAATATATTAAGTCTTCCTTGCACTAATCTAAATTACATTTATGGCAGGTCCATTTATGTATTGTTACATAAAAGAGTTGATATAAAATATATGATTCACTATATAATCTAAAGCTTGACAATATCAGTTTTGTTTTTATTGGAGAGGATGTATTTGTTCACGATATATAGTAGTTAAATGTTGAAGCAAATATCTTTGTCGTAAAATGTTTCTATAGTACTTTCAAACAACTGACAACTGTTATCGCATTTGTCCATACTTCCTGCTGAATAACATGAAGTGAGTTTGTTGAATTAATATATGTAAGGTTTCCCTTGCATCAGTGATCACTCTTGTTCACTCATACACCCCCCCCCCCCCACACACACACACTGCCCCCTTACATCCTTACATACACCCGTTGTCTACAGCTCAGGTTAATTGGTTTCCCATTATAGTTAATACTTTGATCTTTATAAATAATAGGATTTCCCTCTTTTATTTAAGCCTGTAAGAGTTTCTGCTGTTTTGGTTTAGTTGTAAATGGCCCCTTAATCAAAGGTGTTAAGTTTTAATTGTATTGCTAATTTTTGTTGCATATTCATATTCTGTATATATTTGTCTACTATTCACATATCTGCTTCATTTGCTTGATAAAGACAAGAGTATTCTCGTCGAAATGTCGCTTAGTATTAAACTCAGAAATTGTCTATCCATGAAATTGTACCTGGTGTTAATATGTTCAATTACTAAATGCCAATCAAAGAAGACAAGGTGAATACATGTAAGAGAAGATTACCATAGTGGATGTAATATCTGCTTGGGTACTTAAAGATGCATTATGTAAGATTTAGATAAACAGCTGGCCATTCTTGCGATAATAGTTCAAAAATAGATAATGAAAAATGAATATATTAAAAATTTCATTCAAATTACTTTATTCTGAGTGAAGTTATCACTGTTTGAAGTTTTGACAAGATGTGGCTTAAATTATGTAATATTTTTATCGTAACAACTTTACTTGTTATTCAAGACTTAGCCTTGATTCTCCATTTTTATACGCCCACATTTTCATGTGGATGTATTATGCCGTCGCCCCCGTCCGTCCACAATTTGTTTGTGGACACTCTACAGGTCACAATTCTTATCCGATTTTGACGAAACTTGAAATATAGGTTTATCTCCAAAAGATCTCGGCTGCATGTATCGGATCTTGGCATGTATCGGATCGAAACTTCATGGATTATGGCCCCTGTTTGTACGAAAAATCACGTTTTTAGCTTGTGGACCCTATAGAGGTCACAATTTTTATCCGATTTTGTTGAAACTTGAAATGTAGGTATATAGCCTAAAGATCTCGGCCCAAAATTGACAGACAAAATGGCCGCCGTTCGTTCTCAAATAGCGTAAAGATATGGTATATTAAGGTTGTGGACCCTATAGACGTCACAATTTTTATCCGATTTTGTTGAAACTTGAAATGTAAGTTTATAACCCCAAGATCTCTGTTTCTTTCGATATAGCGCATATCGAACCATTACTTCCTGAATTATGGCCCCTGATTGTACGAAAAATCGCATTTTTAGCTTGTGGACCCTATAGAGGTCATAATTTTTATCCGATTTAAAAAAACGTATTATTATATCACCGTTACACCCTAAGGACGACTGAATTCGAATTTCATGAAAATCTGCCAAAATTGACAGACAAAATGGCCGCCCTTCATTCTCAAATAGCGTAAAAATATGGTATATAGAGGTCACAATTTTTATCTGATTTTGTTGAAACTTGAAATGTAAGTTTATAACCCAAAGATCTGGGTTCCTTTCGATATTCGAGCATATCGGAATGTAACTTCCTGAATTATGGCCCCTGTTTGTACGAAAAATTGCGTTTTTAGCTTGTGGACCCTATAGAGGTCATAATTTTTATCCGATTTAAAAAATCATATTATTATGTCATCGTTACACCCTAAGGACGGCTGAGTTCGAATTTCGTGAAAATGGGCCCAAAACTGACAGACAAAGTGGCCGCCGTTCGTTCTCAAATAGCGTAAAAATATGGTATATCAAGGTTGTGGACCCTATAGAGGTCACAATTTTAATCCGATTTTGTTGAAACTTGAAATGTAAGTTTATAACCTAAAGATCTCGGTTCCTATCGGTAACTTCCTGAATTATGGCCCCTGATTGTACGAAAAATCACATTTTTAGCTTGTGGACCCTATAGAGGTCATAATTTTTATCCGATTTAAAAAAAACATTTTATTATATCACCGTTACACCCTAAGGACAGCTGCGTTCGAATTTCGTGAAAATCGGCCCAAAATTGACAGACAAAATGGCCGCCGTTCATTTTCAAATAGCCAAAAAATATGGTATATCAAGGTTGTGGACCCTATAGAGGTCAAAATTTTTATCCGATTTTGTTGAAACTTGAAATGTAAGTTTATAACCCAAAGATCTTGGTTCCTTTCGATATTTGCGCATATCAAATTGTAATTTCCTGAATTATGGCCCTTGATTGTAGGAAAAATCGCAATTTTAGCTTGTGGCCCCTATAGAGGTCATAATTTTTATCCGATTTAGAACAAATTTAGGACAGCTGCGTTCGAATTTCTTGAAAATCGTCCCAAAACTGACAGACAAAATGGCCGCCCCTTGTTCTCAAATAGCAAAAAAATATGGTATATCAAGGTTGTGGACCCTATAGAGGTAGGAAAAATTGTAGGAAAAATCACTTTCTTTTTAGCTTGTTCTCTATCCATCTCTCGAAAATGTGGGCGTATCCTGTCTGGCAGCCGCTGGTTAAATTAAACCATTAAATGGTCTAGCGAGTATAGGCTTGTCATGTGAATAAATGTCTATATATAACATTTGAAGCCAAAATAAGCTCTGCAATAGGCCGATTTAGCTCTTACATTATGCATCTTTACAATGACAATTATTGGAGTCAGGAATTTTAATAATTCAGAATATTAATAATTATATAAGTTATTTTCTATCTAATCCTTGATAGGTTTAGAATTTTACTATTAAAGATACATTGTCCCAAAAGTAACTATTGGGTGGTTATTACCAATAAAAGTATGGCAAATTTGGTATATATGGAAAGTATTGTCACTCAATCCTACTAGAAAAATACTGGATTACCCGAAAAACACCCATGGGCCAAGCACTGGGCAAAAATGTCACGGTATCAAACTGGCAACTCGACTATTGTCTGCCAGCTTATTGTGTGCTAGCTTGACTGAGGGAGTGGTTGTTATTTCTTGATCAAATGGTTTGGGCGGTTTTGGGAACATTGAGAGGCATCAAGGTACAAAAGACTCTGCAATTAAACAGCAGAAAAGGGAGTTGACAGAAAATAATTAAGAATTTACTTAGGTCTCAATATGTTACTATGTATGATAAATGGACAGTAAGTAACGAAAAATACATTCTGATAAATGGCCCCTCCCTTTGTGAATTGAGCTGACAGGCATGGCGTCTAACAACAGTTTATTTATAGCTTGCGGTGTCTCCCGACGAATACAAAGTTTTGAGAGGGATTTGATGCAAACTTTTGAATTAGTTTGAAAATGTTTAGGTCCAAATATATCATTAAATCAACAGTTTGTACTATAAGAATATTATTAACTTAAACAATACAATGATAACTTGCCAGGACAAGTCATCAGCTTTGTCTTCCATAGTGCATCACATTGAGCTTTACGACACATGTGTTAGTTCCTGCTGGCATGTCCCTTTATAAATAGAGCTTGGTTGCTCGTGGGTATATGTTTTGTTAGAACATATTTTCTGTGAACAACAATTTAAATTATTCAGAACCTACATGTATATTCTTTAATGGAGGGTCAAGATTTAATTCACAAATCTGCTATAAAAGTGGACATATCTTGCATGGCAACCACTTGTTATTTATTTGTGTTGATATATTATGTTTCAATTACTAAATGCCATTCATAGAATGTATATTAGAGAGGTTTTGCTACTTTACATTTACACTTACATTTAGATGGTTAAAGATCATCAGTTTTTGTGATGTATGACGTGAAGCGCACATCATAAAAGTGTGTCCGTCGGATAGCAGCCTCCATAACTGTAAGTTAACAACACTTAGCTAAACCTTGTTTAATTTCTATTATCCAATCCATAATTTTTTTCTGAATCGTTGTTTTCACAAACTAAATAAGAAGAGGCTGAGACAAAACGTACATCTAATGCCTATCGAGATCGTGGATCAAGTTTGTGCACCACCTACTAAGTGTAACTGTAAGTGTGAATTTAGCGAAACATCATAATGTACAGTTTCAACTTACACTTATGTAAATGTAAATGTAAGTGTAACTGTTAAGTTGTGAAACCTCTCAAATTTATAAGCTATCATGTTGATTATCTGCTATATCATTATCAGTGGTTTCCAAACAATATGCCACACAGTGATGTAATTATACTTCCCAACCTTCTCAAAAACCATCAAGCGCATGTTACTCATTCATAACTTTGTTCTAGAGTATTCAAAGTACGTACATTTTTTTTTATATTTTTTATTATCTATATTTCATTTTAATGAAGATTTTTCAAAATTTATGTACAACATGCGGCAAAATAGTTTGTACTTCTTCTGAAATGTGCCAAGAGTAAATCAAGTTTGGGAATAGCTGATAAATAAAGAAATAGATGAGTTATATTTCTGCTTTGATTTTAATGCAGATTTGTTTTAATCCAATTGTTCTATGTTAAAAACTCATTCCATTTTTTTTTTATGATTGTTGAATTTTTATAGTAAATTCTATATTATTTTTGTTGTATGTTAAAAATATTTTTAAATGAATTATACCATATATATTTGATATTATTTTGAAATTATTACATATATAAAATATTTTTTGAAATGAATAGATGATCACAATTGTAAATTATATGCCTACAACTTACGTGTATATAAATATATAATGTCTATTTATTGTTGTATTGCTTACATAAAATTAAAAAAGAAATGAGATTTAATGTCCTACTTTTCTGCACTGACTGGGCTAATGAAGATGGGCATACACCATGCAATGTCCTATGAGGGAAATTTTGCCCAGACAGTGGTAGTACGGCCTACTCTTATATCAAAATCCAACTGTCAAGGGGTCTTTTACGTGCACACCACATATCTCAGCATACACCGGGATTGACACCTCCGGGCTAGCGAGCAAGTGTCTTACCCATGGACCCACCGTGGCACCCAATAAAATTAGAATACATGTGTTCTTGTTTTATATAATACTTTATATTTATTTAATTTAGAGTGAAATTATTTGTAATTAATTATTTAACATTTAATAAATGAAACAAAATCAAAATACATATCCGAGATAATGTTCCGACTTGGATTCAATTGGATTTAAAACAGGCCTATCATTAAATATCCATAGACTACAAAATGATGATGGGCTTATTCCATAGCGGGCAGCATAGATTGATGAAATTTCAATTCCACATATCTTTTTAAATAATGAATGGAATCGAACCATTATTGGACTGATATTCCTATTAGAGATTCATTTTTCACAATATTGTAGTTTACATGTGATTCCAATTCCTGAAAATGGCGCATCCAGACTTTAATAAATGGGTGGACAAAGGTGACAACAATATTTGTCAACATTAACTGTAGGCATACAAAAACAGTTTTCTGAAAATGTGATATATCAAAATCATTTATAAAATATCTAACCACAGACCATGCATTTTTTTCTCTGTGTACTGTATTAATATAACATTTCTAAACAGGACAGAACTTCATTCAAACTGGTGGTTCAACATTGCAGTTTTTAATCTCTTGCTAGAAAATGTCCAACCTATATACTAAAGGTCTATCTATTCTGTGCTCTTTTGGGTCAGCATTATTAACAAATATTGCCAATTCATCATTATACAAATAATGCAGCTAAAGTTATGACCAAAAGGAAATGTGAAATGGATAACAGTCTGCCGGCTAAGTGGGAACACACCGTTATACATGTATATATCCTGCTGGATTGATATATATATATATATATATATATATATATATATATATATATATATATATATATATATAATGACAATAAGGCTACTCGCACAAAATTTGTTTGTTTCCGTCTATTATATTATCCCCTTTGTTCTCTTATTTTATTTAGCAATATATGAATATTCAATAACGGAATAATTGCATTTTAAATAAGTGCAGTACTAAACTTTTGCCATTTTTGCAAACTCTGACTGCCATAAGAATTCATTTTCTAAGCAGTTATATATGGATCCATTCCCTATCTGGACAGTAGGCCTATTGGTCGTTGCACTTATAAAATAGAAGTCTATAGATTTTTTAAAAGAATGTGTTTTATGGTTTGGTATTAGCCACGCTTTAAACTCAGTTATACCTGTCATGAAATCAATGCTCTCAACGATACATATATAGCATACCTCTAAATTTTCTAATTTGGCCTTAGGCTTGTTTACACAGGAACATCCAATCTAGGAAGTAAAATTGTCATTGTATTCTTATCACAAATACCAGGACTCCATCAACAATGTCATTATATACCATTACCAACAAACTACAAAAATTTATTTGTTTTATTATTCCTTTTCATATTTCTATTATAAATTCTTGCATTCAGTTAGATATTTTTTTTAAGGAACCAATAACGGATTTTGGAAAATTCCTGATGAATGTTTCACTATAATCATATTCGAATATCTAATGACCACATGATGTTTTTTTTTTTGGACTGTAATACCTTTTTCATACCAAAAGTAAGACAGAAAATTAGTTCCGAGTTCATCAGCTTTTGCAATAATTGAATGATTATAATTTTTAGGTAGAATAAATACCCCAGCTTAGTGTTCAAGTAGTTATTTCCTTGAATATAATATTTAAAAGTAAGAATGTTACAATAAGAGTGATTTGTTCTTATACAGATTTCTTCCTTTCTGAAATGAATGACAATAAAATAAATGATGTAATACAAAATAGGAAATAAATTAAAATGGCAGAACTCTATAGTAATCTTGATATTTATGATATTTGTTTTACCCTCGCAAATAAAATAGGAAACAAGCCAACATGTCCCCCGCCAAAATCCCAAAATAAATAGATGACACATATTATATAATTAATCACACACTTATTTTTTTCAAAAGTATAAAGCAATCAAACTGATTATCAACTATACACTAAGTTTCATCACTCTCTATCAGATAAAATCAAAGTTATCTTGTTCCAAAGCATCAACCGATGAAATTTCTTAGCTCTGCTTAGCTTTAGGAAGAAATGTTAATCATTGAACTTAGTCAAGACATTCACCTAATGAACATCTACATCAAGTTTAAACATTCTACCTCAATTAAAAGCAGAGTTGTTATGTTCCAAAGTCTTGACCAATCAAATTGCTTATCGCTCCTTAGCCAAAGCAGAAAATTCTCATCATCGAACTTAGTCAAGGTAATGATATAATGAATCTATACTCTGGAGTTTCATCACACTCACTTAATTAAAACCAAAGTTATCGTGCCCCAAAGCATCAACCAATCAGATTGCTCATCTCTGCTTACCGTAAGCAGACAATGTTTATCATCCAACTCTATCAAGGCATTCACCTAATGAACGCCTACACCAAGTTTGAACATTCTACCTCAATTAGAAGAGAGTTATTGTGTTCCAAAGTATTGACCAATCAAATTGCTTATCGCTCTGTTTATCCAGAGCAGAAAATGCTCATTATCAAACTTAGTCAAGGTATTGATGTAATGAAACTATACACTAAGTTTCATCACTCTCACTTATTCTGTCCCAAAGCATCAACCAATCAAATTGCTTATCTCTGCTTACCTAAGCAGAAAATGCTCATCTTCGAACTCCATCAAGGCATTGACCTAATAAACACCTACACCAAGTTTGAACATTCTAGTTCCATTTGAAGGAGAGTTATTGTGTCCCAAAAAGTGACGGACAGACAGACGAACCCATTTTAATAGACCCCTGCTTTCTTCAAAAGGCAGGGGACAATTAAAGCAAAGGGGAAGTGAGTAGGTGAACTGAAATAAAGGTGACCCACATTTTCTTTTATCCTGACTAATATATTTGCTTCATGGTTAGTGTTAGTTTTACTCTCAGCTATGTCACATGTTTCAATTTAAATTTTTTTTAAAGTGAAAAAATATCATCATCACCTTCTCATTAATTACAGCTCTGATAATTTTTGTTAGCTTGGATGCCATTTCACTACGAATCTTGATAAACATTGAAGAAAACTTACTTGGTTTAAATATGGCTTTAGGTATGATTGGTCGAGATCTAGTTTTGAGATCAGATGAGGTTGTATCATGGTTGGCAGAGTTGGCTACTAAACCTTTAAATTCTGACTAAAAAGAGATAAACAAAAAATAAAAGTATTAAACCTTTTAATGCTAAATTTTTAAAGGAGATAGTCCATCTTTTTTCTGCATCACAGATAATGATGGCAGCTACTCATTCAAACGCTAATCCCCATGCTTAAAAACGACAATGTTCTTACAAAATCAGTCAAATTTGATAATTTTGTCTGTTGAAATTAACTGTTAATGGTGTTTCTGCTCCAATTAGTTGTTCTGGTTCTTTAAGTGATGTCGTGAAGTAAATACAATCTTTAATTTAGAGTTACAATTGAAGGGGTTTAGATTTCAGAAAGCTATTAAAGATTGATACATTACTATCTCTTTTAAAGATGCTAAACCTCTATAATGTATGTCAAAATAAAGTATTTATTTGAGTTAATTTGATGTGTTATTTCCATTAGTAATGGGACAAGCTCTCTATAGTCTATATGATAAAATTGACTTTCCAGGTCTATAGTTGCAATATTGTAGCATTGATGTGGTCCTGGATACAATTGGTACATTGAAGCTTTGTGCAAGTAAAGATAGTCACACAAAGCGTGGGAATACACCCACACAGCAGCTTTGTCTCAATGCAGCTTATCCGTAAGGAAAACTTGGATGATGACCAAATTGGATAAATAAATGAAATGAAATGAAATGGGGTTTAACGTCCACAAATTGGATAAGGTTCTAGGATCCTTGAAGAAACCTAATCTCTAGGGTTCATTCTCTTATGACCCCATTTTTTCCTGCTGTGTGGGCGTATTCCACGCAATGCATAGCTATCTTCGAAATCATCAGTACTCTCTGAGTACTAAATATGGCACCAAATCAAAGTCATGACTAAAACAGTTGGTTTTATTGAAAGGCACTTTACGAGTACCAGATAATTACATATATAACAATTGTAAAAAAATTAAAATGGAATAAAGCAGTTTTCAGCTTTGATAAAATAGAAAACTGAAATTTAAATAGATGTGCAAGCAACACACCAAATCGTGTACAGAACCAAATTAGACACAAACCACCCACACACCCTCTCAAGTCAACAGGAAGTTTTGAGTAACCGACTTTATAAAGATACGAGATTTAATAATATGCAGTAATATATCAGGAATAGCATAATATATCTCGGTCATGGGACTTTCTAAAAACTCTGGCCAACCAAACAATTGTAACAACTATTATATTGATTGATCAGATATTCATTCTTTAATTGAATTAGTAATTTTACAAATCAAAATACCCCTAGCCCCCAGGGAGGATTGAACTCCCGACCCCTGGTTTACAAGACCAGTGCTCTAGCCACTGAGCTATGGAGGCCTGTATGTAACCTGGCAACATATTTTGTTGTTTTCATATTTCTGATATTGATCATATAGTGTAGTATTTGATTATAGACAGAGTTATTTTTTGACTACACTATAGGATAAAACATGACACAATTATATGGAAAATAAGTTACTTTAGATGTTTATTTCTAGGGATGTTTTGACCAGGGTTCTTGCGTCTTGAACCCACAATTCATACGGGTGTGGTTTCAAGGCCAGGTCAGACCCCCTCACACACACATTTAAGTTATGAAATGTAGGTACTTGGGATAGTATTCATTCAAAAGAAATATACCTGGCCTGTCCCTAGTTAAAATCCTGTGGCCGACCCAAAAATAGCATTAAAAGGCATGCTCTGAACGATTTTTTTTTTTTAAATTTCAAAGTAAAATAATTTCATAGTTAAAAAATGTCAACATATGCTCCCTAAAGTTGGACTGCTATGCCCCCATGGACCAAAGCAACATTGCTTCAACAAATCGGACAAAAGCCCAATCCAGGCAGCATATTTATCAATTTGGGTTGTAATCTATTGAGTTAGTTAGAAAAAATGTTGAAAATATCTAAATCTGCAGGTTTGGGACTAATTAACAAATATGGACAAGCAACCAAGCAATTTGGTTGAAATCCATCAAATGGTTTGTCAAAAGTGCTTAGAATTACCTCATCAAGGTGTCTTCCCACCCCTATAGGGTCAAGCAACATAGAATAAGAACCACTCCAGCAAGTTTGGTAGTAAATCCATTGAGTTAGTAATCCAAAACATCTGACTGTTTTTACCAGGTGCCCCTTCTCTGACCCCTTGGAGCTAAATAACTTTATTTGGACAAATCAGGAAAAGTATTGTCAAATCAACATTATGCTACCAAGTTCGGTGGAAATTCAACAATCAGTTACTGTAAGAATAACTGAATAACCACAATCTAAAGCAACATTCATAACAATATTTATGACAATCCGTAAAATGCCTCTGTCCTCCTTGGCCCCAGTCGGATACAGCCCTTTAATTGTAACAAACTTTTATCTTCAACATCTAAGTCTAAGGAAGATTCCTACCAAATTGTGTTGAAATCCATAATTCAAAAATGACTAATGGTTTATACTGGATGGACGAACAGAAGTGAAGACATAAGCCCTTTGGGCTGAGGCTTAATAAGAGAATGTGGTAACACCTCTGTCCAAGAATACAGAATACTGAGTTGCAGTGGTGTATTTATTTAGCAGATTGCAGCCCATTTCACATCAGTTTATATATTTTATTTAAACATTATGTGGACCGGTATATTTTAGAGAGAGAGAGATGGGGTTTAACGTCCACTCGACATAAACTATGTCATTCAGGAGTAACATATGTTTCAATTTTATTTCAATAATTTGCTTGTGTGTAGGGGTCTTTAGCTGAGGAAGGAAACCGATGGTAGACCTGGAGAAAACTCAAGAGACGACTCTATTCCTTGTTGAGTACAAGTAGGGAATGGAAACCACGGCACAATGACATCCCTGATCATCTAACATGTACACGTTACCATTCTGCCACCCACCCACCCAACTCCACAGCCCCCCAAACCCCCCTATTATATTTCATAAATCCTACCTGTTCCACTGATGAGTATGATGTATAAAAGAGAAATAATACCTGTGTAGTATGTGATTGTCTATCTAATGTAGGATAACTTCTAATATATAACCTGTTACTAGTTTCACATCTTCCTCCCTATAATATAATATAATACACAGATTCTAAAATTCAAATTATTTAATGTGTACACAGTACCACCTTGCTATATCATCACTCTATGTTTGTCAGCCCAACATGTTCTTCCCTTAAAACATGAGAGACAAGGATTCAAAAATTCCTGATTGTTCTTCTCAGTCCAGAAACCTATGACATTCTAGGTGTTCTGTCACTCAGTTTTAAATATTATCTCTGAATTTAAGTGGAAGAAATTTCAAAAGCTATAAGGGGTAATGAGAAAATGTAGGTTTTTATATTTTTACTATAAATAAAATCTCCACCACTAAAAGTATAAAATATCTTTAATTTATTTTGATTAAATCAGATTTCCAATGGGCTTTTTAAATTAAAGCATCTGAAGTATTTCTGTAGTTTTTAAGAAAAATAAATCTTTATAACAATAATGCTAGTTTCAAACTTGCGTAATACATTTTCTGATTTAGTTTCAAACCTTTTGCTAATTAATTTAATTTTTACACCCAATTAATTCAATTTCAGTTCTTCAATTCATAAATTTACCTCACTTTTCAATTCAGTTTCATTTCCTGAATTAACTTTCGTGACATCAAACTGGGCACTATTTGAATGAGTTTCACTGTTACTGGTACATGTATTCTGAGTGTGATTGGATGTTTCTTGAGCAAAAGAAGGTGCAGACACCATTGACGTTCTTGATTTTAGTATTCCACTCGTCGACTTTTCACCCCTTTCAAGTTGTTTACGACGTAACATAAGCTGCAACGTGTTTACTTCTTGTTGCAACTTTTGAGATTCTGCTTCCAGACTGTGCGATATTAAATGATTTAAATCTGACCGTAACCTATTTAAGACATACAACATGGCTAATATAAATGATTTTATAAGTACAATTACATGTCATTATAATCTAATAGTTATCATCAACATTCACATAAAGGAGTAAACTTGGGTAGAGTTATCTGAAAATTTTGATCAATTAGATCAGATCCCATTAAACAGGTGTAAATAGACACATTAAACTTTTCTTTATTACAAATATAATTTAAATTGATTCAGAAATAATCATCTCATACATTTAACGGTAACTGATATGTGTTATCTGAATGTTTGTGGTCTAAGGGGAGACAAGAGGTAATGGAAGAGTTACCTCCCTTGACACACTACAGCTTGCTAGGTTTCAACATTTATTACTTTTAATTAACCAAATTTAAATATAAGGATATTTCATTACTACTTTTAATTCACCAAATCTAAATATAAGGGAATTTTTTGTGCCACAAATAAATAAATTCAGTCAACATATTCAAACCATACAATTTATATTTTCACGACAATTTGAAGTCCTGAATTGTCACAGTATTGATTGTCATGTACAAACTACAAATCCATGCATTGAGAATTTAAACCGTTTAGAACAATCTCAACTAACAGTAGAACACTAAAAATGTGTTAATAGAATAAAACAAATTTTCGTTGGTTAATGAAGCACAGAAATTCTTCACCACCTACTGATAATATAAAGGGCAATGTGAATAATTTCATACCTACAAAATTCAGAATTTGTATGTGGATAATCACTCAATAATTTCTTTTCTCTTTCTAAATTACTCAGACTATCCTTCTCTTCAGATAACAGCTGATCTTTTTCTAAAAATTAAAAAAAAGAACAGTTTTCTTTAGTCCACACTCATTGCCAAAGATATAGAAAGTCAGTCATCAAATTCCTGCTGGGTGAAATAGCCGATGTGATTACAAACTTTTGGAATGAAAGTAACAAGATAAGATCCCTTTTTAGAAAGTATCCAAAATTTATTTGAATTAGAGAACTAAAATTTGTTTACATAAACATCCCATTGACCCACCCGTTTGTTCCTGTACTAAAGATAAAACTGTGTTTTCTATAATCTCCTTCTCATCAGTTAATCTATTTATTTCTCTTATGTGTGCTTCATATTCATCAATATCTGTTATAAAATATTTTAAAATATACATCAATATCTATAATTAAATATTTATATACATCAATATCTATAATTAAATATTCATATACATTAATATCTATAATCAAATATCCAGACACATCAATATCTATAATTAAATTTTCATAATTGATCCAAGTTTCATTCTAGTCATATAACTCACTCAAACAGACTACATACTACATAGGGGACTTCTGTTTTATTTTGTCTTGAGATCAAAATGATTTCCTAGAAGCTAACTTGTATATTTCATTTAGCATGATATTGATAATCAACTGAATTGAAAGTAAGAACTGATTTTAAGTTTGAACCAATTTTAAGAGATTTAAGTTAAACAAGCATTTTGTAAGAGCTAAATCTGCCTATTGCAGGTCTTTCTTTGGGCCTTAAATGTCATATAGATTATTAATTAGAAATTTATTAACATGACAAGGTCATAATCAACTCTCGATGAAATCAGATGGTTCTGATTTTAAATAGATTAGAATGGTTCGGCCATTTAACGATTTAATTTAAAATTGGAGAAGCGAGGCTAAGACTCCAATGACGAGTACGGTGGTTACAATCAATGCACACATCTTGTTAAAATTATAATCATTGACAACTTTGCTCAAAATAAAGTAATTTGAATGAAATTTTCAATATATTCCTTTTGCATCATCTATTTTTGAAATATAGCAAGAACGGACAGCTCTTTATCTAAATCTTACATAATGCCCCTTTAAGGTTGCCATATCTCAGTTTTTATAACTTTCAACAACCTAGAAAAAACAGGACAAAAACTGTCCTTTTACACACCAGCAGACAATTCTGTTTCTTTTACCAGTAATCCTTCTAATTCATCTTTTAAAGTGACATCACGGATAGATGTATCTTTATCAGTCAAATCAAAGTCTTTCATAAATTCATTAACATTTTTTCCAAATTCATTCAAAATTTCATCAGAGTGTTCAATTGCTGTTTCCTGTAATGGTACATAAAATACAGCACATAAATTATAAAGCAAATTTGTTTATAATACTGGTTAGCCAACATTGATCAGGCCTAAAACTGGATCGATTATCAAGAAAATGAGAGTTCCCTAGGATTTCAAAAATGGACATAAAAAGTCGTTTTGTAGATGCTCGACATATTAGTCTACATTAATTTATCAAAGAGGGAGATGAGGTGCCCATTATGATGTTAAATAAACATAAGTTAAAAAGAGTTGTAAAGTATAATATTCCAATTTAACAAGACCCTGCATGGCAAAGTTCTTTAGCAGTAGGATGCATCCCAATAAAACCCACTAGGAGTAGGTACACCAAATAGTGATACTAATTTTAATTTCAAATTTTATTTTAAGAATGCATAATTTATTTCTTAATTCTACATTCACATATACAGACAATATGGCTGACATTAAGATTATCGGCCTGTCTGTCATTAATCTAATATGTTAATATTTTGATTTAAAGCTCTAAAGCAAGAATGGTCTTGACTGTGTTATAATCTTTGGGTGCCATAGGCTTATTAAGAGACATCTTGAGCAATTAACAATACAGTCAGATCAGTGCCAATCAAGTGTTTACTGTATTTATGACTTAAAGTTTATTAACTGATTCTATTAATTATATTTTACTATGAAATTTTAACCAATGAAATTTATGAATTAATTTAACTTCTTCAATTTGATTTGTTACAACAATGTTTACTATCCCTAATTTTATCTTTGATTTGTCGAAATGATTGTCCTTTTATCTGTTTGCAAATTAGTTTCTTTAAAAGACCCCTACAACAATCCGAGAGAAAAGAGAATCACATGAGAGAAACAGATGAGATGAGATTGGAGTTAGAGTTAAGAGTAAGACCTTTTTTAACCATAATTTGTATATTAATGTAGGCTATGTTTAATTGTATATATAGTAATATTGAATGAAATGGATTTGGAATTGGACTTATTCATGAACAGTGACCACCTTCACCAGAATACTGCCCATCAGTAATGACCTACACCCACCCCCATTCATAGCTCATCGATATGTATCACCTGTACTGGGTGCGCATTCCAACGAAGAATAGCCCTGAAACACGTTGGTGATATACATACATGTACATGTAAAGACTAAAGAGAGACAGAGAAATGGGCTTTAACGTCCACTAGACACAAACTAGGTCATTTTGAGACCATCATATGGTTCAATTTTATTTCAACAATTCACTTAGCAGTGTGAGGATATGGGAGGACCTGGGGAAAACCTACAAAGTTGGAAAGGCGACCCTACTCCTTGTTATGTGCAGTGTTAATTTGAAACCATGCCACTTGATTCAATGATATAATCTAAAGTGCATGCATTAGACCAGTCAATACCCCCACCCCCAGGTACATGTACATGTAGGTATCACTACATTCTACTTCTTGTCACAATCAACATATATGACAGCTTCATGACAACTGTGGTACACAGTTTTATACCGCTATGCCACCCAATCATCTTAACTTTATAGAGTATATTAAAACAGACCATCTTTTTTTCTAGGTCCATCTTTTCTTCAAGAACAATTTGCTTTTGTTCTGTTAGAATTATTTCTTGACTAGTCAACCATTTTAATCTCAATTCTTCTTCGTTCAGTTGTTGTACCTAGAAAAAAAATACTTCATTCCATTAATTATGTGCAACATTAACATTCTGCAAAAGATGAGAAAGTTACCATACAGGTTAATCAAAGTTTAAAGGGATAAACTTACTGGTACCTCAATAATAAAACAAACTTTAATAAATAATAAACAACAAAAAGTACCTGCAAACCATACATGTACCTTGATTACCATAAGTTAATAAGCTCGCCCATTTCTTAGCATTTTTTTATCTCAAAAATATGTTCTTGCCGACTACTATAAATCTTAAAAGATCTAAAACACTAATATTTGGAACCTAGAAATTGACACAAATGGGTCGCAACTCATATAATAATGTAATATGAATGTACATAAACTGATTTACATTCGATCGTTTCCATTTTTACTCTAATTTCAAATCAGGTATGTTCGGCAAAATATGCCAGAAGTGTCAATCGAATGGTTATTTCAGTCTACACTGATAGTATTTATTACAAATGCCGTTTGATATGACTTGTGGAATATGCCTAGCCTTGTTCTTCGAGTCCCTTATTACAAATGATGCTGAAACGCATTATGCTGCACGATTCGTGTACCAATGATAAAATGTTTATTTTGTCTTAAATATTGGATATCAGAAGCCCATCTTTTCACGATACGATAACAACATCAATGTTGATTTAAATTGACAAATAATTCCTGTTTTCAATGTCGAAGACTTTGGATGATATTGAGTTAGAGATTTAGCTACGTTAACTATTAACTGATAGATTATCTGTCTATTCTGTAAACACAAACCTTTAAAACCTGTCGACCACGTTGGCTCTCTCTTTCTTCTTTGGTTGCCAGTAGTTTTTCTTGGCATTTCTGAATTTTTCTTTTCACTACAATAAAACCATCTATAGGTTACACCAGGACTGAGTTTCAGATAACAATCTCCTGATGAGTCACGGACTTTAAATCAAATAAGAAATGAAATGGGGTCTAATGTCCCACTGTTCTGCTGAAGTTTCTTTAGGCCTGAAATGTTATCTGAATTACTAATATAGATATTAATTAACTTATCAAGACAATAATCAACTCTCGATGCCATCGTTGGCCTGCAGTATTTAGTGGATTTGAATAAATTAATGTAAAAATGGATTATCCAGACTTTGTTTATTATCGTACCAACGTTAGTAATGATGATTGAGGCTAGCCTGACATAGACATTTTGCTTGTTCCCCTATCTTCCATTCATATCTAGTGAATAGGCCTAAGATAAATATCTTTTGAAAAAATTTGAGACTATTCTGAGACAAGCTTAACTTTCAATTTACGAGTCAGGCAAATTGTGGATTTAAAGATAGGCCTACAATAGTTAGGAGTTTAATAAAGAGTTGGCCATTCTTGCTATAATAATTCAAAAATAGATGACAAAAAAAGAAAATATTGAAAATTTCATTCAAATTACTTCATTCTCAGCCAAGTTATTATTGTTTGTAGTTTTGACAAGATGTGTGCACAGTGGTAACCAGGGCACTTGTATAATTTGCCTAGCTTTCCCATTTTTAAATTTAAAAATAATTTTTTAAATGGCGAACCTTTTTAATCTAGTTAAAATCTTGAGCATCCCATGCCATCGAGAGTCGATTATGGTCTTGTTAATAAATGTCTAATTAATAGCTTATGTAACATTTCAGGCCTAAAGAAAGACTTGCAATAGGTAGAATTGGCTCTTGCATAGTGTATGTTTAATTAAAGGAGTTTGTGAAAAATATATCTCAGTTAATGGTCCGACCAGAAACTGTTCCAAAAGGCAAAAGCAACTTCGCATGCGCTTGACTTGGGCCTAGTATTAGTAATAATAACTATGGGCTATAGGCTAGAGAATTACCTGGGGTTATTTTAATTTTAAACCTACTTTATTTTATATATAAAAAAAACAAAAAACAAACAAACAAAAAAACGATTATAGGCCTAGTTATTCTCTTGCAAATCGACGTAGGCGTAATGTCTAGTCAATGCGCAGGCGACCTTGTTTATTAGGTCGACTAGCCTAACTAATTAACTAAGCAACCAACGGTAGCATAGGCAGGTCTGTTTTATATCCTTCGGATGAAAAGATTCCTTGCCTTCAAGAAGGCGGTTCTTCCTCTCCTGTGCCCGTCGTTCCGAATGAATTATTTGATCAAATAATTCATCTAGCGTCGAGGTCATCTTCCAAATTCTTGATCAATCAGGAATCAAAAATAAAAAGGCCTGTTCCACAACATTCTGGTTTTTTTTTAAGAAGACGGCGAAAACTTGACTGATTTTTGTCAGATTTTAAGAGGTGAAATTAAACGAAACGATAGAAATATTATTAAAAGAGAAACAAGAGTGTGTAGACAGATTATGAAAGTAAACTGGAAAGATTTTGAAACACAATTTAGAATACAAATTTCAGTCATATAAAGTCTACAAAAAAAAAAAAATAACGGTACGAAGTAATGAAACCAAAGGTAGATAACTTTTCTAAAATGAGGTTGATAATTGGATTTGTCCCCCTTGTCACAAAATTTCAGACAACTATTCTTTGTATTGTTATCCTGTTAAAATTCATTGACTTTTGCATTGCATAACATTAAAAGACAAATTCTATTCCATTTTTCAATGAATACAGGAATTTTTAAAAGGATTGGCCATGGCATACGACTACTTGGAATTTTCTATGATATAGAAATAAAATGAAATGAAATGGGGTAGGCCTACACAGCTTCCAACTGTTCTGCTCCAACTGGGCTAATGAAGAGGGCATACATCATGCTATGAGTGAAATTTTGCCCTGACAACGCGCTATGCCTAGACTACTCTTATTGAATTTCAACTGCAAAGGGTTCTTTTACGTGCACTGCAAAGTGTTTTTTGTTCTCTCCAAATGACTATACATTGTTCCTTGCCAGGCCCTCCGACCTGCACCATGGGGGAACCAAACAGAAAATCCTGATGAACTTTCTTGACCAACACAGGACCTCCCGGTTAGCGAGCCAATGTCTTACTCACTGAGCCACTGTGACTCCCTCTAATGATATAGTGACATCATTTTTTAGATGCTATTGAATGAATAATTATCAGGGTTACCTCTAGTCCAGCTCTGAACGTTCAGAGCTGGACTAGGTTACCTCTTATAGGATATACCCCACCCCCTCTCGTTCAACCAATCAGATAGGAAGGTTTCTATTGTTTCAGACTGTGTCATTGAAACTGAAACGACAGTTCTTGGACACAAATAATATTCCTGGAAATTTTCAATGTTATTTTCAAATTCTCCCAAAGTGAAATAGTGGCATTTTGCTCTTGTATTCTTTGTTTAATTTCATATAATTTTGAACATTGTTTCTCCAGTCCAGTTTGGTGTATGTTATATTGTTGTGTGTGTGTGCTGTCATCCTGCACTATCTTATCAATGTACACAAATAACAAAGAACAATAGAATTGATAACATCATTTATTCACCACAGAAAAAACCCAGAAATGAATTTATTAACAAAAAGTTAAACATGATTCCCATCTAGTTTTGTATACATATAATTCAATATATTAAGAAATATAGAATATCTAAATGGAAAGACAAGTGTGAACATGTTAAATCACATGGTTTATTAACATAGTGGATGCAATTAGTGGTTTGAGCAAATAACCCTCTATACATAAACCTTTCATGACATTCAATATAAGCTGTATAATGGATGAGAATTAGAACTGATGATATTTTTGTTAATAAAGTAAAAACAATGTAATGACATGTCAGAAAACGATAAACACTATATCTGGTACTCACTGGTAGCCCTATTATTACGCCTGTAAGCCTCCAGTAATAAAAACTGTTGCAAACTTAATAAAATTTTACTCTCTATGGAATTAAATAATAAAATTGTACTTGCTGCAAAACAAAATATTTTTTTAACCTATAAGAAAATATATTTTACTTTGTGTGTGTACAAGAATCACAGTGGAATTTATTTCTAACTAAAATACTGGTGTTGGTTCAGTTACTACCAGTATTGCATCACAGAAAAAGAAGCAGCTTGAGTGTATACATCAGGACCCTGTGTACTAATTAAAGCGTCTTTTAAAATTATTAATGTATTTGTATAATAAGAGCACATATAAATATATATATCCTTACCATCTCTTATTCAGAATATATTGTTTTGGATATATACAATAAAACTAATTAGAATGCCATTTGAAGTAACAAAATCAAGGAACAAAAAGAACTAGGATAAATTTACTGAAATGTTGTATATATACATTCAACTGAGGTATTTTTTTTTCTGTTAAAAACAACAAATTGTCAAATATGCATTGACATATATAGAAAGGTATTTGGTAAATGTGCTCAGATTTGAACTGATGGTGCGAGTTTGCTAGGTGGTAAAACAAACATTTGTCAGCTATGTATATGAATTCTCAAGGGAGAAGTTGTCATAGATTCAGCATTCAAAAAATTAATCTTCCATCCAGTGTATAATCACTGTGGGTATGAGACTGCAAGGAGCTTCGGGATATTTGTTACAAAAAAAATTGGAAATGATGTCTCCATTTAGTGCAATCTCATAGAGATGTATAATATTACACAAAAAATATGCAATAGTGAACATCTGTTTCTGTTTGGAGAAAGACATTCATGTCCAAGTGCTGCAGGTGCTGAGGTATTGGTTTTTGTGCAAAATTTTGGTAGTTAATATTTTGGCTTTATTTGGAGTATTCTTAGACAGAGCTTGATATTATACTAGAATGTGTATGTGTTGGGGGTGGAGGGATGGGCAGTTGGATTGTGATTTTTATATTTTGTTTTTATTTAAAGCAATCTAAATATGTAAGTGCAATCCTTAATGGAGAGGGACTCGATCACACCTCATCTTTTCAGCATTTGGGGATGAGAAAATCTCAATCTCCCTAGCTCCTGCCAAGCCAACTTCCACTTTGCTAATTGTGTGTTAGCAAAATGTTGCAAATCAATGAAAACTTTACATCTGAAACTATTTGACTGTATACAAAATATGTAAACACCAGTTTATGTAATACTGCAAAAATCTAATTATCTATTGCTCATCAACAAAACAAGAACATTATAAAAGTACCTGCCTTAATTAATATATAAACAGCCTTAAAAATACATTCCCACAAAAATATGTATTGGGAAAATATTTTAAATAAAAGTATGGTAATTTTGGTATACAATGTATATGGAAAGTAGAAACACCAAATCTTACTATAAAAATATTGGATTCCTCAAAAACACCCAACTTTTTATGGATAAATTAGTTTGAATACTTTTTTAGTCCAATATATCATGAAATTACATAGTTTATACGTGGGCATCTTTAACTTCAGCGATGACTATACAATTGTCCACTCATAAATCTGGAATTTGTTTTGTGTCTTCAGATGTGCCCAACTAGAACATTCAAAACTCACTCCAAAAGGACCAATTGCATGTTTAAAGGAGCTAAATCGGTAATATTTTGGAGCTAGAAATTGGCACAAATGGGTCGCAACACATATAATAATATAATAGGAATTTATATAAACTGTTTTACATTCAATCGTTTCTATTTTACTGTGAATTGTCATCAGTTATGTTCGGCGATATACGCCAGAAGTCTCCACCGAAAGTCAGTTTCTAGCGTCTGGTTATTCCAGTCAACATCGATAGTATTTATTGTGCATGCTCTACAAATAAGAATATGGCATTACCGTTTGATATGACATGTGGAATATATGTCTAGCCTCATTCTTTGAGCACATTGTTACAAATTGCACTGAAACGCATTATGGTACACGATTCGTGTACCAATGGTAAAATGTTTATTTTGTCTGAAATATTGGATATCAGAAGCCCATATTTTCAAGGTAACATCACCACACCAATGCTGATTTAAATTGCAAAAAAAGTCGTGTTTTCAATGTCGAAGATTTTGGATGATGTTGGGTTACGGACTTAGCTACTTTAAGTTAACAAATATTTTTTGGGCTATATAATTTGCATACATTCAGATCTTGTGATTTTTATCAACACACCAATACATTATACGACTAAAAAGACTGATAAGATTGATAGTAACTATAAAATGTGCAATATCAATATCCATTGTAGTATTTATTTAAACCAGAAAGAAATTCCTACAATGTTTATATTGATATAGTCAAGAATGGATGTTCTATTTGATCAAAAACCACTGAATTTTTAAACATTTAAGTCGTTCAACTTTAGTTATTGCTGTTTTATCCAAACAAAACAAAATTTCATTTTCACACAACCCTAATCAGCATTCTAATTGATTAAAAATATTCTCTAAAATAAATGCAAAATATCAACAAGTAACTATATGCACATTACTATTTATTCATATTCAAAAAGCCACATGTTTATACCTTGTTTATGCAAATACCCCAGCTTTTATGGTCCATGTTTAATTGTAACACTTTTAAGAGCACACATTCAATTTCAGTGATAAGCACCTGTTGTACTCCAGTTATTATGAAAACTTAAACACTCGACTTGTATAATTAACTTAAAAGCCTTAAAGGAAAGCCTTACTAGAATCTAGTATTACCAAGCGTTTGCCATTAAAGATACACCAACAATTTGCAAGGGATGGACAGAGAACAAGCTAAGAAAAGAGAAGCAAAGTTATGGTCCGATATGCACGGTTATCGAAAGGAACCCAGATCTTTCGGATATAAACATGGGTTAAAGATGGGTTTCCAGAAAAGTATTTATCGGGTGGTTATTTCCAATAAAAGTATGGTTATTTTGGTATATATGGAAGGTAGAGATATCCAATCTTACTAGAAAAATACTGGATTCCCCGAAAAACACTCATGGAGCGTAAACAGGACAAAAATGTAAGGGTTCCCCTAATCAACAGCCCGACGATTAGGAATTTCTGCACGCGTGATGTCAAGGGTCACACGTAAACAATGAGTGCTTGATGTACAAGTTGATAAACTTTATGAAGAGTTAGACGTACAACACTTTCCGAGATAAAAATGACGGAAAATCTGATAATTTATTTAGGATTCGATATTTGTAATAAATAGTAAGCGATTAAAGACAACATCGTCTTGTGTATGTAATGAATTCTCTTCTGACTTCCAAGAGAGGTAAGTCACGTGACGTAAACGTGACCCGGTTTGATCAAATTTTAATAGCAGGACATTCCTTCGCAATTACAATGTTTGAGAAGGATTTGAAGCAAAATTATGACAAATAAATTACTTTGAATATGTTTTTAGTCCATATATACCATTAAATCACCCAGTTTGTACGCGGGAACCTATCTTTAAGTTTTATCAAAATCATATAAAAATTGTGACATCTAGCTATAGAGGGTTCACTTCACAACCTTGGTATTACATACTTTTAAGCTAAAAAAAAAGCAAAGTTACGGTTCGATATGTGCGGATATCAAAAGGAACCCAGATCTTTGGGATGTAAACATATATTTTAAGTTTTATCAAAACCACAAGCTAAAAAAAAACACTATTTCATACCATCAGGGGCCATAATTTCAGAAAGTTACAGTTCGATAGGAACCAAGATCTTTGGAAAATAAACATATATTTTAAGTTTCATCAAAATCAGATTAAAATTGTGACCTCTAGAGGGTTCCCAACCCTCATATTTCCATACTTTTACACAGTTTGTGTACAAGGAACGCCCATTTTGTTGAGCAGTTTTGCTCCAATTTTCACAAAATCAAAACTCCATCGTCATTATGGTAAACGGTTATATATTAGAACAATGTTTTTTTTTTAAAATCAAATGAAAATTTTAACCTCTAGAAGGACGATACCGTAAACTGTGATTTTTTCTGTACAATCAGGGGCCATAATCCTGGAAATTACAATCTGATATGCACGAATATCAGCAGTAACCAAGGTCTTTTGGTTATAAACATATATTTCAAGTTTCATCAAAATCGTATAAATATTGTGACCTCTACAGTGTCCAAAATCTAAAAAATGATTTTTCGCACAATCAGGGGTCATAATCCATGAAGTTACAGTTTGAATCTGATACATGCCAATATCGAAAGGAACCAAGATCTTAAGGAGATAAATCTATATTTCAAGTTTCGTCAAAATTGGATTAAAATTGTGACCTGTAAAGTGTCCACAAACAAATTATAGACACACAGACAGGGGTGACGACAATGTGGGCATTTTAGACATGCTCAACCCAAAGTACAGATCGTCGTTTTATCGTAAATAAAATATATCTGGTAAGACTAGGATTCCCCTTTAATGTAACCTATAAGTATATTTTTTTTTCTTGATGACATCATGGATCAGTACCATATTAGCTTAGAGAATTAATATACATATTTTTACTTTATTTTCGCTTGAGTAAACAATAATTACTTAAAGCGATAATTTCATATTTTCTAAGAAAGTCAAAACATAATTATTTCCATGTTTTTTGCTCAATAGGTTGTCAACTCACTATTATACGATTATAGGTATTATTATCCCTCTTAAAAATCCTTTGACCCCGGAAATAATAACACAATTACCTCCCTTGTTTTTCTATTCCCCCCCATGGAATAGCTATCTTCAAACGTTTGAATTTAAAGTTGAAAATGATATTTTTGCCAATTTCTCAACTGGCAATAGTAAATTATAGGATTAATAGGATTATTCTTTAACAAGGTAGGACTGTTTATAGATACCATCTATTTTAAGGCTTTATTTTAATAAATTTTAAAAATATAACTTAAAAATATGAAATTGCAGCTTTAAGGTTTAGGTACCAACATACTAGTTACTTTAGTAACTACCTGCATACTAGCTTAGAGAATTAATATACATTTGTACTTTATTTGGGCTTGAGAGAGCAAATTACTTGAGGTTTAAAGTAACATGTCAAAACAACAGCAGAGTAGAAGCAAACTACATTTGTCATATGATGAATATACTTTCCACTATCACATTTCTAGCTCAAGTTGAATGCCCCATATACTGCTTCTGCATATATACATGTATATAACAAACAGTAATCAGTCAATATTTATAAACTGGTTTTGAACAGTTTAAATAAAATAAACAATCTGAAAAAACATCCCTGTGCACTACGTAACCCAGATTTTATAATATTTTAACATTTTTTATGTGAATAATACCTTAGACTAAATGCGACTTAAAAGTGCTTTGTATAGGTAGTAATTTGTTTTGATGGCCTAGAAGAGTATTGGAGCAAGGAAAATGAAATTCGGGTGTAATATGTACAGTGATAGCCATTTTAACTCATGCAATCAATTGTAAAGCTTATTATTTCTAAATGGCGATTATGGAAACTACAGAATGTAATTACGATGAAGAAAATAAATAAAAAAATACTTCATTCTCTTTTCTGTTTAAGATAGGTTTTTTTTTGTTTTTTTGTCTCATCAGCATGACATAACTATAAAAAAACATGCAAAAGGCAATGACATTCAGATGAAATAGGTCAATGCTTTATAACAGAGTAGGAAAGAATGTATTAAATACAACATTGGAGCCCACATCCTTTTTCTAAAAAAACCCCCCAAAACCCACCTAAAACTATAATGCATGTAATACGGGAAACTAGCTATCCTGAAGAAGTGACCAGTAACATTAGAAATGAAATGAAAAATGACATGGGGTTTAACATCCTACTGTTCTGTTCCAACTGGGTTAATGCAGACGGGCATACGCCATACAGTGTGCTATGAGGGGAATTTTGCCTTAACAGCGGCACTATGGCCTACTTTTACATCAAATTCCTACTGCCAAGGGATCTTTAACATGCATGCCACTGACAAGGAGTACCCACACTGGAAAATTCTGATGAACTTTCTCGTCCAAGGCAGGGATCTATCACGGGACCTCCAGGTTAGCGGGACAACGTCTTACACACTGAGCCATTGTGGCTCCTGAGCAACAGTAGACTATAATCATAATGTCAAAACAGGGTTTGCAAATAAGGGAGATAATTACCAGACAATGAAAAAAATGAATGTCAAAAACATTAACTATAATGGTTATTATTAACAATTTGAGAATAAATATAGATATGTGAAATAAATTGTATTATTTACCTAAATCACTGCAAACGATAGGTTGCCAGGCAACTAAACATACGCCCACATTAGCTAAATCATCTGAGCAGATGACAAGGGTTGTCGCATATTTATTCTTTCGTCACTAAAGGGCGGCATTTACAAGACAATTTCATACAGATCAGATTATAATTTTTGTTGTTTAAGGGTTCACAGAAATAGCTGAAATTCAATCGGTTTCTTCATTTTACTAATTTAAATGGTGCATATAAATGAAATGAAATGAAAAGGGGTTTTACATCCTACTGTTCTGCTCCGAGCTAATGAAGACGGGATGATGCATATAAATTTCATACAGATCTGATGATTACTTTTGTCATTAGACCATTCACAACATTCAGTTAAGTGAAACAAGCGCCATAAATAGGCGTCTTCATCTCTCTAATGTAACCAACATATCAATTTCAAAGCAATCAGATGATAAATGTAGTCTGTAGAATGTTCCCAACAGGGCCAACAGCAATATACAACCCTATTTCCACGTGGGCGGATAAAAATATGATCAGCTATATACTATAGATACATGTATGTTTGAAAATTTATACAATGGTTCCAGACCATCATGGTTAGAGCTGAAGGTTTGATTATCAAGACTAATTATATGAGTTAGAAAAATGTGTCAAATCAATATTCTGCAGTAGACCATTAAGTAAATGGCAGAAATGCTATGTGTATGCATATCAAAGATCAGATTACATGTACAATAAATTAAACAGCAGAAATGTTATATGTATACATTTATATCAGACTACAATAAAGTGCATAAAATAAACGGATGAATAAACTGAGCTAGCAAAAAAATCCAAAACGTCATTTGTTTTTCAATATTTATGGTCTGTGTCTGTATTTAACATGTGACATGTACAAACCAAAGCCTAATATTAACATCAAAAATAGAAGGTAACAGACTAGACATCAATTATTTATGAAGAATAGAACAATAAAAAAACCAGGCAATATACACAGATTAGCAATGTGGTTTTTTTTATTCATTAAAATAGACAAAGATAATTAAGAAATTAAGATAAATCTACTTTATACTCCCATGTGAAAAGGAAACTTCAACCTACAATAACTTATCTAACCCTGCAAAAATGAATGCAAACAATTTAGAATTTGTTTTGTCTAAAGATTTTACAGTTATGTATATATATATGAAAACTAAAATGTTGAAGAAAGAAACACAATATTATGCGTCTAGTGCTTTCAGTTCCATCAGAACATCTTCTGGCCTTTAATACATATTCTCCATTAATAATTATATAACAATATTAACTTTCAAGTTAATCAGGTGATACCTTTAGCTGTTGGATAGGCCACAAGAAAGTAATTTTCAAAAATTGTTGAAATTAAATTCGCCTTTTCATTTTCATACACAAAAAATCCAGCGCCTATTGCACCGAAAAATACAGTACATAAAAATGAGCCCCATTTGCTTCTCAGGGGCTAAGTGAGAGGGATGCAATGACGAGCTTTGCGTCATGGTTTTGAGTTTTTGCGCCCACTTGAGTTTTTGCGTCTCCTCGCAAAAGGAAAAAAATCACGTAGTTTCAATGCTTTTTCAACATTATAATCGTAATCATAATGCTCAACCAGTGTCAAACATATACCGTAGGTCAGATATATATGCTATAAATCGACTCTAGCATGTTCGACACGGCCCAATATTACCCAGTGGCACTGGAATGGACTGCCACCAGTGCCACCCCACCCCCTCACCCACAAACACATATAAATATTGTTTTTGGTTCCTCATGCAAAATCATGAATCACCTCGCCCCTGTTGCCTCTATTTACAAAGGGATCAAGGACATTATCTATGTCATTAACATAGATAATTTAACAACAAATTTCAAGTCATTGTCTAGTAATCGTAACTACTAAGTAAAATTTGAAGTCAATCAGATGCTAATGTTAGCTTCTATAGCATTCAAAGGCAATAACTTTAATTGTAATAATTGGATATAAACAATACATATAAATTTAAAAAAAGATGCAATAATAACATGGAGCGTCCATATGGGTGGATGGATGATGAATTAACAACAATTAAAGACAACCACATTTCAATTGATGTGTATAAAAATAACAATAATAACAAGGATAGGCCTACATAGAACTAATCTATACTACTGTAAGTTCTCTTGGAAATTGTATGCCATTTGTAATTTTTTCTTCAAATCAAACTTAAAATCCATTTTGATTCTAATTATAAACACAATAATAAGATAAAAACATATATCAGTATATGAATAAATATATAAGATATATCATGTAAATTAGCACTAAAAGATGTATTTCAACAATTAAATATCAACAGTTCGTTCTTCACATATGGTTATTCAATATACATGGTATCAATAAGGGGAAAGAAAATTGCCCTTTTTACACTAACACCAGTAGGGCTCTATTTCAACAATAAAAATATTCTTAAATAGAAAAGGGCATGTCCATCAAAAATACACAAATATAGGTTCTCTAATTTCTGTTTCCAGTTGTTCTTGACGAAACCTTTTATAAAATGCCTTCATAAAACAAATATAGTCCTGTTGCCACACCTACTGTATTAAACATGTACTAGCAAATCAATAATCCTGTTTAACTGTTTTCAAAAGATATAGTACAAACCAAACATTACAGATTGAACTGTTTACCAGAGAATTTTTTTTCTTGTATTTTGTGAAAAATACACAAGGCAGATTTAAATATTTGTGCATCACACACAAAGTGTAAATATCACTCTTACCTCTTATGTGATCAGGATCTTTGCAAGACAATCATGTTTGACTAGAAAAAACTGAATAAATTTTGATAAAGAGTAAAGTCATTGATGTCAGTTTGTGTAGCTTTAGAATACGAGCCAAATGTCAGTCGATGGGAGAAAATCAATCTTAACCAATTTCAAAGAAAGCTTCCTAGCCGCCCCCCCCCCCCCCCACAATACTATATACCGGAAAACACATTTTATACTGAATACCGGAAAACACTAGAAAAACATTAAATACCGGAAAACACACTAAATACCGGAAAATACCCTAAATAGGTAACCCGGAGACTGGCACCCTAAATAGGTAACCGGGAGCCTGGTCCTCTGTGGGCTGGGTTAGGGTTAGGGTTAGTTTCCGGTTTACAGTATAGCCCTTCTCCGGGTTACCTATTTAGGGTGGTTTCCAGTATTTAGTGTGCTTTCCGGTATTTAGTGTGCTTTCCGGTGTTTTCCCGTATTCAGTATAACATGGTGTTTTCCGGTAGTTTTCCGGTGTTTTCCGGTATATAGTATAGCCCCCCCTTTAACAACCAATTCGTGCATACTAGCTCTAAAATCATTGTCAACAAGAACAAGCCCCGCAAAGTAACCTTTCCACAGTCAGCCCTCCTTATTATAAGCCCATTAGCAGTAAAATCATTTGGAGCAAGATTAACAAATCTATTGTGAAGTTTTAAAAGTTAAATTGTGAATGTAAAAATAATGATACAATTTATACAAAATATTTAAAATTCAATACCCTGTTTTCATGCCTAATGAATAGTCTCACAAAATTCAAATGTTATAAATAGCCATGTAAAGAAACATATTATACCTGCAGCAAATAAGTTGCCCAAGCAGTCCACAAAGCTTGTCGCAGATTAATTCATTTGCAGGTAATGGGAACATTCACAAGACACTAAAAACTGACCAAGAGTAACAAGCATTGAAGTATTTACCAGTATCAGTAAAAATTAAAATTTTATTGTTTTCTAGTTCTTCATTGTGCTAACATTTATTACACTAAACATGTATCAGTAATTAGATGATAATTATATTGAACATAATTATTGAATTAATGTATGTCCAATTGATTAATATCCTACTTCACATACAATGAAAAACAATGTATATAATTAAATTAATTATTAAAGGCACAATACAACATGTAGGCCCTAGATGTTATTTCACACTATACATGGTTTCACATTCAAACAAAATTAATTCTAGTAAACGCTTTTGATGCGTGAACTTTAGACAGCGGCCTGTAATATAACGAGGCAATTTTATGATAATTTGCAAAATTTTATCATTTCTGTATAATTTAATGGAATTTGAAGACCTGTGAATAAAATATATGTTGTTGTCACCTTTAAATGTACACTAACAGTAACAAGACAATGTTAATTTGGCATATATACTTGTATTGTAGGACTAATCCTTTAGTAATTTTGTGATTACTAGTCTGAATTCTTATAATTTTCCTGTAGCAAAAATGTTTGGATTTGACAGAAAAGGATCATAGTGGACATGATAATAAGTTGTCAGACCAGAGTCATCAAACTCTTGTTCTAATTAAATCTGTCAACATTTGATATCAAGTCAGCTCTCTTCTGTTTTCATCCAGCAGGATTATAATGTACTTAATATGTTTTTAAAATAAATTGTTCAAAGAGAAATATGAATAAACCAATTTTCATTTCTAAAAGATAAATGCTATTTGTAGAACATATAAACCAATAACACTAACCATTTAAATTTTGTACAGGAAGTGTCTAGACAACTGTTGGATAGTTAATCACATGGCAATCTTTAGTAATCATTTAAATCACATCTGAGATTGGTTGATAATAGTGATTGATGTGAAATCTGTTGTAACCACAGTACATAGTTTGTTGATTTAATTGCATTAATAATTATACTTGTTGGGATATTGATTCAAATACAATACAACCAACTGTCCCCCCGATGCTAATGTAACACCAGTCAAATAAACAAACATTTTCATACTTAAAATAAACAAGTGGTTGTCATGCAATATACGCCCAAATTTTGCAAGTGATGGACAGAGAACAAGCTGAAAAAACAATATTTCTTACAATCAGGGGTCATAATCCAGAATGTTACTGTCTAAAATGAGCAAATATCAAAAGGAACAGAGATCTTTGGGATATAAACATATGTTTGATGTTTCATGAAAATCGGATAAAAATTGTGAACTTTAGAGAGTTCACAAGCTAATAATGTGATTTTTCATACGACCAGGGGCCATAATCTATGAAGTTATGGTCTGATACATGTCGGTATTGAAAGGAACAGAGATCTTTGGGATATAAAGATATATTTCAAGTTTCATCAAAATTGGATTAAAATGAACGGACACTTCGACGGACCGGGGTGACGACATAAAACGTCCACATTGAAGATTCTTTATATTCTATTCACTATAACTAGTATTATATTTTCCACATTCCACTTTTAGTTAACAAATCAAGACACCATAAAGGTAATTTTCATTCACTGATTATAACACAAACCATGAGCTCATGCTATAATAGCTACTCCCCATAATCTATAAACATGTCTGTAGGTGATTTGTACTTGGAATTGAACATGGTTGAAACTATTTTAGTATAAAATAATAATTATTACATAAAGAATATACAATGGCAGGATTTATAAAATTGTATTTGAAGGCTTGTCTATTTGAACAAATAAACATAGTAATAAATCAAAATTATTTTTGTCTCTGGAGAGTTATTAATACACACTTTAATTAATTTGACTAATTCATTTATGTATGGATTAGCTATAAAAGTTGATAAAACCATACATAAAGATAAATGAAAAATATTATGTTGACTGTGAAATAGCATGTTATTTTAATATAAATCAATTGTTTTGTACTGTAAACAGAAATATTATCCATGCAAACCTATCTTACACTCCATTTGTACCCACACTTTTCATTTGTGACACAAGTGGAGTTACTCAAACAAACTGGATAAAAAATCGTACTAATTCATACAGGTCGTTATTTATCAGTTAAACCAGGAGTTTGTCTCATTCCACAATGTACCTTTTTTTACTCAATATGCCTTTTGTTATTCCTCACATCCCTGTCCCTGTGACCTGCACTTTACTTCTCCCCTCTCAAGTTAGAAAATATGTCTCCTCACCCCAAATTAGAAAAATATCTTCCTCATTCATACATGAAACATTTTTTTTTTTACAAATTGATGACAATATCCTTCCTCACATCCAACACTAGCCTCACCCTCAAATCCAAGTGAGGAAAATAATATCTATTGTCATAGCCAAAGGACGAAGAAATTTTCTTTCAAAGAGTTACAGATAGTTTTTGTTTTCTTCCTTGCTCTGTACCTAATTTTCCTCAATATTTATTGACACAAATGGAATAATATATATCCTGGCATTTACATAGGGTTGAAATAACAATAACATATACTGGTACTAGTTCTCTTGTAGGGGTATTACGTATTATATTTTGTGCAATTACATAGCTGAATAATTCCGATTAGTTCCTAAATTGATGTTTTATCAACCTTTTGGCATTATCTTATCTGGATTATCACCCTTTTTATTGTGGTTTTTATTGCATTTTCAAATCTTGACATCATTGGCAACCTACCGCCTTTTACGTCACGTCATTCAGTCAGCAGACGACTGTCTTTCGAGACGGTTTACATTTTCTCATTTACTTCTTTGTATTCGGTTTTGTTTTATTTTTTACTCTGTTTTTGTGGTAAATGGAACATATGACCTGACTATATTCAATATATTTCGATTCTATTGAATACTAAAAATGTTTCTCACTTGACTTAAAACATTTAGTTTTAGACTACTTGGTTTTTTATACATTTCACTTATGTGGTTACTTCATATTTCTTGTAACATATAGCAGATCATGACTCATGCTGGCATTACTTAATGGTTTCTCTGGGTTATATTCCTAATTGTTTTTAAATTTGAGTGAAGTGTGCATCACTTCAGGCCCTGGACTGTACAGCACAGTGGATGCTTACGGCTAGCCCCCAGATCCATCCACTTACTTTGATATGTTTGTTTGTTTGTGATTTCTGCGTATTGTTTCTTGTCAGTGGTTTTGTTTTTGTGTAAATTATGTGTGGTGCTGTCCCCCTGCGCTTACTTTATATGTTAGTGGGCATCAGGGGTGAAAAATAAACAGGGGTGGAAACAAGTTGCGGGACCTGTAGTCCGAATCGAATCCCAAGTCGTTGCTCCTTAAGTCAGAGTGGTTTCCCAAGTCACTGACTTTCAGGGAGAGTTGAGTCAAATCCCAAGTCTTCACAAACAACAAGTCCTGTTCAAATCGCCAGTTCATCAAATGAGTCATGACCATCAAGGCCATGGCGAAAAAGACAATTTAGAGTTCTTCACCTAACCGTCTTAGTTCTTAAAACTTTCACGTCTGCCAAAGTCCTAGTCTAGTCGAGACAAATATTTCGAGTCGAGCTGTGACGCGACTATGTCAGACTCAAGTTTCCACCTCTGAAAAAAAATAACCATGTTTTTTTGTGTATCTCTGTATATGACCTATACTATATAAAATATAAGTAAAAGCATTTACATTCTACTTATCTATATTTTATCACAAGGCAAAACAAGGCTATATAATACTATTAATACTCTAAGACAAAAAAATCAATGGGATTCACTGGTATAGAAAATGTCTCTATTCACAAATATTTATATTCTTGTGTGCAGATATATACAGTTGACCTGTCAAATGTAATTAAAGTTTACCAGAATAGCATCATTTTAATCAGTACTTTACATACAACAGGGAATGATAAAGAAATGACCGAATGATTCAGACAGAGATCACAAAAATGTTAAATTCATGACTTTAAATCAACACATTTAAATAGAGAAAACAGTTTAACAACTTGTCATATATTTCAATTACATGTTAATGTAATAAACATCTGATAGTTACGTGAATAAAACATTTAAAACATGATACTTCCTAAACATAAAACCACTGATATACATTTGGCGCATCTTATCAAAACTGTTACATTACTGGTACCGATTTTGAAGGAGCCATCCCAATGTCCTAGATTTGATGAATAAAACTGGTTAGGTTAGTGTGAAAAGTTCTAAGATTTACCATTTTCATGGGTGGTACACAAAATTAGGATGTTACGCACCAGTCTGTTTATCAAACCTTTAAGATGACTTACATTTGATGTTTTGTGAAAATTATTTAAAGGAATACAAATGGGTATGTTTCAGGTGTGGTTGGCAACCACTTTTGTCACTTCAATTATTTTTTAAAGTTTTATTTTGAAAACACATCAAAAAAATTAATAAACAGAATACTGTATTTTCCACTGTATAGGATGCATCAATGTATAAGACGCAGGACAAATTTGTTCGAGGTGTTCCAGGGAAAATCGACAATCTCCTATTCAAGGCACCTGCTTATTCCGAAAACATGTTAAACTTACTTTAGAAGAATGGGCCACCAGACTATATTTTACTTTTAAATTTTATCTTATCCAGGAGTGCCTTATCAAGTTTGTAAAATATAATCACTTGTCATACGACATGCCCAATACAGCCATAAATGAAACAGTTATCTAAGTCAGCAAAACAGTTCTGGCTCTATATTTTTTTTTACCATAAAAGAAAAGTAAATTGGCTATGGTTTTACATTTTCTCATTTCAGTTTCATATTCAAGAGCACTTGCAAAGTTTACCCTGGGAAGACTCCTTTAAAATTTATGACTATATTATTATTTGGTATAGATTAATCACATAAAAATAAATTTAAGGCAATGTGTGTATTTAGTTGTATGCTATATTTACATGTAAATCTAATGTTGTAACATCATCAGTTAATGCAGAGGTCCTAATCTGATTATCACTCAATACAATAATGGTTAGTGAAATTATAAGAGATTTATTATTAACTAAAGGAAAGTTCAAGGGAATAGATGAGGTCAAAATTAAACAGTCACACAGAAACAGGCACGGTTATAATTGATTTAAAGGCAAGTAATTAATGAATGATACTATGGCAAACAGCAGTTGCCATGTAAGATACGCCCATATTTTGCAAGCTAAAAACAAAAGCTTTTTTTCAAACAATCAGAGGCCATATTCCGGAAAGTTATGGTCGGAATGTGCAAATATCAAAAGGGACTAAGATCTTTGGACTATAAAGATATATTTTAAGTTTCATCAAATCTGATAACAATTGTGACATCTAGAGGGTCCACAACCTTGGTATGACATACTTTTACACTATTTGCGTACAAGGCACCGCAATTTTGTCTGGCAGTTTCGGTCAGATTTTTTTATGAAATTCAAACTCAATCTTCATTGATGTGTAACGGTGATAATTAAACAGTTTTTAAAATTGAATATAAATTTTGACTTCTTGCAGGTCCACGAGCTAAAAATGCGATTTTTTTAAAAATCAGGCGCCATTATTCAGGAAGTTACGTTTTGATATGCACGATTATCGACAGCAACAAAGATCTTTGTGATATAAACCTAAATGTAAAGTTTCATCAAAATCGAATAAAAATTGTGGCCTCTAGAGGTTCCACAACCTTGATATACCATATTTTTACTCTATTTGTGTACCTATTCTAACCCAACCATCATTTTGCTGTAACAGTGATATATTCAAACGGTTTTTTAAATCGGATAAAAATTGTGACCTCTAGAGGGACCACAAGCTAAAACGTGATTTTTTTTGTACAATCAGGGGCCATAATTCAGGAAGTTATGATCCGATGTACGCGAATATCGATTGGAACCAAGATCCACCATTTAGTTTAAGATGTTGTACATCTCTATATTCTTTTAAAAAACAACTTAAAACACATTTATTTAATCAGGCTTTTAACTGACTCTGTATACAATTGTTAACATGTGAATAATCTTGTTGTTTATTTATGATTACATTGTCACTTTGTAAAGTGCCCCTGAACATGTTATATGAAAGGCCGCACTATAAATATGCTGTAAACATGTATTTCAAGTTTCATCAAAATCGGATCAAAATTGTGACATCTAGAGGGTCCACAACCTTGATATATCATATGTTTCCATTATTTGCGTACTAGGGGCAGCCATTTTTGGTCGATTTTCTCGAAATTCGAATTCAACTGACACTATGGTGTAACAGTTATAAAATCGAACATTTTTTTGTAAAAATCGGATAATAATTGTGACCTCTAGAGTGTCCACAAGCTAAAAACGTGATTTATCGTACAATCGGGGGCCATAACCCATGAAGTTATGGTCCGATACATGCCAATATCGAAAGGAACTGAGATCTTCGGGAGATGTATCTATACTTCAAGTTTCATAAAAATCGGATAAAAATTGTGACCTGTGGAGTGTCCACAAACAAATTGTCGACAGACGTCTGGACAGACAGGGACGACAGCATAATATGTCCACATGAAAATCTGGGAGTATAAAAATACTGCTAATATTATCTCTAATGTGTATTTCTAAGTGATTTGAAATTATATAAAGCTATCTCAGAGATCATGCCCTGTTGTAAATACTAATTTAAATTCTATGATGATTTTAACCTGTCACAATTACACAAAATATCATTTTATTATTATCATGCAAAGCAAAAATATTTTATATAAATTCATAGGAGATTAAGATATTTGACCCTTAAAGACAGGTTTATTTTATTCTTATAATTCTACAGGCTACTTTGCAATATTCCTATTATTATAATCTGCATCTAAATCAATGGAAACAATCAATGTTTTTCTAATGTAACAGCATGTATTGATGTATTCAGTAGTATGCACAATCACAGGTTGAATTTTACTCCAAGGTTTTCAGCAACTCTTCCAACACAATGCAAGGGACTAAGCCACTAACAAAACCGCAACAATAAACAGATGATAACAAAATATCCAGGTAACAAAATATCCAAGTACACACAGTTATGATCAACAAAAACAACACATGAAGAAAACAATATAACCCCAATTCCATTTGGTGTTGAAGTTACACATAAAAATGGGCAAGTACTGTAGATGTACTTAAACGATTGTGGTTAAAACAACTACCGGTATCAATGCAGATTACATGGCTATATACATTCTACTATTAGTCTAAATCGAACATTTCCTTTTGAAGGGGTGCAAGTTTAGAGATGTCCACATGAGCAGCAAGTTTAGCACTTTCTGCTCCTAAATTACGAACATCAGTTAATTTCATGAGCACTTTTGGATACAGAACTTTAGCTGTTTGCACCGGATAAACTGATTCCATATATGCCTTTAGCCACTGTGAGTATTTTTCTTGACTTCTTGCAACATGTTCTTTGTTTTTTAAGTTTGGACGATCCGGGGAAAATAATTCAATAATAAAGAGCAGCATTAAAATAAGTCTGTTACTATTAATTAATTCATGTAGAGATCTTACGAATTGAATATGTGAAGAATACATGTCAGAACTGAGAGCAGATGCTATAATTTTAGGATCTAATTCTTTTTTACCCCCTTCATCCTTATATTTCCACTTCTCCTTTTCCTTATCGAAAGCCATAGCTGAACGCAGTACAAAGATCTCCATTATTCCACCCTAAATAAAATATAAACAATAATACTTATATTCTATCAAAATTTAATTGTACTGTCAGCAGGTGGAATTTCATTGAATTTACTGTACACAGTAATTCCACATTCCTTCTTTCCCTATTAAAATTGAATATATTAAAAAATTTGCTGAGAAATTAACAGTTATCTATAACTATGAGTTCAGCACAATGCTCTAGTTCAGTGATTCTCAACCAGTGTGCGGTGGCACACAGGTGTGCCTCAAAATCTTCCTAAGTGTGCTGCGAAATTTTGAATGGCATACTAAGAAAATTTCTCGCTAGAGAAGCCAGCTATTTGACTGATGACATTCGAAACACTGCAATAAAGTAAGTTCATTTCTGTGTTTTTTCTTTATTTAGTTTGAGTCATACTATGTGTCTATGACTAGTCTGTGTCTACGGTTGTATGCTTTCTATGACTTGTCATGTTTTTATTTTGCAAAATTCAAATATTTTTCATATATATTTAGCCAGACGTGCCACTACTTTAGCATGTGTTCCAAGGTGTGGCGTTGGCAAAAAAGGTTGAGAACCAATGCTCTAGTTGGTGAAATGAAATGGAGTTTTAACGTCTTACTTTTCTGCCCTGACTAGGCTAATGACGTCCGGCATATGCAATGCAGACTGCAGAGAGGGGAATTGCCCTCTTGCTACTGCCTGGTCTTAATTCGGATTCCAACTGTCAGGGAATCTTTAATGTTCTGTCAATGGCACACACACATGTGACTTGACATACTTCCTTGCCAGGCCCTCTGTCAAGGGGAACCAGGCTTGAAAATTCTGAGAAACTTTCTTGGTTAACACATGGATTCGAACACAGAACCTCCTGTATCAGGCCATTGTGGTTCCTTCACTAGTTGGTCGATCAAAACAAAAAACATGAATATCTCTTAAAAAAAACCAGACATAACAGACAATAGAGGAATACTGCACTTACAATAGCACAACCAATTGATCTAAAAGATAAATTTTCAAATGAAAATACATCAACCAAATTCATATGCATGCACCACTACTCGGACAAAATTCGCTTAACCTCAAATCATTTGTCGTAATTATTCACTACTCAGTAACTACTTACTTTCAGAATGCTTATTTGATCCTCCTGCGACAACATTTTAAATTCAGGTAAAACTTTACCAAATTTAATAAGACGCCTAATGAACATATCAGTTAAATTAAAGAGATCACTGGAGTCTTTAGGATTTGCTGAAACTTTTACAGCTGAAGAACCCTCATAAGGAGCATCCAGTACTGTGGTATATGTTTTTTCCATCAGTTGAAGACCTGACATGATCTCTGATGCTAGTGGTTTAGGGTATTCATCGTCATCTGTATCAGTCTTAAGGGTGGAGATGGAACCGGGGGATGGACTAGATACTTCATCAGAAGAAAAGTTAGTGGTAACTTCACAAGTATTCGGAGAATCGGCCACAGATGGATATGGCTGTGATGTTTGACTCCTTATTCGTTGTCGTCTTTTAGCTAATTGAGTTTCATCTGAAAAAGTTTAAAAAAATATTAGTTGCAGGCCTTCAAAGACATTAGTTCACTGTAGGGCATTTACAAGATTTCAGTAACAGGCACGAAGAACTATGACATGTACAGCTGTTATGAGATTTTGAGGCAGATGTATCAGGAAGTTAATTATGTGCATTAGGGAAATCAGCTATGAAAATGACATCAAGTCCTTAGAAAAAAATCAACAAAAGTCAACCCTCTTTAATTTATTTATCAGATGAAGAGCCCTGGGGAAGAACGATCTAAGTCACTTTTTCAATGAACCCCAGTTAATGACGCCATCTGGTAGAAAATTGTATAAGCTTTCTGTGGAACAATCAATTTCAGGTAAAAACGATTGGAGTCACATCGAACCAAGGCCCGTCTGAAATGGCCTCCTGGACAAATACGTTCATCGCACCCTTTATTTGACCGTAATTTGGCTGAAAAGTGGAAGTCAGTTGTTGTACTGGTAATAATGATTGTATTAAACATCATTTTGAAGTTATAATTAAACCAACTCGTTGTTCTGTTCACGTCAAGCATTCTCGTCCAAAAGTCTGTTTTGCCTTTTATGCGAAAAGACAAAAATGTGACTTAGATCGTTCTTCCCCTGAGCCCTGTTTCACAAAAACTTAAACTAAAATCATTAAAACAGATTTTAACTAAAATCAAATTGAAATTTTAAATTTTAAGCGTTTCACGAAGATCGATTGTAACTTAAAATGCAATTTTAATAGATTTTAGTTAAAATTGCTTGCGCTCGCGCAGTGCACAATTCCGGTGAGGTCACATAGGGTGTGAGCGTACACGCTTCGGAACTGAAAACTGTTGCCAGGTTGAACTAACCGTTACAATACCAATGAGGGGGGTTTCATACGTTGTAACAATGTCTGAACATGGTCAGTCAATCGCAGAGAGATGAAATAAATACGTTTATTGCATGTTTTTTGTTTTGAAATGTATCAGTTGGTTGGCCTTGAACTTGCATGTCGCTTACGTGACCTTGGCATTTGATTTACTCACAGGCTTCAATGGAAATAATGCGTAGGCCTATCGATAAACTAAATCGCTTGAATTTCGTAGTTTTATGGTATTTTGGATAACAGAAACTACTGAGAAATTGTCACAAACATGTGATATTTCTGACTCAAACGATTAATCTAGACTAAACTATTGTCAATTATTAAAAGTATTTAATAACTTTTAAATTATTACACAAAATAACCAATGTTCCGGTGATGCCTAGATTTGAAATGTCAGTCCCATGGACCCTTTCAATAATAATTTGAAAATCCCAAAGTGCCACACTCCTTATTGGATAATGCCTATCTATTCCCAATATAAAATACCCTTGGCTCCTATAAATCATCATAACCCCAAAGCCATAAATACTGTGCATAGGTTTCCGGCGTGGTTCCCCCTTGTCAATGATGCGGGACGGAGGGCCTGACAAGGACAGCTGTCTAGTCCTTCGGATGATACGGAAAACCAAGGTCCCGTGTATATATTGGAATGCACGTAAAAGATCCCCTGGCAGTTGGAATTCGATATAAGAGTAGGCGATAGTGCCGCTGCCAGGGTAAAATTTCCCTCATAGCACACTGTATGGCGTATGCCCGTCTTCATTAGCCCAGTATAGGAGCAGAACAGTAGGACGTTAAACCCCATTTTATTTCATTTTCATTTCATTTACTTTGCATATGGCGTATCTAGTATTATAGGACTGACGGGGTTTCGATTCCCCGGTTGTACGTCCAACCTCTTGGGTTTTCTCCGGGACCTCCGGTGTCCTCACACTACTAAAGACCCCTACGCCCAAGTGAATTATTCAAATAAAATTGAACCATGTGTTAGTCCCGAAAAGCCTTTCTCTCTCTCTCTCTCTCTCTCTCTCTCTCTATCTATCTAAACAATTGTAGGCCTACAAAAATATTTTTTTAGACATTAGATATGAAGTGTGTTTAGATTTTTTTAGGACTTTTTTTTGGGGGGGGGGGGGTGTAATTATTTGAAAATAATATTATTTATACTTGAATCATAGTAATATATAAAACAGTAACAAAGAGTTTTGAGAGTTTTTTTTGTTCTTGGGGTTTTAATTTGGGGCGTCATCTAATTGCTTATATTGCCTTACAGTGGGCCGCAGCTATATTTCCCATGCAATAAAAAAAAAATGAATGAGAATTATTTTTGTGAATGATAGTATGTTTAAATTATACAACCCGGGCCATTGGCAATATTATCATCATTCCAAATATATCCATATGTCGCAATAGATCCCACAACGTAGCTCTAATCAATGTTTGTTAATGTCGTGATTTTAAGTTAGGAGAGGGTGACGGCTGTCCTAAGTTAAAATTGATTTTAGTTAAAATTGTCCCTAAAATAGCTTTGTGAAACGCCACTATTTTAAGTTAAGATAGAATTTTAACTTACAATATTATTTTAGTGGATTTTATCTAAAATGCTTAAAATCGTTTTGTGAAACGCATCTATCTTAAGTTAGGATGGAATTTTAGTTTAAGACAATTTTAAGGAGATTTAAGTTTTTGTGAAACAGGGCCCTAGACTCTTCAGATGATTATAACAAGTTGACCTCTGGGGTTTATAATGATTAGGTATATGCTTCTTCAAATTTGTATATCTCAAAATTCCAATATAACCTCATGCAAGCTTTGAAGCAAGATATGTTCAGATAGATGCTGTGGTGAAGAGCATTCAGTCCAATGAAAATTTGGCGGACAAAGAGAGAAGAGAATTTATTTGGTGGTCTGAATCCTATATAGAACCAAATAGAGTTATCTCCCTTATCACTAACACTGAAATTGACGTCTGCTTGGCCTATATGAGTAGTCATGAAAGGATGCTGCTAGACCTCATTGAATTTTATGTGTTACCTAGTAAGTTGATTTGTTTTGTGGCATTACATAAAATCAGTATTGAGATATACGGTACCATACTAGTAATCAATTCTGTGTTTCATTTTTGACACAGTAAACCAGAATTTAAACTAGAACCAGTAAAGAACCGATTTCTATTTAATCTTTATCTCAGGCCTATTGAGCCAGTCCTACCACCAATCAAACAAAAAAACAATAAAAGAGAAAACCAAATATTTAGTTTAGTTCCATTAAATTTCAGGAATGAAAAAACCTGATGGATTATAAAAGATATAGGGCAAACGAGCAGAAAGCATTGAAAGTATGTTGGTATATTAGATTCAAAATTCTAAATTTCCATCATTATTTGGTTGTTTGGTGTGGCCACTGCGTGCTCAATTGGGTGATTGAACGTCTGAACGGGAACATTGCGTTCATATAAGCGACTTGTTCTTCATCTGGTTAAATGGTTGGAGGTAGTGCTAAAAATGGAAACAACATTGAACGTGATATGTGTGGTTATCATGGCTAAATAACAAAAGGGCAAATAATGCAAATCAAACAAGATGATAATTTCTGTTATGATAACTGTATACAGTATTCTGGTAGCAATTGTCACCATTTTGGTGGGGCCTATTTACAGGGACTCTTAGTCATTCAGCTTACCATTAATAAAACAAACCACTGTCTAATATTGGTTAACCCATCAGAACTTAGGATTGCCTGAAACTACTATGCTACTCAGTCTCAGCTCGCAAATCACCTGAGTCATGTGAATAGCTCTGAACTACTGAAGGACTGTATACTATTTCTATAACTCAGACGGTCTAGGAGGGAGTCGATCCAAGTAGGTCCGAAAACAAACAGTTGTAAAAACAAGCGGTTGCCATGCAAGACATGCCCAAATTTTGCAATAGATTGACAGAGAACAAGTTAAAAAAAAAGCGATTTTTCGTACCACAATCCAGGTTGTTATGGTCCAACAAGTGACAATATCAAAAAGAACCAAGATCTTTGGGATATAAAAATATATTTTAAGTTTCATCAAAATCGGATAAAAATTGTGACGTCTAGAGGGTAGGCTACACATTAAAATCGATAAAAATTGTGACCTCTAGAGGCTCCACAACTTTAGTATTACATATTTTTACAGTATTTGCGTACAAGGAGCGGCCATTTTGTTGGCCAGTCTTGGTCTGATTCTCATTAAAATCAAACTTATCGGTGATATATCCGAACATTTTTTTTTCACATTGGATAAAATTTGTGACTTCTAGAAAGTATGCAAGCTAAAAGTGCAATTTTTCGTACAATCAATATCGAAAGGAACCAAGATCTTTAGGTTATAAACATGTATTTCAAGTTGCATCAAAATTTTAACCTCTAGAGGGGCCACAAACTTGATATACCATATTTTTATACTATTTGCGTACGAGGGGCGACCATTTTTTCTGGCAGTTTTGGTCCAATTTTCACGAAATTCAAACTCAACCGACATTATGGTGTAATGGTGATATATTCAAGCGTTTTTTTTAAATCGAATGATATTGTGGTACACAAGCTAAAAACGCAATTTTTCATACGATCAGGAAGTTACGATCCGTTATGCGCAAATATCGAAAGCAACCAAGATCTTTGGGTTATAAACATGTATTTCAAGTTTCATCAAAATCAGATGAAAATTGTAACCTCTAGTGTGGCCACAAACTAAAAACATGATTTTTCGTACAATCAGGGACCATAATCCATGAAGTTTCGATCAGATACATGACAATATCAAAAGGAACCGAGATCTTTTGGAGATAAACCTACATTTCAAGTTTCGTCAAAATCGGATTGTGACCTGTAGAGTGTCCACAAACAAATAGTGGACGGACTGGTGTACGTCCGGACAGACAGGGGCGACGACAATATACGTCCACATGAAAATCTGGGCGTATAAAAAGATCACTTTTTTCCTGTACAGATACATTGTTTTATCAAGTTTTTCCGGGAGTTCAAATGCTCATTGTAAATACCCATACATTAAATTTTCACCATAATTAATGTTCTGTGTATCATGTCCTCCTGGAACATCATATTCTTACACAATATTAATATTTTCAATCAAAAAACCCACACAAAATATCCCTATCCAGAATTTAAAACTGGGTATCAGGAATACATGTTTTTAGTTTATATTTTGAATGATAAAACTATACTTTAAAAAATATATCTTAATTTCTGGTCCAACTCTATTTTGGGGTCGCCTGTGAATCAATGTATTCAACTGACACAAGGTCAAACTTGTCTGTAGTCTGTAGACTATTCATAACAAATTGTGGACAGTCGGCCAACATGGATAAAGAACAACACAGAGTTTATTGTGACTGTACATAAATTCAAAATTCCTTAAGGTCAATATTTCATTTGTAGTTTTATTTTACCTCACTGTGAGCATTAACTTATTTACTTAAAAACCTGAATCCTTGAAATTACACTGAAATAGTGAGAAAACTTACTCAAAATCCAATCTTTTTTCATTCCAATACTGAAACATTTCTTTAATCTACAACCCGAACAAAATTTTCTCGTATGAGCATCCAATTTACAATTTCCTTCAAAACTGCATGTAAAGCTCTACAAAAAAAGAAGGTAATGGAATGAACAATTATGTATATTAAACTAGATTTTGGAAGATGGTGGAAAGGAGGGGGGATGCATTATAGTTATGAAATAAAAATATAACATATTAACGTTAAATAAATACGATGTGATCAACTAAAGTTCCGAATGTATGTAGATCAGAGATAATTGTTTTTGAGTTGCTTGTTGCCTGAGGTGCTACTCTTAAAAGGGGACTATGGTGCCTATTAGTCAAACAACTATTCAAATCAAGTCCACACTTGAACATCTGTATAGATCATTACTGGAGACCTGACATTAGGAATGGAACTAAAATCAATATAATGAAACAAAATCTATATAAAGATAAATTTCTAAGTCACTTCCAATTTCCATGGCTTAATTTGTGTGAAGATATTCTGTAAATTAAGGAGACAATTTGGACAATAGGTTACTTAGCACATGATAACCTCATCAAGGTGTGAAAAAATTTAATCTATGAATCTAAAAGCACTAATTCCGTCCAGAAATGAGTATGCAATTCAAATTTTATTTTTTACTTGGACAATCAATAATGACATAAAATGGGCTTTAACCACTACTTTTCTTCACCAACTGGACGAATGATGACCGCCATAAGCCTACTCTTATTTCGACGTGAAACTGTAAAGGGATCTTAAACAGGCTGCCAATAGTATATACATTTATGATAAGAGTAAAATTACAGTTTTTCATCCCATCTTAAAGACAAATCAGTATCAAGGAGACACCTTACAGGAAAATCCCACTGATGTTTCTCATCAAACCCCAGGATTGGACAAGTGACACTAGCCAACTCCATATGCACTAATAATGAAAGAGCCAAAGTGGACATGTGTGTTTATTTGACATCTGACAGTGAATTAAGAAGTAAATGGATATTATTAAGTTCTTTGAATACAGATAAATTGTGGGAAGGATGAATTAATACAATTTAAAATACAGATGTGACATAATTATTTGATGTTGGCGTACCATTATTTCATATGGTACGGGCAATGTGCCAAGCGTACATTATTTATACTAGTTGCAATATTGGACCCGCATGACATATTTTATTGAAATGCACATGCTGGATAGTGTCTGTATTTTAAGTTGTTTAATGATCTTGTGCAAGAGATTGCATAATATATAGATATTGCCCTCATGCTATCACACTCGTACAATATCAATATATTACTTAATGTCTCGCACTCGACCATTAAACTACAAATAATAAAAATACAACAAATGGCTGCCAATATGTGAATATCAAGACCATCTTCCCGTCTGTAAAAATGTGATCAGCAGGACTAATTCTGTCATAATTACTGGGTATTGCTTATCAGCTGCTAGATAATACCTTGGTATTGGACATCAAGGAAGGAAATACCAGAAATCCTAAATCCAACATATGTTTATCAACTTAGGATAAATCTTGTACCATACCTTATTCTTGGAGGCGTTACGTCGGAAAAACGCTTTACAGGATTCACAAGTGATTGCATCAAAATTATAGCCTAAAGCCCGATCATTACATACGCCACAAGT